ATCTTTTAAAATAAGGTTGGAAAAAATAAGAGATCCATTCTATGTGAACATTAAGGATTCCTTGGTTTTTGTTATTTGTAAATAGAACTTATTTTAGATTTTCTTTTAAAAGCTTGGTTGTGTCTTAAAGAATTCTGCCTTTATGTTGCAAAATTTAGAAGCTCTGTGTGTCTTAAATTGCTTTGTCGGCTTAATGCATGGTAGGGCAGTTGACTAATACTTTGAAAGGTCTTTCCCTATTGACTGTATTATAGTGTACTTTTATAAAATTAATACAGGCATTTTTTCATTATAAAATAGCAGTTTGTCACTCAGGAAAGATTCTTTTCCTTTTAAAAGGAGGAATGTTTTGTTCTTCGGCATTTTTTCATTGGTTGGTGAGAACATACACATCAAGTTCAGTTTTATAGCTCTGATAGCTCATTGTTTATGCTTTTAAAAACATGGTATAGTTAATCTCTAGAGTGAAAGTATTTGTAGCTTTCCATTATTTCGCTTTAAAACCAGTATCAAGAAAACTAAATTTTTATAGCATGTTTATATTTTTAATTTGTTCCTTTTTGGGGACAGTGTCCTCTGTGTGTTTGTGGGTGTGGGTAGATGTGGGAGGTATAGGATAGTTGTTTTACCTGCAGTGTGTTATTCAGAGACTGAGAATCCTCTTCATTACAGCATTGTTAAATTTGCAATAAAAGTCAGTAGACTCCAATGATGTTTTATTAGATATACATTGTCCAGTGTGTTAGCCACTTAGCTATGTATTAAAATCCAACAGCCACAAATAGCTGGGGATTACTATATTGGACAGTGCTTATATAGATCCTGCATGATAGCAGAAATTTCTGTTCAATAGTACAATCAGACTTCCTCTAGTCATCTACTCTAATGTTTTTAAGTGTATAGGATTGAGAATAATAGGATAATATTTTCTAGTAGATTTGTTGTTATATTTATTGTTATTTTCCAATATTTGGCCAATCTTGTCTGACATAAAGTAGTATCACTATTGTCAGAACTGTGTTTCTTTTTTTGGGTGTCTTGGCACCCTGAAACACAGAAATGTTTATATGGTACACTTAGATAAACAGAGGAGGTTATTGCCAACCAGAGGGTACAGTATTCAGGCAAATCCATAACCCATTTTTGACACACTAGTATGCAGTGTCCCCTACAAAGAAAACTCAGTTGTTATTTATTTGAAAGCAGAGAAAGAGAGAAGCAGATACACTATTTGCTGATTCACACTCCAGATGTCTGTCAACTACGACTGGACCAAGCTGAAGCCAGGAGCTAGGAGCTCAACCTGCAGTTTCAGTTACTTGATATGTCACCTTCCGCCTCTCTGAGTGCTGGAATTCACTGGAAGCTGGAATTGGGAGTTGTGCCGGTACTCCATCCTAAGCATTCTTATATGGGATCCAGCGTCTTAACTGCTGTGTCAAATGTTCACCCCTATCCTAGTGTAAAAAACACAACGAGGAGACAATGACTTCATCTACACACCTCTCCTCCAAATCAAATTTGTCTACATTGTTTAGCTAAACACTAACCTAATTGGCTGTTTCTAAAACTTTCTCTGTTACTTCTGGCAAGATTAATAGTAACAAACATTTATTAATTTATAAATTGGTAATCCATTCACCCAGTATTTATTTCCCTCAAGGATTTTAAAGTGTTGACTTATGTAAGGTTCTTAAGGTTCTTAGCCTTTCCTGATCAGCCTCTTGATTTGGGAATCATTTGTTTCTAGACCGTCTCAGGGGTGCCTCTTAACATCTTGTACCCTTGCAACAAAGCTAGTTCACTACTAAACACATAACTCTATCACATCAATTTATTCTGGAAATTTCATCCTATAATAATTATCTTCTCCCTGTCTTCTAATTCTGCCATCACATGTTTGGTGATTGCATTATAACTATGTGAATTCCTAGTATCTTCAGTTTGGGATATTGTGCCTTCTATTGAACAGATTCATGTCTTTGTGCCCCTTAATCACAGTCTTCTCAGTCCCTTTACTTGAAACCATTCGCTTGACTAAATTATGACTCGATTTTCTGTGTCCAGTTCACCTAAGGAAGATCAGAGTTGATCAAAATTTATTCGGAGTTGAGCCCATCCTGCATCAGACCCATCTCCCTAGCTTTTCACTACTGCTGGGCAAAAGGGCTAGTCATGCCATGTTCAAAAACATACCCCTTAGTAAGTGTTAGCTATAGCATATCATCTTCCTGACAAAGAGTTGTGATTTCATAATTAAGGTTTGTGCAACAACTTGGGCCTGGAGAAAAGATGAAAGAGCTTTAAAAGGGGCTACCCTGCCCATTAATCCACTGAGTGAACAAGAGAATTAATCTAGAGCTGGTTTCAGTAGTAAACATTTCACCAAACTGAAAGTGTATTTTAGATTTTGAAGATAGAAATTTTTGATGGAGCTGGTTCATTTGATTGTTAGACAAAGAAACAACAGAATTAATACTGAAGGAAAAATTGGCTGACTTGGACTGCCAAGAGTAAGAATTTGGCTCTCCAGAGTGATACTTGAGGGATTTTAATTTAAAGGTAATGTTGACTATATAATATATATATAGGTAATATATATATAGGTAAACCTTACTCCTTAACTTTAAAACCTAACCTTCAAACAAGATGTGACTCCATATGTTATGATATTGTTCATGTATACCTATTTTATATTTACAAATGAACTCTAATGTGCTTCAAGTGCAGGGACTTTGTTTTTAGTCCTTTATTATGTTCACTACAGAAGTTAGTATGGTACAGAACACCTAATCAGACTCCTTATAAGCACTTGATGGATGCTTGGCTTTATAGAGTAGTCAGCATACTCAGTTTTACACTTTTGTGTTACATATGCATTCAGTGTAAACACTAAATGTTTATTCCTCCTTAGAGCGACTATGGTTGATGAGCCAGGGTTTTTAACTTAGAGGTACAGGGTTTTTTCCAAAACCTCTGAAATTACAAAGATTTTTGTGTTCACTCAAATATGTACAGTTCATGGGCAAACCTGTGTAACTTTCATAAGAGTCTGAAACAATTCAAAAAGGTATAAGTGCCATGAATCTAGGCAAAGGAAGAAGACTTCTTAAAATCAGCTGGACTTGAAAAATTTACTGAAAAGAAAATTAGTACAGTGCTATATAGATTATTGATCAATAACTTTCAAAATGCAAGGCATAGTATGTTTGAGAGATGGAGAGGTCACCCTCCATATTTTCACAACATCTGGGGCTGGGCCTGAAGCTTGGATCCTGGAACCCAATCCAGCTCTCCCATGTGGGTGACAGGGACAAGTTTCTTGATCAGTGACCAATGCATCCCAGGGTCTGTATTACAGGAAGCATGAGTCAGGAGCTGGGAATCAAACCGAGACACTCCAGTGTGAGATATGGGTATCTTAAAGTTTGTCTTAAGTGGTAGGCCAAAAACCTACTCCTGCAGTCACATTCTTAAGTTCTTAGTGGTAAGCTTCTGTCGATCAGAAGATCATCTTTCTCTTAAAGAAAAAATGGATTTATTTAAAATGCATGTTAATTTGCTTAACACTTACAGTGAAGAGCTTGTTAATAACAGTACATCGTACCGTGTAATTGCTGTATCTTATGCCCATTTCTGTAACATAAGTTTTTTTTTTTCTTTTGGTAGGAAAATGATTCTGATGTCAAAAAACAAGAACAAAAACCTGATAGTTTTATTTGAACTTGAGTGTGAAATTAGCACTGATTTTGTTTAAAAACATGAGTAATTCTAGTCACCTTTGAAGTGTTTTTTAGGGGCCACAAGAAGACCTGTACATATTGAAGGTGTGAAGCACAAAACTTTTTTAATACAAGTGGGTTCTATTTGCAAACTTGCTTTGAGGTTATAATTTGAATTTTTGACCACCAGAATTCCATATGAGATTATTTTTACGTTTAAAAGCTTCCCTCCATTTTAGTAATACTGCCATAATTATAGGCCATTTTTGAGTTTGCATAAACAAAAAAATTAGCAACATGGTTACTGTTTAGCAGTGCCATCATAAAATGTTTTGTGGATTACTGATTCCTTTGCATTCACAAATCAAATAAAATATTAATATACCAGTGATATTTATTATTTATTGTGTTCTTATTTTCCTAAGAAGTATCGTAGATTTATTTTGAGAATTTTTGTGGATCAAGATATTCGTGAAGGGCAGGTGTTGTACAGCCACTTGAGCCATCACTTGAGGCACCCATGTCTATATCAAAGTGCCAGAGATGGAGTCCCACATTTCTTCTGATCAGCTTCCTGCTGGTGTGCACTGTGTGAGCCAGTGGATGGTAGCAAAAGTGTTTGCATCCCTGCCACCCATTTGGGATTCCCAGATGCTGTTCCTGGCTCCTGGCTTTGGCATGGCCAAGTCCCATTTGGGAAGTGAACTAGAGTAAAAGATTTTCTCTCATACATACACTTGCTATCTCTGTGTAGCTCTGTCTCTCAAAATAACATAACAAATAAATACACTTTTTTAAAAAAAATTTTGTGAATCTTAGATTAATTAAAAAGTTTTTTTTTTTTTTCTAACTCATTTATTTGAAAGGCAGAGAGAGAAATATATTGATTGGTTGGTTGGTTGGTTGGTTGAGATCTTCCATCCCATGGTTCATTCCCCACAATAATGAGGTTGTGTCAGACCAAAGCCAGGAGCCAGGAACTCAATTTAGGTCTTCCACATGGGTGGCAAGGACCCAAGTATTTGAGCCATCACCTTCTGGCTGCCAGGTGTGTATTAGCAGGAAGCTGGAGTTGGGAGTAGAACCAGAGCTTCAACCCAGGCACTCCTGTATAGGGCATGAGTGCCTCAAATGTCATCTCAGATTCACTTTATTTTTGATGGCCAGCTGATATATAGACTTCAAACATGTTAGGGAAAACATGCTAACTTCTGAAACTAGTAAGGTAGGAAAGAAAAACTAATGTCTTTTGTTTTTGTTTTTGTTTCAATTATACAGCAGATATAATTTCTACGGTAGAATTTAATCATTCTGGAGAGTTACTAGCAACAGGAGATAAAGGTGGTAGAGTCGTCATCTTTCAACAGGAGCAGGAGGTACGTGTTCAAAGTTTAATATCACAATTTCAGTTTGAATTTGGTAATGGAGTTTCTGTTGCATTGGAGAATCTCAACAGATGATGTTGGAATTTTTAAAAAAGAAGTTTGTGCTTATTAGAATATCTAGTATTGGTAGCTGTGATTCTCTCAATTTTGTGTGGGTGCATGAGTACATGTGCGTGTGTTGTTGTGATAGTAAAATATAACACTTTAATTCTAAAATTAGTTGGTTAGAAAAGGGGGTGGGAAGTAGTGGAATAATCCAAGATTTTAACTGATTTTGAAGCATTGGCCCTTGGTTATAATTTTTCTCTTAAAACTCCATAAAACAAAAGTTACTTTTTCTCTCAGTGCTTAGTTTGCTTTGTCTAAGTGGAGATGGAAGGCCAGTTAAATAAAAAGCAGCTCAGTTTGATGTCAGTTCGTACTGATACTATTACTGTTGACTTTAGTATAAAGATTTAAATGACAATAGCAAACATGTGAATGCGATGTAATTTGAATTGCAGTGCTAGGTTTTAAACTGAAATGATTGGAAATTGCTTCCTTTTCTCTGAAGAAAGGAATTTCTCATTGCAGAATCTACGATTAAGGTGGATTTTTGTTTCATTTTTTCTTTAACTTAGGCACACTGCTAAATCTAATTGACAAGATTTCTCACTAAAACTTTATGCTAAACATAATTTGTCACAGTGAGTTTTCCTTTTACTGTCTCCCTCCATTTGTAGATAAAATTTATTTTGAAACATCCTGCCTCCAGCTATCTATAGTGAACTCAAAAAGAGTTAGAAAGTAATGTGAATAAACTACAGGTTTTTACAAATAGGTGTTTAAATCAAAACAGAATTAGGTTTTAAAGGATTGTGAATTCCTTAACTAAGCAAAGAATCTAGTAATAATACTACTACTTTGCACTTCTATAGCGCCTTTGACCCGAGGATCTCAAAGTGCTTTACAAACACTAATGAATTAATCCTCACAACACCCCAGTGAGGTAGGTAATTTAATTTTAAAAGAAATTAATAGTGTCTGATCTAGACAATGCACCAACACTAAATTTGTCTCATTTATTTTTTAATTTGAAGAAAAAAGACTCAAGCTTTACTTGACAAAGAATGATCTTACGGATCTGGGGGCATGGTATATCAGTTTTCTGTAACTGTTTTCAAGTAGCTACAAACTCTACCATAAGATTTTGGGGGAGGAGGAATGCCAGGGAGAAAATATGCCTCATCTGCTGGTTCACTCCCCAGCTACAGAGCAGGGAGCTGGGAATTCAGTCCAGGTCCCCTATGTGGGTGACAGGAACCCAATTACAGCTTCCCATAATCTGCATTATCAAGAAGCTGGAATCAAGAGCTGGAGCCTGGAATTAGGAGGTGGGCATTTTAACTTGTGTCTTAACAGTAGGCTAAAGGCCTGCCCCAACCATAAGAATCTCTGTCTAGTTCATTATGATTTCCCTTTATATACAAATGAGAAAGACAGGATTTCACTTTTGTTTAGTGGCAAAACTAACAACTAGTACACATGACTGTGGTATGTTTCTTTTCAGTCTTCGCTGCCTTTCCTGTTAGGTAACCTATGTAGAGCAGGCCTTCCCTTAGACATTCTCTGTCCTTTACCTTTTACATAAAGTTAATGGCTCTCCACATTTTGCTTTTGTTTTAAAGACAGGTATTTGGAGGAAAACATTGTACAATTAATTTTACTCACTGTATTTAATCTTGAAGAGTAATACACAAGTTGAATATTCGCAGGGTTTCAGAAGGAGTCTTCATTTTTTTGATGTCATTGTATCATGTTATTTTATTTTATTTTTTTTTGTTTTTTTTTTTTATTTTTTTTATTTTTATTTTTTTGACAGGCAGAGTGGACAGTGAGAGAGAGAGACAGAGAGAAAGGTCTTCCTTTGCCGTTGGTTCACCCTCCAATGGCCGCCGCGGCCGGCGCGCTGCGGCCGGCGCACCGCGCTGATCCGATGGCAGGAGCCAGGAGCCAGGTGCTTTTCCTGGTCTCCCATGGGGTGCAGGGCCCAAGCACCTGGGCCATCCTCCACTGCACTCCCTGACCACAGCAGAGAGCTGGCCTGGAAGAGGGGCAACCGGGACAGAATCCGGCGCCCCAACCGGGACTAGAACCCGGTGTGCCGGCGCCGCTAGGCGGAGGATTAGCCTAGTGAGCCGCGGCGCCGGCCCTGTATCATGTTATTTTAAACAACATAAGTTGTCAAAAGCAAATTTGGAAACACTTTAAAAATGAAGTCATTTTCACCTTCTATGGTGGTGGTCAAAATAGAAAAATGACTGGAATATAAGAAAAATGAAAGAACTGTGTGCTGTAACAGATGTAATCAAAGCAGTAGCTTAGTGCTTTCCAGAGGCAGTCAGTAATATGTGATTTGGAGTTAACTGTCTGATATGCCAGTGAGATTATTCAGACATTGGTCTTTCATTAGAAAATAGGGCTCCAGAACATGTAACAGTTAATTTCTATGTTTTTTTTTTTTTCTGAAATTCCACAATTATATCATGCAAATATTTCAAATACATACTCTTGAAAGAAGAAATAAGCAGAATGACTGACTTTTTGAAAAGTCCACTGTTGGAAAAATAGGGCTTCGTTTTCATGTATCTGTCAGTCTCAATGAAAAAACAGAGAAATTGGTTATCTAGAATCTGGATCACTATAAGCATCAGTATATTTTAAAGTGTAATAACAAGAATGATGGTGATGATTTCCTTTTTCTCATTGAAACTTGATCTTTATGATATTAAATTGGTGTATTACACTGCTTAATTTTTGAAATTTGAAAGCTGTGTTTTCGGAGAGCTTCTGAATACAGTATTGTCTTTATGATCTATGTCATTACACTTGGAAATACCTTTACTTCAGTACCTGTCATACTTGAGTGAGATGTTATGAATTTACATACATGTATCTAAGATAGTGTTACTGCTGAAAAATTAAATGGAACTTAGAGATATCTTTTCCTAATTTTAAAATAAATCCTAGAGGGCTGTGCCGTGGCTCACTTGGTTAATCCTTCGCCTATGGCCGCCAGCATCCCCTCTGGGCGCTGGGTTCTAGTCCAGGTTGCTCCTCTTCCAGTCCAGCTCTCTGCTGTGGCCCGGGAGTGCACTGGAGGATGGCCCAAGTGCTTGGGCCCCTGCACCTGCATGGGAGACCAGGAGAAAGCACCTGCTTCCTGTTTAGATCGGCATAGCTCAGGCTGTAGTGGCCATTTGGGGGGTGAACCAACAGAAGGAAGACCTTTCTCTCTCTCTCACTAACTCTGTCAAATAAAAAAATTAAAAAAAAAAAAAAAAAAAACTAGAAAAATTACTTAACAAATTGATACTGCTTAGTTTAGTAGTGAAGCTCTGTCTGGGGTTAGGACCTAGGTTACTACTTTTTAGACCAGCTAGTCATACATTCCAGGTATACTGGTGCCTCTCCAATTAATATTTCTTAGCCTCTGCTAATGATGCCAGGCTTCTAAGGAAGATACATGGCATTTGGTAAATTGTGGCTTAACCCTTTCACCCAGTGGATAGACTTCTTCACTAAACTTGACTTTACTGCCACTGTTCTTTTTCCCTTTTTCTTTTTTCCTTTCCCCTCTGCCATCTCCCCTTTTCCCTTCCCTTCCTTCTTGTCTTTCTGACAGAGAGAAATTTCCTGTCTGCTGGTTCACTCCCCAATTGTGTGCCATGGCTGGGGCTGGACCAGGTCTAACTCAGGAACTGGGAACTCGGGTGCGTGGCCGAAATCAGTCTTCTAGAGCCATCACTGCAGGCTCCCAGAGTCACTGTTACCAGGAAGGTGGAATCAGTAGAGATGTTGGGTTTTGAACTCAGATATTTTGATAAGGGGCAAAGGCATCTTAACCAGCATCTTAAATGCTAGGCCAAACACCCACCCATCCACCCTCTCTTTGTATTGATCTTACTTATTAAGAAGAAAAAATTCATGAATTTTAAGAAATCTTGAAACCTTAGACTTTAACGTCTTTAACACTCCTTTCTGTAGTATTTGTTCTACTCTTCAAAAGGCAACACATCATCTGCCTATCCCCAGTCAAAATGTAGAGAAATGAGTAGTCATGTAGAGGTTCTTCATTAAGTTTGAATATATTTCAGACTGATAATCGCCTAACGTTTTTAGCTGCCATTTTAAAAAGAGAATTTTTTGTCTATCCTATCCATGTATTTGTTTATTTGAAAGGCAGAGATCTTCCATCTTCTGGTTCATTTCCCAAATGGTTGCAACAGCCAGGTCTGGGGCCAGGCCAACTATAGGAGTCAGGAAAGCTTCCCACATGGGTGGCAGGAGCCCAGTTACATGGGGCATCATCCAGGCATATTAGCAGGAAGTGGATTAGAAGCAGAGCAGGGGTGGCACTGTGGCGTAGCAAGTAAAGCCCATATCAGAGTGCTTGGGTTAGAGTCCCAGCCCCACTCCAGATCCCAGCTTACCACTAATGCACAGCCTGGAAGGCAGCAGGTGGTGGCTTAAGTAGTTGGATCCCTGACACCCACATGGGAGACTCTGAGTTTCAGGCTCTTGGCTTGTGCCTGACCCAGCCTTGCCTACTGCAGGCATTTGGAGAGTAACCAGGGAAGGGAGACCTCTCTCTACCTGAGTTTTAACAAATTTTTTTTAATGTGAAAGTATTTTAAATTAAAGAAACTCAATAAAAAGATGATTCCCAAAAAAGAAATTTGGTTCATTTCAAAAATATTTACAATTAAAATGTAAAGATCCAGCGGTTTAATGGACAGATTAAACCTCCATTGCTTTCAGTGATGTGGCTATATCTGAACATGTATTAGGCTTAGAAAAGTAAGATGATTGGGGCTGACTGTGGCACAGGGGTAAAGCCGCTGCCTGCAGTGCCAGCATCCCATATGGGCACCGGTTCAAGTTCCGGCTGCTCTACTTCCAATCCAGCTTTCTGCTATGGCCTGGGAAAGTAGTGGAAGATGGCCCAAGTCCTTGAGCCCCTGCACCCACATGGGAGACCTGGAAGAAGCTCTTGGCTCCTGGCTTCGGATCAGCACAGCTCCAGCCATTGTGGCCAGTTGGGAAGTGAACCAGTGGCTGGAAGACCTCTCTCTCCTCTCTTCTCTCTTTTCTCTTTCTGTCTCGCTCTCGCTCTCTGTGTGTGTAACTCTGACTTTTGAATAAATAAATAAATCTTAAAAAAAAAAAAAAAAAAGGCAGAGCAGCCTGTACTCAGAACCAGCACTGTATTTTGGGATGCTGCATCTTAGTTGGCTTCACCTGCTCGGGCACAACACTGGCCCCATTAGCTATCACTGAATTGTATTTCTGTAAATCGTATGATTGTGTAGATGTTCTGTTACACAGAAGCTCTGATATAGAAGCAGGGCATAAAAGAATACTGAGCTGCAAGCACAGAATGATTTTTCTTACACAAAAATAAACTTACTCCTGTTTTCCATGAACTTTTTAAAAGTCGCTTTGTATTATTCTTGTTAATGAAAATGGTAGTACAGTTATTCTTGGAAGATTCTAAGTAGCTGTTGGAATAGATGGTGATGTACTTTAGCTTGTACAGTTTTTGTTTACATGGGTACTGAAGTTAGAGGATCAGATTGTTGAAGTAACTGGTTTCCTGTTGACATTCAGTTTCTCTGATACTGCTGGTGAATTAAAGTAGGGGAGGGCCATACAAGGGACAGTTAAGGAGAAAGGTGAGGCCAAGGGTGGTTTTGTTTTTGTTTCTTTCCAGAATGGTATGAGGACTGTTTCCAAGGAATGCTGTTAACTGTCTTGGATTTCCTTCCCTCTTGCTTTCTGATCTTTACTATTTTCCAGACTACTTATATAATATAGAAGAAATCTTAGGAAATATTTTGTATTATAAAAGATGGATAGTGTTCATTTATACAGGTGCAATGACTTAGTTTGATGATTTTTAAGTGAAGAAACAAAACTTCCTTTTTCGGCTGATGTGGTAATAATGGTGCTTATTGTGTACTAATAAAAATAGCAAACAGAAATGTTGGAGAGGAATGGTTGGAGGACTCCAGGTTGTATAGGGAGAAGAGAATATGATATGTAGAAACTAACTACTAGGTTTTAAATGTTTGTATTTTTCATTCACCGACTGAAGTTATGCTTTTCAGAGTATAAAATGTTAGAATCATATGGGACATGTATTTAAAATATAAATTCCTACACTGCTCCTCAGTGTAGCTCCTCCTGTGGTATAGTAACATCAGAATTAGATGTGCTGTTGATTTCGGTACATTTTTTATGCCTTTTAGGAATTTTACCCAATCAAAGATTAAGAAAAAAGTTCACAAATACATAAATTTATCCTAATCTAAAATAATTTAAAACGTCTTTTCCAGGATAGATCATGCATATTTTAAAAATTTACAGAATATTACGTGTATAGTTCCAGGTCCAGTGCTGTGGTATAGTAGGTTAAGCCTCCACCTGGAACACCAGCATCCCATGTGGGCGCTAGTTCAAGTCTCTACTGTTCCATTTGTAATCGAGTTCCCTGCTAGTGGCCTGGGAAAGCAGTAGAAGTTGGCCCAAGTCCTTCTGCCCCTGCACCCACATGGGAGACCTGGTAGAAGCTTCCGGCTCCTGGCTTTGCATCTGCCAAGCTCCTGGTGTTTGCGGCCATTTGGGGATTGAACTAGCAGATGGCAGATAATCTCACTCCATCTTTCCCTCCCTCCCTTCCTCCCTCCCTCTCTCACTCCACTCTCAAATAAATAAATCCTTTTTTGAAAAAAAAAAAAAAATCATGAAAAAGATTATTCTATAATCTAGTTGATTTTTTTCAAAAAGTATTTAGTTCCATGAATGTTCATAAAACCTGTATAACTACTCTCTAAATCAAGAAATAGAGTGTTTCTGACACTCCAGAACTTCTCTGCCCTCTGCCCCCATTACCCCTTCTCTCAAAGCTGCCTATACATTTATTTTGTCTTCTTTGATCCTTACCTGTTTTTGGTGTATTCATAGCATACAAGAGCTAAAATTTAAGGAGTTTTGCAGGGTTTTTGTTTGTTTGTTTTTTGGGGAATTAATGTTTATTTTTTGCAGGTATTCTTTACCTGTTGTTTCAGGGATTCCTTTGATAACTGTAAATCCTGTGGACTGCTCCAATGTTTAAAATGCATAAAATTATAAAGAGAACTGTGTTGAAATATATTTGCAGAAGTATTGGAAATAGTGTGATTGAGTAATAGGTACATTAAGTGGGTAACAGCCGGGCTGCTTCTAAAACCACTGCCTGCAATGCTGTCATCCCATATGGGCACCAGTTCAAGTCCCAACCACTCCACTTCTGATCCAGCTCCCTGCTAATGTGCCTGGAAGAGCAGTGGATGATGGTCTGAATCCTTGGATACCTGCACCCACATGGGAGACCCAGAAGAATTTCCTGGTTCATGGCTTCGGATCAGCTTATTAGCTCGCGCCTTTGCGGCCATTTAAGGAGTAAACCAGCAGATGGATGATTGATCCCTCTCTCTGCCTCTGCCTCTCTGTACCTCTGCCTTTCAAATAAATAAATAAATCTTAAAAGATAAAAAAACTGGAGGTCTCCATAACAGTCTTACTCATCCAAAGTTATGTGATTAATAAGTTCCTGAGTGCTTACTCCAGACCCCACATGTCCTGATTCTCAGCCCCTTGTGACTCTGGGAGCGCCATAAGAGTTAATGTGTCAGACTTCTTCCAGCATCCCTTAATTTTCAAAGCATAATAACAAAGATGTGTGTATATTTGCATTCTATTTCTTGATTCATTACAAATTTATAAATAGAGAAGATAAATCATGTTTCCAAGATCACTCAGCTAGTCAAATGAGTAAAAGGTAAGTCTTTATAAATTGAGTTGAATACCCAAAATGCTGAATATTTATTTTTTAAATGGAAAAAAAAACTTTCTGTATGATAATGAGCCTGTTACAAAGCACACAGGAAAATCAGTTTCATGAGGAAACAGACTTTCAGTAGTAGTTGTTAATCTCTTCTTCACGTTAGGGTAAAAGCTGGAAAGAGTTTGTACTGTGTTGAAAGACAAGGGTCCTAGCTCTTGTATTTGCTCATGAATTTGTCAAGCCATCTCTTCTAGTCAAGCCTTTTATGGTCCAAATTTCTAATCGGTCATCACCTATTATTCTGTTGAGGTTTCCATTTTTGGAGTTATTTTATTTTCCAGGAATAAAATATCATATAAAGGTACCTTTGTTGTGCAGTATGAATGTCACTAAACAGGTATTGGATAAAATAGTATTTCTTTCTTCTCTAAATTTTGTGTATTTGAAAGGCAGAGAGAGAGAGAGAGAGAGATCTTCGATCCACTGATTGATTCCACAAAGGGCTTTGGACCTTTGAAGGATATTTTTCACATATTAAAGTAAAATTAGGGGCCGGTGCTGTGGCGTAGTGTGTAAAAGCCGCCGCCTGCAGTGCCAGCATCCCTTATGGGCGGTGGTTCCTGTCCTGGCTGCTCCACTTCCAATCCAGCTCTCTGCTATGGCCTGGGAAAGCAGTGGAAAGATGGCCCAAATCCTTGGGCCCCTGCGCCCACATGGGAGACCCAGAAGAAGCTACTGGCTTCAGACCAGTGCAGCTCCGCCTGTTGCAGCCATCTGGGGTGTGAACCAGCGGATGGAAGACCTCTGTGTGTGTGTGTGTGTGTGTCTGTCTGTCTGTCTGTCTGTCTCTGTCTCTCTCGATCTCTCTGCTTCTCCTTCTCTCTGTGTAACTCTGATTTACAAGTAAATAAATAAATCTTTAAAAAAAGAAAAGTAAAATTATCCTCTCACTGTTTTTTTCTTATTTTCTCCCGGCCTGACATGTAACATATTACTTTATTTTTATCTTACTATATTTTTCCTCTTAATTCACCTATTTATGGCTCGTCCAAAAATTTTGGCACTGCACCTTTTTTCTTTAGTTACTGATGTTTTCTCCTTCTTTTACATATACAAAGGAGGAGATGGGCATTGCAGTATAGCATGTTAATCCTCTGTGTTGAACTGTTGAGTTAGTCTTATTTACTTTCTTGGGAACTGTCTGTCCCTCTAAAGAAAATAAAATGAATTATCTATAACACTTGAGGAATCTGAGATCTAGAGATTATATTTATATTTAATGACCATCAAAGATAAAGAGACAAAAGTAGTAAAAATAATTTTGCTTTTTAATCAAACACTAAGCATCATCATTCTGTATCTAGAATCAATGAGAAATAACTTCTTAGAGGTCCGAATCAGCTTGAAATTCCAAATTGAAAGAAACAAGTTTGGAGAACCTTGAAGTTCTACCTCTTTTTCTCAGTGCTATCCTAAGTGGGAAAGGATGCTGGAATGTGGAAAAGGCAATATTTTCTTTCCTTTTTTTTTTTTAACAGTTTGACGGTGATGGTAGTAGTTTCATTTTATTCATTTTTTATAATAAGGGTATAACCTTTATAAAAATACAGAACACTTCATGAATTTTGGCATCATCCTTGCACAAGGGGCCATACTGATCTTACTTCTATTGTTCCAGTTTCAGTATATGTGTTTCTGAAGTGAGCACAAAAGGCAGTATTTTTATATGGCACATGCTGTGTGTCTGTGTGTGTGTTTTGGGGTTTCCCCTTCTCTTTTAGTAGCATGTAAAATCTAGAGTAAATAGGCATGCCTTCTTTGTTTTTTTGTTTGCTTGTTTTTTTTACAGTTAATATGGGATGCCAGCACTGGAGGCAGAGGATTTACCCGCTATGCCACAACACAGGTCCCTTTTTTTTTTTTTTTAAGGCCTATTTATTTATTTGAAAGGCAGAGTTAGAGAGAGGCAGAGAGAGAAAGAGAGTTCTTCCATCCACTGGTTCACTCCCCAGATGGCTGCAACAACCAAAATTGCACCAATCCGAAGCCAGTAGCCAGGATCTTCTTTCAGGTATCCCACGTGCGTGCATGGGCCCAAGGACTTGGGCCATATTGTACTGCTTTCCCAGGCCAAAGAAGAGAGCTGGATCGGAAGTGGAGCAGCCAGGAGTGGAACCGGCACCCATATGTGGGCAGCTTTACCTGCTGTACATGATAGCACCAGCCCAGTTTAACTAGGTCTTTAAGCCAGATTCTCTTTGTAATTACATAGTGGTTTTTTGGTTAAGAAATTGTGATTGCCATTCTAAAGTACATCTTGTTTAGTATGTAATAGGCACTTGGTGAGTGAGCCTTAACTTATTAAATATGTTAAATCTTAAAAAACCCAAAGGATTCCGTGACCGTCATCAAGATTTCTTTTATGTTTTTATTTATTTCGTTGAGTGATTTGTATTTTGCTTTATTCTGTAAAGTTCCTCTTGTTTCCTGAATGCCTCGATAGTAGTTAACCAGATATGATTCTGTTTTGTGGCATTACTGCCACTGTGATTGAATGGCCATTTAAGACTTTATATGCTACCTTTTTAAAAAAAGATATATTTATTTATTTGAAAGTTACAGAGAGAGAGATGTCTTCCATCTGCTGTTTTACTCCCATCTAGTTTACTTCCATCTGCTGCTTTACTGCAGTGGCCAGGACTGGGCCAGCCTGAAGCCAGGAGCTTCATCAGGTCTCCCACATGGATAGCTGGGGCCCAAATACTTGAGCCATCGTTTGCTTCTTTTCCTAGGCCATTAGCAGTGAGCTAGATCTGAAATAGAGCAGCCAGAACCCAAACCAGTGTCCATACAGGATGTCATTGTCACAAGTGGTGGATTTACCTGCCGTGACAAAACACCAACCCCTAAATACTACTTTTCTACTCTGAAATGTAAATCAAATGATTGCATATAATATATACAAATACAAGATCATTAATAAACAGTAACTTACAGTAACATTCTAGTCAGAACCTTAAATGTATATTCATTTATTCTGTTGTTACTTGATCAAATCAAAATACATACAGTATTCTTAATTTTTTGTAATTTTGCTATGGAGCAAAGTATTTCCTACATTTTTACAATTTCATTTAAGGAAGAGGGAAGTTAGTAAAAGTGCCCTGCAGGGGGCATGGAATGCAAAGACATTATGGTAAAAAATGACCTGCATGAAAGATCTCTCTTGAGATCCCAATGGAAAGAAGGGACCATCAAAGGAAATACCTTTCTCTGAAGGGAGGAGAGAACTTCCACATTGATTATGGCCCTGTCTAAATAAAGTTGGAGTTTGTGAACTCAAGAGGCTTCCATAGCCTTGGCAGTTCACTACAAGAGCCTTAGGTGATTACTGATGTCATAAATAAGAGTGTCAGTTGTTAAATCAACAACAGGAGTCACTGTGCACTTGATCCCCGTGTAGGACCTCTGTCCTTAATGAGTTCTGCTATGAGAATTAACGGTAAAATTAGTCTTCAAACAGTACTTTATTCTATGTGAGTCTGTGTGGGTGCAAGCTGTTGAAATCTTTACTTGGTATAGAGTTGATCTTCTGTATATAGAGATAATTAAAAATGAATCTTAAGAATGGGATGGGAGAGGGAGTATGAGGTGGAACAGGAGTGAGGGTAAGAAGGCGGGTATAGGGGGAAAACCACTATAATCCAAAAGCTGTACTTATGAGATTTATATTTATTAAATAAAAGCTTTCTTTAAAAAAAAAAAAAAAAAGCACTGCAGGAGCTGGTGCTGTGGCGCGGTGGGTTAAAGCCCTGGCCTGAAGTGCTTGCATTCCATATGGACACTGGTTCTAGTCCTGGCTGCACCTCTTCCGATCCAGCTCTCTGATATGGCATGGGAAAGCAATAGAAGATGGCCCAAGTCCTTGGGCCATGCATCTGCATGGGAGACCCGGAAGAAGCTCCTGGTTCCTGGCTTTGGATTGGCACAGCTTCAGCCGTTGCAGCCATTTGGGAAGTGAACCAGCAGATGGAAGACCCCTCTCTCTGTCTCTACCTCTCTCTATAACGCTGCCTTTTAAATAAATGAATCTTGAAAAAAATGCACTGGAGTTATTTATATTTAGAAGTAGCTGTTCTGGGGCCAGTGCTGTGGCGCAGTAGGTTAATCCTCCCTGTTGTGCCGGCATCCTATATGGACACTGGTTCTAGTCCCAGCTGCTGCACTTCTGATCCAGCTCTCTGCTGTGGCCTGGGAAAGCAGTAGAAGATAACCCAAGCACTTGGGCCCCTGCACCCGTGCAGGAGACCGGAAGAAGATCCTGGCTTCTGGCTATGGATTGGCTCAGCTCTGTTTGTTGCGGCCAACTGGGGAGTGAACCAGCAGATGGAAGATCTTTCTCTTATTCTCATTGTCTGTAACTCTTACCTCTCAAATAAATAAATAAAATCTTAAAAAAGTAGCTGTTCTGAACAACAAATAAATAACAGCAAATGAAACTCTTTCTGAAGCTAATTTGTTCTTAATTATATTTACTGAATACAGTAAAAACATAATTTCAACAAAGAATATAATAAAAATTCAGATCATCCCATCACAGGACTAAAGACCATTTTGTTTATGTGAGAGTATATTTTCTCAGGATGTTTCCCCCCTCTAAATTAGAATCATATTGTACTTTGTAACTTTTTTACAAATAACTTTTATGCCAATTCTGTTGATATTACCTAAGACAGAAAAATTGCCTCTCAGTCAGGCAGTTGAAGAAATTGTTGTGGGAAAGTGTGTCCCCGGCTGGATTTATTCCAAGTTCTTTTTTCCATGTTTAATGAGAAGAAATCGGGAGACAAAGTACAGGAATGGGAGTAGGAGTTACTTAAAGACATTGAAGATACAGTGCACATTGGAAGGTGAATGTAGACAGCCTCATGGGGAGAAAAATGCAGTATGAGTAGGATTGCCTGCACCCCAGTTTAGTTGCCCTTTCATTGGGGTAAGAGGTACTCTAATTGAATATAATTGGGGTAAGAGGTACTCTAATTGAATATAAACAGAGTGGAATTTGGGCGGGGTTCACTGCACATGATGAACTTTGCAAGGTTTTCATAGAGTCTTCAGGGAGTCAATGCATGTGTTTATGGTCCTCATGCAGGAGGAAGCATAGGTGGTAAAGTGGTATGTGGGTGTGCTGAATTGGGGCATAAGTGGGTGGAGGCTTTTTTTTTTTTGAAATACAGGTACAGAAAGAGAGGTATTCCATCCACTAGTTCACTCCCCAGATGGCCGCAAACAGCCAGAGCTGCGCCAATCCAAAGCCAGGAGCCAGGAGTTTCTTCTGGTCTCCCACATGGGTGCAGGGGCCCAAGGACTTGGGCCATCTTCTACTGCTATACCAGCCATAGCAGAGAGCTGGATCGGAAGAGGAGCAACCAGGACTAGAACCAGTGCCCATATGGGATGCTGGCGCTTCAGGCTGGGACTTTAACTCACTGTGCCACAGCGACAGCCCCGCCCCCCCCCCCCTTTGTTGTTTCAAGATTTATTTATTTGAAAGAGTTAGCGACAATGACAGAGATATTTCATTTGCTGATTGACTCACCAAATGGCTCCCCAGTAAAGCCAGGAGCCTTAACTCCATCTGGGTCTCCCATGTGGGATATCATCTTCCATTGCCTTCCCAGGTCCTTTATCAGGGAGCTGAATTGGAAGTGAAGCAGGCAGGATGCCAGTGTCACAGGTGGTGGCTTAACACACCAACCTCTGGGGTAATTTTATAGTGGCCACTTGAGGGGTGAACCAATGGAAAAGGGAGGACTTTTCTCTCTGTCTTTCTCTCTCTCTCTCTAACTCTGCCTGTCAAAAAAAATTTTTTTTAAAAATACTGCATACGATTCTATAGGATTTCATCTCAGTTCAGTGAGGAAAAAACATTTTTGCTTTGTTTTGTTCACTAATGGATATTAACGGTTATATATGCATTCACTGACCATTTTAATTCTCTGTATATATAGCCTTTGGCATATTTCAAGTGGGTGGTCAGACTCGAATGATTTTTAAGAACTTTGTACAAATGGAAGACATGAGCTTGAGATGTAGTTTTAATATTCTCTCCAGTTTTTATTTTGAACCTTCAAATATTCTTTGTACTATTTAGTCAGATCTGTCAGTTTTTCTCTGCTCTTATTTTTATACTTAAAGCATTTTGACTTCAAAATTGTATATTATTAAGAATCTGGCTGCTCTGAATAACTCACAAGTAAAATCATGGCAATGTTTGTTCTGACTGACATCACAAAACATAATGTCCTTTAGGTTCATCCATGTTGTAGAATGTGACAGGATTTCCTTTTAAAATATAGATAATCATTATATAGATATGCCATATTTTGTTGATCCATTTACCCATCATAGACATTGGGGTTGCTTCTACATTTTGGTTCTTGAAAATAGCTGCTGTACACTTGTGTGTACAAGTATCTCTGAAGTCCTGCTTTCAGTTTTTTGGGATAATATCCGAAATGGAATTGCTAGATCGTATTATGGTTATATTTTTAATTATTTTTTAAAGATTTGTTTGTTTATTTGAGAGGCAGAGTTACAGAGAGAGGGAGAGACAGAGACAGCCGAAGCCAGGAGCTTCTTCTGGGTCTCCCACACAGGGACAGGGGCCCAAGTACTTGAGCCATTTCTCACTGCTTTCCCAGGTCATCATTAGGGGTCGGGATTGGAACTGGAGCAGCCAGGACTTTGGAACCAGCGCCCATATGGGGTGCTGGCCATGGTGGAGGCTTAACCTACTACATATGCCACAATTCCTACCCCTATATTTTTAATTTTTTTGAGGATACTTGATAATTTATACTATAGTGCCTGTATGGTTTGCATGTTGTATTTTTTTAAATGTTTAAATATATATAGAAAAATGCAGAAGGTACCAGCAAATAATTACAAACATGTAGAATAAAAAAACAAGTTCCTACCATCCCCAAGCCCTTCTCTTTCTCCTCCTTCCTGTTAGGAGCCTGTGTTTCAATTTGGCTAATAATGGTTTTAGAAATTTTATTAAATGGCATCATACAGTAAGTGTTTTTGTGTCTTAGTAGTATATAGATACAATTTGATCATTTTCATTGATATATTATTATGTAGTACTACTTTGCCACTATGTATCCATGCTGTTGTAGAAGGCAAACATTTTGGTTGTTTCAGATTGTGGCTTTTAATAATACTTTTAATGTAGAAGCAACCCCAATGTCTATGATGGGTAAATGGATCAACAAAATATGGCATATCTATATAATGATTATCTATATTTTAAAAGGAAATCCTGTCACATTCTACAACATGGATGAACCTAAAGGACATTATGTTTTGTGATGTCAGAACAAACATTATACTGTTTATAATCAAATACTGTTTATAATAATACTGTTATAGGGTCTGGTGCTGTGGCTTAGCAGGTAAAGCTTCCCTCTGCAGTGCTGGAATCCTATATGGGCACCAGTTTGAGTCCCAGCTGTTCCACTTCCGTTCCAGCTCTCTGCTGTGGCCTGGGAAAGCAATGCAAGATGGCCCAAGTCCTTGAGCCCTTGCACCCATTTGAGAGACCTGGAAGAAGCTCCTGGCTCCTGGCTTCGGATTGGCACAGCTCTGGCCATTGGGGCCATCTTGAGAGTGAACCAGCAGATGGAGGTTCTCTCTCTCTCTCTCTCTCTCTCTCTCTCTCTGCCTCTGCCTCTGCCTCTGCCTCTGCCTCTCTGTAACTCTGCCTTTCAAATAAATAAATCTTTTAAAAAAATAATAGTACTGCTATGAACATTCTTGATCATAATTTTATTTTGTGCACATAATCATGGATGCAATTATTGTATCCTGAGGTAGACATTCAGTTTTAGTAAATACCACAGTAAAAAAAAATGAATTTTGTAAATATTTATTCTCATGGACAGTATAATGAATTATATTACTGTTTCACATATTATTGCTAGTACTTTGTGTTAAAAGTATTTATCAACTTCAAGTATTTTGGGGGAATGAGTGAATTTTTTAAAAGATTTATTTTTTAAAGACACAGTTACGACAGAGTGGGTGGTAAACAGAGATCTTCTGTCCACTGGTTCATTCCCCAGATGGCTGCAGTGGCTGGAGCTGGGCCGATCAGGAGCCAGGAGCCAGGAGCTGCTTTTTGGGTCTCCCACAAGGGTGCAGGGGCCCAAGCACTTGGGTCATCTTCAACTGCTTTCCAAGGCACATTAGCAGGCTGCTCTGGAAGCAGTGCATCCAAGACTCAAACAAGTACCTTTATGGGACACCAGCACTGCAGACAGCAGCTTTGCCCACTACACCATAGCACCAGCTCCATGAGTAAATCTTACTATGACTTAATTTGTATTTTCTTGATTAAGGTTGAGCTTCTTTTGTTGTTGATTGGCTGTTTGCATATTGTCTTTTGTGAAGTTCCTAATAAAATCCCCTACAATTTTCCCTCTGGGTTGTCATTTTCCTTGTTGTTTTGTAGAGTTTCTTTACACTTCTTGCATTAATAAACAAAAATTTGGTTACACAGGTGGGAAATGTCTTCCATTCTTTGAAATACTTTTTAAACAGGAGGGTGTTTCCATTATTCTTTAGAATATCACTGCCTAATACAGTAGGAGACCCTAGTTCTATATGGTTATTTAGAGTTAAATTAATTAAAGGTAAGTAAAATTATAAATTCCCTTGCTTCATCACAGTAACCACATTCTAGGTGCTTACTATGTGGTTAGTAGCAACCCTATTGGAAAATAAAGATAGATTATGTCCATAATTGCAGAAAAGTTCCACTGGACAGTGTTGTCCTAGAACCTCATTATTGTAACTTCACATTTATATCTCTGATTGACCTGCAGTTGATTTACATGAGTGGTTTAAGGTAGAAGTTAAGCTTTATTTTATTTTGTATGATTAGCCCATGGACCTATCATTTAGTGAAAGGACTATCCTTTCCCCTTGGCACAGCATGGCTAGTGTCCAGTGTTGTCATAATTCAGGGCTATTTTTATACCATCTATTCAGTTTCATTGATATGTTTATCCTTTTGCCAGTACTACTCTCTGTCTTCATTACTTTGCTTTAAGATTTGGATGTGATATAGAATCCTTATGGATTCTGTTTGCATCTGTTTTGAACATGTAAAAATCTAATTTTGTACACAGTGATTTTGATATATGTTAGGTGTGTCCGTGTTTATTTCAGAGCTGAATTCTTGCTTCTTCAGGTTTACTTTAGGTTTAATTAATTTATTTTAAAGGCATAGAAACAGACAAACAGACTTCTATATGCTGTGGTTTATTTCTGGGCCAGGCTGAGGACAGGAGCCAGGAACTCAGTCTACATCTCCCACCTAGGTTGTAGGGACCTAACTAATTGAGCTGTCATTTGATGCTTGCCAGGGTGTGCATCAGCAGCAAGCTGAATTCAGGAGTGGTACCTGGACTCAAATCCAGGTACTCTGATATGGGATGTGAGCATCTCAAATAGCACTTTTTTTTTTTTTTTATGATTTATTTATTTAGGCCAGCGCCGTGGTTCAATAGGCTAATCCTCTGCCTGCAGCGCCAGCACACGGGGTTCTAGAGCTGGGCCGATCTGAAGCCAGAAGCCAGGAGTTTCCTCTAGATCTCCCACACTGGTACAGGGGTTCAAGCACTTGGATCATTGTACACTAGCTTCCCAGGCTGTAGCAGAGAACTGGATTGGAAGTGGGGCAGCTTGGTCTTGAACCAGCGCCCATATGGGATACTAGCACTGCAGGCAGCAGCTTTACCCTCTACATCTCAGCACCAGCCCCTCCCCCGCATTGGCATCTTAACCATTAGTTCAGACCAGATCCCCCCGCCGCCCCCCCCCCCGCCATTAAGTCATTTTGTTGTTACTATTTATTTAAGTCTTTATTGGATGTCTGTAATGTGCCAAACACTGTTTCAGGTGTTGTAGATAAAACACTTCTCAATTTATTACAAAAAATTTTATGTAAATAGATTGTATGATGGAAGAAAATATATTCTCATGGTGGTTATAAAGACAAGCTGAGAAAAAGAGAAGAAAAACGGCAAGAAAACCCAAGTAGGAAGCACTAAAAAAGGTGTCAGAATCCTTTTATAAGTATAGGAGAGTTTCTAAAACAAAAACAAAGCCTTCTGGGCCAGCGCCGTGGCTCACTTGGTTAGTCCTCTGTCTATGGCACCGCCATCCCATTTGGGTGAAAGGTTCTAGTCCCGGCTGTTCCTCTTCCAGTCCAGCTCTCTGCTGTGGCCTGGGAGGGCAGTCAGTGGAAAATGGCCCAAGTGCTGGGGCCCCTGCACCCGGGTGGGAGACCAGGAGGAAGCACCTGGCTCCCGGCTTCGGATTGGTGCAGCGCTGGCCGTAGCAGGCATTTGGGGAGTGAACCAACGCAAGGAAGACCTTTTTCTCTGTCTCTCTGTCTCTGTCTCTTTCTCTCTCTCTCTCTCACTCACTGTTTATAACTCTACTTGTCAAATAAATATAAAAAAGAAAAGCCTTCTTTGACTTCAATTCTCATTTGAGTGACACAGTGTTGAAGGCATGGAATTCTCAGACTTGGCCACACACTTCCTGCAGAGAGAACTGTGCTGTCTTGTTTGTTATTATGTGACTGCTCCTCCCCAAGTTTGAGGAAGGTCCCACTGCCAGCTCACAGCTCAGCTCTCTGCAGCCCACTGTGGTTTACCACTCACATGTATTTGTTTTCTGTTAGTACTACTGTTGTCTCATGCCATTCTTTGTCCCATGGGTTTGTCTTTAAAAATTTCTTTAAAATTTGTCTTTAAAAATTTCTTTAAAATTTCAGTGAGATTTCAGGAGGGAGGGATGCTAATGCTTGTGTTCAATCCTGCATCTTTAACTTTTTAAGCCTAATTCTCCTAGTCATGCTTTTTCTCCCTGATGCAAGGAGATGGCACTTCTTGAAGTGCAATGAGACTGCTAAGACAACTCCATGATTGTGTTTTCAGATCTTGTAATAGATCATATGTGGACCGTGTTCTTGAGCATGATGTTCATGTTCTGTTGGAGGAAGTATTTTCATAGTTTTGTGCTTTTCCATGTTAATCATTAAATATGAGTTGAGTGAGTAGCCTGTCCTTGGCTCTTTATATTGCTTAACTAAATTGTATGGACCTTAATTTCTACTTTTAACTAAAGTTTTACATAGATAGTTATTTGAAGGCGGGGAATCTGTGTTAAGTCTGTACGCTCTAGGACTTAGTATACCATGAGTACTGAAGACTCTTGTTTAAACTTTAAATGAAAAGCCAAAGTTTAAAATCTGTCATTGCTACTAAAAATTAAACTGTTGTTTGATGCATTGTCTTTGTCTTGATATAATGATGAACCTGTGAGGCTGAATAATTTTAGGTAGAATATTTATGATATTTGTTCTAAAGTGAAATTTGAGTTATATATACATTTAATGTGTCAAAGTATCTAATTTGATATATGAATATAGTAAGAACAAGGATCAGAATTTGACTTCATTTCCTGCACTTCCCTGTTCTTTTGTATACTCTGCATTTTTAACATTGGCATACACACTAATAGGTGATACTGGTATCTGAGGGTTCGGATATAAATAAATAAATAATCCAGATCACAAGCTACTAGAAAAATTATGTACATACAAGATGATGCAGTTAAATTTCTTTTGATTTGGAGGAACATGATGGTCTGCTGTTATCAAGTAATTCTGGTACTTAAAAGAATTGACTGTGATACCCAATTGTACGTTTTTATTTAAACTACTTTTTTGTATATTCTTTTTTAACTAGACTTTTAATGCTTTTGATTTAGGTGTTTTAATTGTGTGATGATAGATCAGAGGGTGAAATTCTAAACATGATTTCAACTCTCACTTTTGCTGAGGTATTGTTAACTGAAATAGTTAACTAGTAATTTGTTTATGCCATAGCTTAAATAATATTTTTGGAAACAAGTCATCATCAGGTGTAATACTCAGAACAAGGGTGATTAGGGAGGGCAAGCAGTTGTTGATGAAGGTACGTGAGGATACTCTTGGGTAATGTTGAATGTGGACTTTATCAGATCTGGGTAACAGTGACTTTGGAGTGGGAGTAGGGGTCAAATGGAGTCATTTCATTCACCTGTTGTGAGAGTTTTTCATCAGTAAAATAATCAAAAGGCATTTTGAAAAGGAGAGAACTCTCTGTCCTCTCTCTCTCTCTCTACCTATCAAATAAAAAAAAGGGGGGGAGAGGAAAACATTGTCTTAAGTGATAGATTGGAAATTGACCTCCTAAAATGGGCAAAAAAAAAAAAAAAAAGTTTGCCTCAGCCAGCTGTTTCTGAGCAAACTTCTTTAATCTTTACTTTTTAAAAGAACTTCCTTATTATGCACACTTGAACTCAAAAATTTTTTTAATCTGTGTGCCTATACTATTTACTATGTATTATAAATTGACCAGGTTTATCCATATTCTCTTTAAAATTTATTTAGTTTATTTGGAAGACAGAGAGACAAGAAGGAGCGCTCTCATCTGCCAGTTCACTCCTCTAATGCCTGCAACAGCCAGGGCTGTGCCAAGCCAAACTCAGGAACTCTTTTGGATTTCCCATGTGGATGGCAGGGTCTCAAGTAGTTGAGCTGTCACCCGGGATGTGCATTAGCAGACAGCTGGGATGGAGATTGGCGCTGGTATTAAAATCCAAGTACTCTGATATGAGATGGAGACACCAGGAGCTGCAGCTTAACTGATGAAGCAAACACCCATCTTAGATCCATATTTAATATTTTTTTAGTGAATAAAGTTTATTTATTGCTTTATTTCAACCTCCCTCCCTTCAAACTTTCTTATTTCTTGAAAACTTTTTTATTATTCATTTGGAAGGCAATTAGAGAGAGGGAGAGACAGAGATTTTTCATCCCACTAGTTCACTCCCCAAATGGCCACAATGGCCAGGGCTGTCCCAGACTGAAGCCAGGAGCCAGTAGCTTCCTCCAGTTCTCCCCATGGGGCCCAAGCACTTGGGCCATCTTGAGCTGTTTTCCCAGGTACATTAGTGGGAGAGCTGGATTGAAAGTGGAGCAGCAGTGTGATGCAGGCATCACATAGATTGTTTTTTTACCCGCTATACCACAGTGTCTGCTCCTCCTTGAAAACCTTTAAAGATAAATAATCTAATTATATGTAAAGGGCCCCTAATAGGCTGCCAGAGTTCACAGGGTTAATTGATCACATTTGGTTTCTCTGAAATATTTCTCAACAGTGGTCCAAATATGTTTGTTTCCATTTTAGAACAAAATCCAGTCTCATAGCAGAGGAGAATACAATGTTTACAGCACCTTCCAGAGCCATGAACCAGAGTTTGACTACTTGAAAAGTTTAGAAATAGAAGAAAAGATCAACAAAATTAGGTGGTTACCCCAGAAAAATGCTGCTCAGTTTCTATTGTCTACCAATGGTAAGTGTACATTTTCTCCTTTCATGTACCAACTATGTACACATTTCCTATTGGGAATATTCTCCTCTTTTCAAAGAGCAATTAGTTAGCCATCTCTGTGAACAGACATCATTAGGAAAGTTTTTTTCCCCTTGTACAAAATGTGAATTCTTTCATTCTCACATGCAGTTTTTAGAATTCCAATACTAGGCCGGCGCCGCGAATCCTCCGCCTGTGGTGCTGGCACACCAGGTTCTAGTCCCGGTCGGAGCGCCGGATTCTGTCCTGGTTGCCCCTCTTCCAGGCCAGCTCTCTGCTATGGCCCGGGAATGCAGTGAAGGATGGTCCAAGTCCTTGGGCCCTGCGCCCCATGGGAAACCAGGAGAAGCATCTGGCTCCTGGCTTCGGATCAGTGCGGTGCGCCGGCCGAAGCGGCCATTGAGGGGTGAACCAACGGCAAAAGGATGACCTTTCTCTCTCACTATCCACTCTTCTTGTCCAAAAAAAAAAAAAAAAATATTCCAATACCAGTTTTTGTTGAGCACATGTTTACTTTGTAATGAAAAGGATGAGCTATTCCGTCACTGGATTTAGATTCTGTTTGTTACTTTCAGCCTGATAGCATTGGGTGGATTCCTAACACTTGGTTGAATTTTCTTCATTAGCAAACTGATGATAGTAATGTCTGTCGTATAGTAGTATTCAGAGTATTGAATATGGCAGTTCTTTGCGTAAAATGCTCAATAAATGTTAATTTCTTTTCCTCTTTTTTAAGTGTACTGAACCTCTACAGAGAGTATTTCAAATGGTAAATATAAAATACTCTGTCAAAGTAAGGTTTCCCATTCCAGGATAGTCTCCAATAGAACACTCTTCATTCTTCCCTCCAACCCTCCTACCCTTCCCTTTTAAGATTTATTTGACAAGCACAGTGAGAGAGAAGTTGACTGAAATCTTCCATTCACTGGTTCTCTCTTCAAATGGCTGGGGGGGTCAGGGCTGATTAAGACTGAAGCCAGGAGTCTGGAACTCCATCTTGGTCTCTCATTTGGGTGGCAGGGGCCCCAATCCTCCACTGCCTTCCCAGGCACGTTACCAGGGAGCTGGATTGAAGCAGAGCAGCCAGAACTCAAACTGACACTAGAAACGAAACACCAATGTCATAGACCACAGCTAACCTGCTGCCCTACAAATACCAACTCCCAAACTCTTAGTTCTTGATCCTCATTAGCATATTACCCTCTTGCGGCAAGCCATTTGTGTAGAGGAAAGTTCTCATATTGTTTTACTTGTCCAGGGAAAGTTATTAAGTGGAGATTAGAATGGTAAGAGTTGGATGGTTTCTTTTGGTTCTTCTGATTCTTTTTTTTTTTTTCCTGCTGTATGTTGTCAGGACCTGGTTTACCTTTGGGACCTCAGTTCTAAAGAGAAACGTTAAGAGAGATTTAGGGCTTACTTGAGATGCTGTGTAGTGATGGTCTGTACAGATTTAGATTGAAACTTTTTGAAGCTGACACAAGGGTTGGGGAGAAACATCTGATATTATCTCATCCCCTTACTATTAATAAGACAATTCCAGGGGCTGGCACTGTAATGCAGCATGTTGAACTGCTGCGTGCAGCACTTGCATCTCACATGGGCACCAATTCAAGTCCTGGCTTCCCCACTTCCGACTAGCTCTCTGCTAATGCACCTGGAAAGAAGCAGAATATGGCACAAGTGCTTGGGCCCCTACCACCCATGTTGGAGACCTCTCCTGGATTTGGCATGGCCCAACCCTGGCTGTTGCAGCCATTTGGGGAGTGAACCAACAGATGGAAAATCAGTCAATCTCTCTCTCTCTCTCTCTCTCTCTCTCTCTCTCCCTCTCCCTCTCCCTCCCTCCCTCCCTCCCTCCCTCCCTTCCTCCCTCTCCCCTTTTAAATAAAATGAATCTTTAAAAAAAAAAAGGAATTACAACTTTACTATTTGCAAAATATGCACTAGGATGCACTAGGGTGACTTCTGGGGTGATATGGTAAAAGATACCGAGTACTCCATCATTCAGCTTATGCCTCGTAGTCACTATGTTCAGTTCCTATAAATGCAGTCTACAGAATACCACTCCGATACCATATGTATTTTTCTCTTAGGAGAGGTGCCAGTGTTTCTGATCGCCAAAGTTCTTTCCAACCAGCACTTGAAATGTGTAACCCTTGCCTCTTTTTTTTTTTTTTTTTTACATAAACTGCATTCCCCTCTCTCTTCCTTTCTTAAAAAAAAAAAAATACACTGAACTATATAACTCATTAAAGTCTGAAATTCACAGCATCATGGATGGGTGAACTGTGTGTGTTTCTGTCATTTAGTGGCTTCTAATCTTGGTTCAGGTTTAATTTATACAGAAAACTAAGTTAAATTCAAACAGCACTCAGTTATTTTCTTTGTTATTAAATAATACATAATTGTGCCATTTATATAATTTCTAGTTTTAGAAGTAGATGTCCCTGGGATGAATAATGTTAATATATTTCAGGTAATTAGAATATTTGTTCCTAATGATTGTGACAGATCATTTTTATAGGCTAAATTGTCTTTTTATAAGGGAACTTTTTTTTTTAAAGATTTATTTATTTATTTGAAAGAGTTACACAGAGAGAGAAGGAGAGGCAGAGAGAGAGAGGTCTTCCATCCGTTGGTTCATTCCCCAATTGGCTACAACGGCTGGAGCTGCGCCGATCGAAAGCCAGGAGCCAGGAGCTTCCTCCAGGTCTCCCATGTGGGGGTGTAGGGGTCCAAGGACTTGGGCCATCTTCCACTGCTTTCCCAGGGCATAACAGAGAGCTGGATTGGAAGAGGAGCAGCCAGTATGCAAACTGGCGCCCATGTGGGATGCCAGCACTGCAGGTGGCTTTTTTTTGGGGGGGGGGGTGCAGGAAGAGTGGACAGAGAGAAAGGTCTTCCTTTACCTTTGGTTCACCTTCCAATGGCTGCTGCGGCTGGCGCGTCGCGCTGATCCGAAGCCAGGAGCCACGTACTTCTCCTGGTCTCCCATGCGGGTGCAGGGCCCAAGCACTTGGGCCATCTTCCACTGCACTCCCAGGCCATAGCAGAGAGCTGGCCTGGAAGAGGGGCAACCGGGAAAGACTACGGCGCCCTGACCGGGACTAGAACCCAGTGTGCCGGCACTGCGATTAGCCTGTTGAGCCGTGGCGCCGGCCAAGGTGGCGGCTTTATCTGCTGCACCACAGCACCAGCCCCAAAGGGGGACTTTTTTTTAAGATGTAGACTGAAGTACAGAGAATGATAATGAAGTTGCATGTGCCAGTCACCAAATTTCAGCAGTTCTTAGTTCATGGCCAGTTTCTTTCTCAGGTACTTCTTTCCCTCCGCAGTGTGCTGAGGCTCAGCATGGATTAAATCTTATCTTCAGTTCTGTTTATATCCATGAGATTCTTCCTTGGAGCCTTCTACATGTTCCTCTGGCAACTTCGTATCACCAGAAATAAAACACAACTAACAAGGGAATGTGTTTGTGTGCATGCTAATCAGTGCTTAAAAATAGGCCCCAGAATGAAAACCTGGGAATTTTATGGATGATTGTGTTTGAGTATGATGAAAAAGAGGAAAGGATAGGAGGAATAGGATTTAAGCTGTATCTGAAAGCTTTTTGTAAAAACAGCAATTTGAGAAAAACATCAAAAAAATCTGTTAAATCTGAGTAACATCTTCTGTTATCTTGTGTAGTTTTCTCTGTGATGACCCTAGCATTATACAATAGTACTCTCCTCTCCCCCCACTCAGAAGTAATGATACCCATAAAAAAAGATTAGAGTCTGCGACTTTGGAAGAATGTTTTAAAATGGTACCAAACTTTGTAGATTTGACCATTTTCACTTACTTTCTTCTTTTAAGATTTATTTATTTATTGAAAGGCAGAGTTACAGAGAGGCATAGGCAGAGAGGTCTTCCATCTGCTGGTTCACTCCCCAAATGGCCGCAATAGCCGGAGCTGTGCTGATCCAAAGCCAGGAGCCTGGGTTCTGGGTTTCCCTGTGGGTGCAGGGGCCCAAGCACTTGGGCCATCTTCTACTGCTTTCCCAGGCCATAGCAGAGAGCTGGATCAGAAGTGGAGTAGCCAGGACTGGAACTGGCGCCAAATGGGATGCTAGTACTACAGGCAGCAGCTTTACCTGCTACACCACAGTGCCGGCCCCTTTATTTTTTTCTTTACACTAACTTCCGGTGATCATTATAAACTACAGCTTCTCAGATTTTTTTATTCAAATTTTTTTATTATGTGACTTCATAGTCACATTTTTTACATCATCAGTTCTGAAATGTTTTTATTCTTTTTAATCTTTTGCCTTTCTCTGGATTTTTGCTAATTCATCCACATTAAAAAAAAATGTCAAACTAACCTGTTGACCGTGAGTTCTGAATACATGAATATTACAGTTTCTTAATAAATTGTTGGTTTTAGCAGCTTGTTGATAAAATAGTTGTTTAGGTCTTATGTAAATCTGCATTCCCACAAGAGAGACTTTGGTAACATTGTTTTCTCTGTTACAACTTTATGCTGGAGTCAGAAAGACAAAGGAACATGTGGACTTGTGGAACACTTGAGCTGAGCTATTAGTGTTGAAAATACAGGGAAATAGCACAGAGCAACAAGTTTGGAAGGAAGAGATCTCATTGAGAGTCTAATAATCCCTTGCCCTGAAAAGTGTATATATGAGGCTGGCGCTGTGGTGTACCGGGTAAGGCCACCGCCTATAGTGCCAGCATCCCATATGGGCATTGGTTTGGGTCCCAGCTGTTCCACTTCTGATCCGGCTCTCTGCTGTGGCCTGGGAAAGCAGTGGAAGATGCCCTAAGCCCTAGGGCCCCTGCATCCACATGGGAGACCTGCAGGAAGCTCCTAGCTCCTGGCTTCAAATCGGCGCAGCTCCGGCCATTGTGGCCAACTGGGGAGTGAACCAGCAGATGGAAGACCCCCCCCCCCTTCCCTCCTTCCCTCCCTCCATCCCTCTGTCCCTGCCTCTGCCTCTGCCTCTCCTCTCTCTCTATGTAACTCTGACTTTCAAATAAATAAACCATAAAAACAGTATATATTTACATAGTCTTGTGTACAATTTTATGTACTTTGATTATTTTCATTTACCTCGTCCTAAGGACCAAAAGCTTCAGGTTAAAACAAAACAAAACAGAAAACCTCTGTAGAACATAAGGATTTCGAAATTTTTGTCATTTATTAAATTACTAATTTGTTTCTAATCTGCCTTGTCTTCAAGGTACTGCACTGAAATGATGTACTGTCATCGTACTTCTGTATCCTATGTTTATACTCTTGAAAAAAGTCTTTATCCTCCTGAGCCTCAAAATTTATCAAAATATTTTGTTTTTGGTTTAATGTGTTTTAATGTCCAATTTTTCAGGAATTTAAAAAAGAGTTCTTCCAGCATTACACTATTAGGAACCTCAAACTAAAATTGTCTTATTTGAAAGTTTGGTCACAATTTGAAATATTGTGATTTATTTATCTAATCCTTAATAGAAGTGATGAATTTAAACAAGACACAAAACAGCTAGGGGATGCATCACTTAACTGCTGGAATATTACACACATCATTACATAGGGTTTAGGAAAAAATAATAGATTACAAGTTGCAAGAGTTAGGAATCTTACTGGGTTTAGAGCTTCATATTTCAGAAAGGTATCCATTGAAATAACTCGTGTTCTTCTGTAAGAGAGAGATAGCCAGACATAAGGGGTCACTGGTATCTTGAGTTGCTTTGAACTACTTTATAAGATGACTAAAATTGTTAGACCTTCTTACTTGTGAAAGATTGGAATGTAATGATTTTATGTAAGATGCAATTTTAGTATCACACAGTATTAACTAAATGCATATGTGTCTAGGGTAATATAAACAATTGAATAAGCATATGTATGTAGATAAAGAAGCGAGATATGGCTGTAATTTGATTTGAGTATTACAAAGAGTACCATTAATGTTTAAATTTGTGATATCTGCACTGTATTTTTATGTGTATTTTTTTTTAAGACTTATTTATTTACTTGAAACTCAGAGTTACACAGAGAGAGAAGGAGAGACAGAGAGAGAGGTCTTCATCCGCTGGTTCACTCCTCAATTGGCTGCAATGGCCGGAGTTGCGCCGATCTGAAGCCAGGAGCCAGGAGCTTCTTCTGGGCCTCCCATGTGGGTGTAGGGACCCAAGGACTTGGGCCATCTTCCACTGCTTTCCTAGGCCATAGCATAGAGCTGGATTGGAAGTGGAGCATCTGGGACACGAACTGGCGCCCATATGGGATGCTGGCACTGCAGGCGGCAGCTTTACCTGCTATGCCACAGTGCTGGCCCCGTATTTACTTTTATTCACCCAGTAATAGGAAACTTCTAATTAAGCCAGTTAAGGAATTTTATAAGAAAATCCTTTTTGGAAAAATAATGAAAATCACGCGTTTAAAATGCCTTAAAATGTTTTTGTTCTATCATTGTTACTACTTTTTAAGAACTTTCTTTATTCTTCTCCAGATAAAACAATAAAATTATGGAAAATTAGTGAAAGGGACAAAAGACCAGAAGGGTATAACTTGAAAGAGGAAGATGGAAGATATAGAGATCCTACTACGGTTACTACACTACGAGTAAGTATATAAAAAATGGTTATAATTTTCATGAATAGTGATCTGTATTCTTATCATATAGGCTTAGATTCTGAGCAGAACCTGAATAGAAATAGAGTTAACCTACACCAACAATTCTGTAACCAGGTAGGACTTTGAATAATTCCCATTTAAATACAAAAATTGACATACATAGAGGCCCCACTGTAGCCAGGGCAGGACTAGAACTCAAAACAGAAGGCTGCTTTACACTACACACTCCCGCTCTCATAGTTGGAATGTCAGCTATTACAAGATTAAGCTTCAAGATTAATTCTATTTGGAGACCAAAAACTAGGGATGGGCCAAATTATACAATTGTAGCTAAAACTGTCCAGAATTAAATGCTATGGAATTATTTCCTATTTAGCCTTAAATTGCTGTGAACTGTAAGTACTTGTTAGCATTGTACTTCCTCAAGCAAATGATTTTGAACCAAGAAGAACTGCAAATTCTAATAGTATTGCTGCCAGTAAAAGAAGGTGAATTGTGGGACATCAGGTTAAGCTCCTTTTTGGGATGCCCATACCCCATATTGGTGTGCATGAATCAAATCTCACCTCCACTTCCTACCCAACCGCCTGCTAATTTGCACCCAGGTAGGCAGGTGATATAATTCTTGACTCCTGACTTCAACCTGGCCCAGCTCTTGCTGTTGCAGGCATTTGGAAAGTGAACCAGCAGAAACAAGATATCTATTATTTTCTCTCTGTTCTTTCAAATAAATTTAAAAAGTAAATAAACTTTAAGATAAATTGTCCAGGAGCCAGGCCGTGGTGCAGCAGCTTAAGCTGCCACCTGCAGTGCTGGCATCCCATATTGTTGCTGGTTCAAGTCCCCACTGCTCCACTTCTGGTCCAGCTTTCTGCTAATGCACCTGGGAAAAGCAGCAGAAGATGACCCAAGTATTTGGGCCCCTGCCACCCCCATGAGAGACCTAGAAGAAGCTCCTGTCACCTGTCTTCTGGCTGGCCCAGCCCTGGTTGTTGGCAGCCATTTGGGGGGAGCGAATCAGCAGATGGAAGATCACTCTCTCTCTAACTCTGCCTTTAAAAAAAAATTAAAGATATGTTCATTTTCTGCTGATTTGAACAATTTAAGGAGTCATCATCAGTTCATTTTTAAAGCTAATCTATGTAATATTGTACCATTCTTTGTCCTCTCAAAAATTACAGTAATGAAGTGTTCTGAGCCTTATGTGCTATTTGAAGCAGTGAACCTTTTGTAATTTATTTTTCATGTGTCTTATTGACAGGTGCCAGTCTTTAGGCCCATGGATCTAATGGTCGAGGCCAGTCCACGAAGAATATTTGCCAATGCTCATACATATCACATCAACTCAATTTCTATTAATAGTGATTATGAAACTTATTTATCTGCAGATGATTTGCGGATTAATCTTTGGCATCTGGAAATTACAGACAGGAGTTTTAGTATCCATTTGTTTTCTTGTTTGACGGCATACTGTGCTCATGTTGGATTTATTTTTGTCTCTTTAATGTATTTGATTGCTCCTTTGTATGGTATCTTAGTATGTACATAATTAAACACTATAGGAAAGTTATTTGATAAAGGATAAAGAGTATAATGTATTGATGTAAAAATTAAATTCATGAAATTTTAAGGAATTTGGTGATTTGGGTTTTTATAATTTAGTGTTGAAATTTTAACTAAGAGTAATATAAATTTAATTATAAAAATATTCTTAAGATTGGAAAAAATTCTTACAAAGCATGATGTAGGATAATATAAAATTGATAGAAATACTTCTTTGAACTTCATTTTTATTATTTATATTATCCTCCTGGAAATTTTCTGTCCATATACATGTTCATGATGTTAACATGTAATTGGATACATGTATATAATATATAAGTATACAAGTGCCTACAAATACTTGTTTTTTTTTTTTTAATTTCTTTAAAATTTAAAATAAATGTTAGGAACTTTTAGTAGTTAATATGTATATTTTTGAAAATTAAATTGTTATTCTACCATCAGTGTATGAAAGACTTATTTTCTTATGCCTTTGCTATGAAGCTTTTAATTTATCTGCAGATAAATTGTAGTTCATCAGAAAATTTTCTTCTTGCATTATGAGTAGATTTGAGTATCATGTTTACTAGCAATTTATATTTCTTTTTGTTCTTTTTCTAGCTTTCCCCACTGTATTTCTCTGTGTTGTGTGTATGTGTGGTTTAAGCACCTTTTGGTGTTAACTAGGTGTATTGTTTGTGATGCAGGTAGTTTCTCTTTTTTACCCTCTTGGGGTTTTTGTTTGTTTTGGGAATTCTGTTAATACTTTAAAGGCAAATTTATAAATAACTTGTGGGATTTGTATGCTACATAGCCAGAAAGATCTTTACATTCTAAAGTGATTTAAAATTTGCAGTATTTTAGAAGATTTATCACTTTAGCAGTAAATTTTTAACTCTCTCTAGGGTTTATACTCGAGTAGAATGTAATTCCAGATAATACTTGTGTCTGGATCTGTGAGCGGATTTTGAGAAATGTAAAATTACATTTGCTTTTCTAAGTGTAAATTCCTTAATAAAATGCTATCCAGATATTGTGGATATCAAACCTGCCAATATGGAAGAACTAACGGAAGTAATTACAGCAGCAGAATTCCATCCAAATAGCTGTAACACGTTTGTATACAGCAGCAGTAAAGGAACTATTCGGTTATGTGACATGAGGGCATCTGCCCTCTGTGATAGGCATTCTAAATGTAAGTATTTCACTTTTCTTTAAAACGATGACACAGTCTATTTGTATGAAACTAACCTCAGACATGATGACTATATTTACAGAGGTTTACAGATCTTAACTTTTATACATAGGGCCTCTTTTAACCTTTATTAAACTCCCTAACTCTTCTTGGGGCATCACATGTTACTCCACTGAAAGAACATAGTAAGGCTCTCCGGGGGCGTTTCTTTTGATTCCCAATGAATATATTTTTAATGGAGTGCTTATTTTTAGGAACTTGAGGTTGAGCTTTTCAACTTTATCTTCAAATAGAGCCATTCCTTTGCTTTCATTCCCTCCCCATTCCTTCCTTTTCCCCTCTATTTTGAGCTTCCTAGGAATATTTGGTTCAGAGGTTTTCTTGGCTTAAAAAAAGCATTTGAAAACCACTCGGTTAAAAAGTTAAGGGGTTGCAGTATTCTGTTTGTATTATTGAATGTTTTTAAAACTCATGAAAATTTGGTGTGTGTGTATTAACTGAAACAACTTTATGTGGCCACCAGAAAATAAAATTGAGGTATGATTTGGATGAGTAGGATAGTGTTCTTCTTGTGGTGGTAGAGGTCAAGTCAGTTAAGTCTTGCAAAGTTGAGTCTGCCAGCCAACCTGGGGCACTGAAGACAGAAGCCCCAGCAAGTCTGGTTTTTAACCACATGACTCTGAAGAAGCTTTGAGGGAAGTTAATTGTTACAGCCAGAGAGGTATTTTTCAGTTCTTTATTAGCCTGTCATTTTATCTTGCTCTTAGGAAGTTTGTGAGTGGCTGTTTAAGGAAATGCTTTGTCTAAGCCAGAATATTGTACACGTTGCCGTTTTTTTTGCTTGTTTTTAGTGTTTGAAGAACCAGAAGACCCCAGTAACAGGTCATTTTTTTCCGAAATCATCTCCTCTATATCTGATGTAAAATTCAGCCATAGTGGTCGATATATGATGACTAGAGACTATTTGTCAGTCAAAATTTGGGACTTAAATATGGAAAACAGGCCTGTGGAAACATACCAGGTATTTGCAGTTTTCTCATTCAATGAGCATGTACCCTCTTTCATGTTTATAAAGAAGAACTTTGTACTAGGTGTACAAAATATTTTTTGTACTCACTATTCTACAGTTTTCACTGTTAGACATTTCCCCTCAAAGATCCAAGAGTGTGTTGCTTTTCCATATGTTAAATTTTGTATAACTTAAAAGATTGTGTTGTCATTCAATTTGCTGTTAACATATGATTTGGCTGTCATTTGATTCAAGAGTGTCTTTATTTTCTGCTGCGGTGTACATTTAAGGCAGAGAGAAAAGAGCATTAAAAACCAGTAAGGTCCAGGCAGGATGAGAATTGGAGAGAATGGCAGGCCTGCTTAGAGATGTGCATGCTCTGATTGGAAGATGTGCAGTAATCACTGAAGTGGAGCTTCAGTCTGGCATGCTGAGTTGAGTGAGCTCATTACTGGCTTTCATCTGATAGCTATAGTCTTAACATTTAAAGAACAAGGGTTTGAAAACCTAGCAGATGGCTAGCAGAGTTGCCTACTTGATCAATTTTAGGATGTCAGTTGTGAATTCTCTTGTCTTTCAGCTATTACCATTATTCCCTGTTCTCTGCTTCAGAAATAGAAAAGGAGTGAAAAAGCACACAATTGTCACTGAGTGGGAACAGCAGGAAGTTGTGTTAGGCCCTAGATTGGTGTAGAGAACACTTCACCTAGCCTTAGGAGTATGCAGTTCAGTTTATAGGTGATATCTTCTTAATGTGTTAGTATCTCAATAAAATTAGAATGAAGTTTCTTTCGAATCTCCTGTGATAAGCATAAACCACTCAAGATTCTTTTTAATGTTATTTGGAATTTCAAAGTAAATGCTACATTGAAACAAAAGCAATGAGATAAAATTCTGCTTTGTTTTCAAAGTACATTTGTGTAACTGCCAAGATTGATACATCTCCAAGTTATTCTCACCACCAACCTGTTGCCATTGAGAATAGTTGACTGGAATCTTAGCTTTCTACCCTTCAATAGTTTGGTGAGAAACCTTGTACTGTGTGCATTCTTATTAATTTTTTTGTATTACATGTTCACATTCAATCCTAATTCCACATGAGTTGGAGTTCCTCTGTATTACCAATTTTCACCTGATGTCACATAGACACGGTCTGTTTCATTCTACTATAATTAAAGTGGACATCCAAAATTTTAGTTTAGGTTGTTTCATAAAGAATAGAGAATTCTCAGCTTTTTAAGGGGTACCTATTCTTTCCTAGCGTTACTTTTTAAGGATCTCTTTCAGTTAAAAGTAATAGTAAGATAAAGTACATTTCATTGACTGTTAACATTTTATAAGTAATATCAAGTGATGCTATAAATTTTTAATGGTGCCTACCAAGGGTGTCCATATAATTTATCACCCGGCCAGGGCATGGTCATGTTATGGAAAGTATATGCATTCAGTTAAAAGCACAGTCCTCAGTTAAATTATGCCCAGGAAATGGTATTCTGGAAGTTAGTAAGCATGGTATTCATAGTTTTATCAGCAGCTAAAAGACTTAAAACCAAGAAGTGATAGTCAAATGGTGCTGTAATTTTCTTTTATGAGGTGCATATCTGTACCTTCTAATTTTTTCCATCTTAAATGTTTTGTTCAGGCTTACAACGGGTTACATGTGCCATACTAAGAAGGGAATTTTTCCCTGTCATTTAGGAGGAAAATTTTGCAGCCTCTTTGAAAGGCACATTTCTGTTACTGAGAGGATTGAGACTTAATGAGAGAGGAGGACTGTGTTTACATATATTAAGCCCTTTTTTGTTGTAAAGATAAGGGCTTTTTAAAAATACTTCTCTAAATTAAGTAGATAAATGTGTTGAGGTAAGCTCAGGTATATATGTTACATATCTGTGTTTTTCCTCAGGTGCATGAGTACCTCAGAAGTAAGCTTTGTTCACTGTATGAAAATGACTGCATATTTGACAAATTTGAATGTTGTTGGAATGGATCTGACAGGTAATTGCTTTTAATTTAAACTTAGAGAAAAGGGGTTTATTATTGCATTCTTCCTGGTATGGTTGCCAGTCACAAAAAATAGGGCTTTTTCTTTGAGACTTATTTATTTGAAAAGCAGAGAGGGAAAGATTTTTCATTCACTTTTTTACTTCCCAGTGACCACAACAGCTAGGAAAGGGCTAGGCTGAAACCAGGAGCCTACAGCTCCGTCCCAGTCCCCCACATGGATGTCCGGGACCCAAGCACTTGGACCATCTTCTGTCTCCTTCCCAGGCTTGTTTGTGAGGAGCTGAATTGGAAGTGAAGGAGTCTAAACTTGACCTCACACTTCAGTGTGGGATATGGCCATCTCAAGCAGTGGTTTAATCTACTTTGCTGCAACACCTACTCCCGGCTGACTTTTTTTTAGGTTGACATAAATTAAAAGTCCTAACTTCATTTTTTCCTTCGAGATTCCTTGAAATAAATTTAATAATCTTAGTTTAGTATAGCAATACTGGTCCATAAAAGTGAAGCATTCTTTCACTAGCAGATAGGAGAATATGTAGAATTTATAGATTTTTAAGAATGTTTTAAGGACCAGATAAATCACATTGACATACCAACAATTTATTTTTTATTTTTATTTATTTATTTTTTTTTGACAGGCAGAGTGGATAGTGAGAGAGAGAGAGACAGAGAGAAAGGTCTTCCTTTTGCCGTTGGTTCACCCTCCAATGGCCTTCGCGACCAGCGCGCTGCGGCCGGCACACCGCGCTGATCCGATGGCAGGAGCCAGGAGCCAGGTGCTTTTCCTGGTCTCCCCATGGGGTGCAGGGCCCAAGCACCTGGGCCATCCTCCACTGCACTCCCTGGCCACAGCAGAGAGCTGGCCTGGAAGAGGGGCAACCGGGACAGAATCCGGCGCCCCGACCGGGACTAGAACCCGGTGTGCCGGCGCCGCTAGGCGGAGGATTAGCCTAGTGAGCCGCGGCGCCGGCCGACATACCAACAATTTAAATGGTGAAATTTTGGTTCAGTTACTATCCTATTGTTGAACTATTCTTAAAATATTTGGGCAGCAGATATATTTCACTTGTGTTACTATGCACCAGTTTTTGTAGATTTTTTTTTTAATATTTTTTTTACTTATTTAAGAGGTATAGTTACAGGTTCAGGAGCCCAAGTGCTTGGGCCATCTCTCTCTCTCTCTCTCTCTCTCTCTCTCTTTTTCTTTTTTAAGATTTATTAATTTATTTGAAAGAGTTACAGGCAGAGAGAGAAAGAAATCCTCCATCCACTGGTTCACTCTCCAGATGGCCACATTGGCCGGAGCTGCACCAGTCCGCAGCCAGGAGCTTCCTCTGGGTCTCCCACATGGGTGCAGTGGCCCAAGGACTTGGACCACTTTCCACTGTTTTCCCAGGCCATAGCAGAGAGCTGGATCAGAAGTGGAGCAGCTGGGACTCAAACTGGCATCCATGAGGGATGTCAGCGCTGCAGGTGACAGCTTTACCCACTATGTCACAACACTGGTCCCTGGGCCATCTTCTACTGCTTTCCCAGGCCTTAGCAGAGAGCTGGATTGGAAGAGGAGCACCCAGGACTAGATCGGTACCAGCTGCAGGCAGAGGATTAAACTACTGCACCACAGCACTGGTCCTCGGTTTTTCTAGATATTGACACCTTATGGAAGTAGTAATAAGTCTTTCTTTCAGTCTTTTAAATGTCAACATGTACCACTTACTATGTTCCGATAAAAAATAGTAAAAGAAAGCAGCATTTTGGAGTTCTTTTAAAACTACATTTAAAGTAGAGATGCTTACTTTATACAGTAGATTCATCCTGGTTTCATGATGTTATGTGTTCTAGAGGATATTAAAACTTGAAACATTTAACTTTTAAAAGTTTCAGCCATACATTGGTTCGGTTGCTCCTCTTCTGATCCAGCTGCCTGCTAACAGCCTGGGAAAGTGATGGAGGACGCGGCCCGGGTGCTTGAGCCCCTGCCCTCTCGTGGGAGACCTGGAGGAGGCTCTGACTATTGGCATCAGATTGGCCCAACTCTGACTGTTGCAGCCATTTGGGGAGGAAACCAGCGGATGAAAGAACCTCTGTCTCTCCCTCTCACTGTCTATAACTCTGCCTTTTAAATAAATAAATATTTTCTTAAAAAAAAAATGTTTCAGCGATAGACTAGGCATCCTAATCAAAACCTTACAGATTTACATAGTGAATCATTTTTAAGAAAATAAGAGTTTATTGTATGTAGGGACGTGTACCAATTTGAGTTTGGTTAAAAATTGTCTGTTGAGTAGATGAAAATCATTTGTTTTTAATAGATAACTTGTGTACATAATATACATAGTACAATAGTGATTTGAGCCATGTGGAAAGGAGATAGTAAATGGTAGTAGTACCAGTCAGGCCCTTCCTGAGTTATTAATGATTTTATTTTTGTCAAATTTGGTTGATGAGGCTGTTTTGTAAATATTGAGCAAATAAGACTGACAAGAAAGTGTCTTGGGCAGGCTAGGAATTTGGCACCCTTTTCAACTCACACTTATAAAAATACTTACTTAAAATGTTCTTAGTGGTACAAATTATTTTCTGTTAAAAAATATTACATGCTACTTTCTTAATAGTCTCAGGAATAGATTTTATTATAAGCATTCATAAAATGTGATTATCTGAACCAGGCCTTGGGACAAATTAAATAGCTTATAGTTTAAATTAGAAAGAATTAGTTTCTCCCTTCCTTCCTTTATTCATTTGAAAGTCTGAGCCACAAAGAGGGAGAGGCAGAGACAGGAAGAGAGAACTTTGTTGGTTCACTCCCCAATTGGCCACAGTGGCCAGGGCTGGGCCAATCTGAAGCCAGGAGCTTCATCCCGGTCTCCCACGTGTGTGCAAGGGCCCAAGGACTTGGGTCATCTTCCGCTGCCTTCCCAGGCTCATGAGCAGGGAACAGAAGTGGAGCAGCCGGGACTCGAAGTAGCACCCAAATGGGATGCTGGTACTCTGTGTGGCAGTTTTACCTGCTTTGCCAGAGCACTAGCCCCAGCATTGGTTTCTTAACAGCTGTTTCATGCAGTTTGGTTTTAGAATTGCATAGATGTTGCCTACAGCTGCAGAAAATGCAATCATGACAATTCACTTCTAAGACATTTTATTTGAGGGTACTGTTCAATTTTCTCTTGATAGTTTTGGTAGTCGTCTAAAGGAGTAATTGATAAAAAAAAAAAAAAAGTAAAATATCTCAGGTGTATTCCAGTCATTGAGTTGGTGTCAGCAGTCTTGTCTGTTAAAATCTGCTTTAAGTAGCTGTTTTCTGTGTAGTATCACGCTAGGTTTAATTGTTCTGCTAAAAACAATCTCTTGTTCCTTTGTTTGACTGAATGTTCTGTCTATTTTTACAGTGTTGTCATGACTGGATCTTATAATAATTTCTTCAGAATGTTTGACAGGAACACAAAACGAGACATAACCCTAGAAGCATCACGGGAAAACAATAAGCCTCGCACAGTGTTGAAGCCACGGAAAGTCTGTGCGAGTGGCAAGCGAAAGAAAGATGAAATAAGCGTTGACAGCCTAGACTTCAACAAGAAAATCCTTCATACAGCCTGGCACCCCAAGGAAAATATCATTGCTGTAGCTACCACAAACAATCTGTATATATTTCAAGACAAAGTGAATTAGTGTTGGCATTCCTAGCAGAGGAGCCCACTTCCTGCTTAGTTGAGATAGTTGAAATCTAGCATTCGTACCTATAAAAGAGAGAGGTCCATTGTGGTGCCCCTTTCCAGTGTTTGACAGTGTGCCATTTGACAACACATTTTTATATAGCTACATGGAGAAAGCTCTGTGGATTCATCACTGTGGTGTTCTCCATGTCTGCTAGCCATTTAGGTAAGGGTAGGGCACTTTTAATTTAAATGACTTCTTGCACCATCTTGCCTAATGGACTAGATTGGACTGTATCAACATTGATTTACTCCACTTTTTATGCCTTCCATTGTGATGATGTCAAACACAGTGAAAGCCTTCAGTCATGCTATGGGATTTAATTGTGTATCCTCATTACTGTATCATTGTGGGGTACACCCCTCCCTCCCCCTTTTTTAAATTAAATACAGCTCATTCTTACTGTGGCTTGTAGCATTCCTCCTCTCTGGCCTCCTGGACTCTTCCCCCTCATCTCTTTTACCTTTGCCCCCTCCACCCGACTTGGTGGTGGTATATTAAAAAAAGAACGAAAGCACACAAAATGAGTCAGTTTGGGGTTTAGTGGTAAAGGGGGTGTATGTTGCGAACAAATGTTTTAATAACAGTTGGCTGTAATCACTCCTTGCCATGTCTGGCACTGAAAATAAGGAAAAAAAAAACTACTACTGAATAAAAGTGACAAAGAATGGAGAATCTGGTTTTCTTTTTCTTTTTAATCTACCTCTTTAAGCCAGTATTTTGTGACATACCCTTTTGGACACCGTGAAATGAAATGGGTTTCCATTATTTTATTAGTATTTTTGTTAATTATTTTTATCAAGTGTTCTTTTACATGGAAAAGGAGGGGTATTGGTTCTGTATGAACATGTTTTAAATATATGTTGGTATTATTAAGGTTTTCATAATCTATAAATGCTACTAGAGACTTTTTACTGTAGTTATGAGGGTATTGGATACATTGTATCAACACTTAACTCATCTGTTAAATTGTTGTAAATGGGATCCAAATTTGTAGAACTTCATTTTAAAATGACTTTTTACAGTGCTTTGATTTTTTTGCCTTACTAAATACTAAGTCAAAGACTAAAATGTTTTTAACAAAAACTTTTTTGTCATTCAGTCTTACAGCATAACATTAACATCAAATGATCTAATACAAATTGACACTGCACTACTTTTTTTGTATTTTATTACTATCAAAGCAGAATGAAATGTACTTTACCATAGATATTTTCCTTCTATTTTTGATTTTCCAAAGCTGTATTAAAGACAAAATTTTAAAGGTACAGTGTTAAAAAAAACTGCTTACTGGACTCCCCACAGCTGGCCCTATAAATAAAATTTGGTAATCTGTGTATGACTACATTTTCCCTAAGTGGTGATACCTTATCCAAAGATGAAGAGTGTCCCTATTTTTAATAGGTGGAATATACCTTTGTCAGTCTTGAAGAGCTTTAATGGAGAAAAAATGGACTTTATTTTTAAAAGATGCATTGAGCAGGCATTTATATTATTAGAGAATGGTAGTATATTTTGGTTGAGCAATAATATAACAACCTTGAATTTTAGAGGACTGAATGCTTCTTATATGTCCACTACCTATTGTTCAGATGCAAATTTGATTAAATATTTCATCATAATTCCCTCTACACTTATATAAATATTATGTCTTGTAAGTTAACATTTTTAGCACGCAGTAGAAATTTTATGTAATAAAATTACTGTCTCTGGGACTTAGCAAGTCTGAATTTGTATTTAAACACTGATTATTATATGTCTGATAATTTTTAACAGCACTTTTTCTAATTTATTTTGGGATCATTGGTATATTCATAGTTTGTGCTATTTATTCTTCATACTAACTTGTAAGTGGAATATTCCCCTGCCAGAAGTATCAAGTAGTGATACTGTGTTTTCTGATGGAGCAACTCTCCAGAACATCTGTTTTGGTCGTGGTTTCCCTACACTTGGGTTGTATGCTTGATATAACATAACTGAATAGCTCTTGGAAATTTATTTTTGATTGATCAGTAGCTAAGATAATTCTCACCCATTACACTAAGGGATAGTTTTATATATTTGAGTGAAATGCTTCTATAAGGTATGCTATTATAAATTGTAACATTAAGTATTCATTTTCAAATTTCTTTGGTGTAGCAAACTACGAGCCCAGCCACTCATTTTATATGGTCATGGTTAATCTTTTTATTAATAAAAATTATACTTAGAATGAACTTAGTCTTGTCAAGTTGCTTGTATTTCCTGTTCTCTTGTCACTAATAAACATTTTCTGTCCTTTCTTAACCTTTTTAAAAGATTATGATAGGAAAGAGAAGTCTCATTCTGTTAATCTCTATGATCTTTACTTAGTGGCTGGGCAATAGTAATAGTTAAAAAGCAAATCTTATAAACACTTTTATATACTAGTAATTACGGGAAAGAAGATTATGGAGCCCTCAGTCTCTTGGAATTAAAAAAAGCTATCCATGTACTTTTCCTTTAAAATTAGGAGTCTGTTAAACCTTAAATGTGAGTTCTGGGTAGAGATATTCCTTAAAACAAAACAGTTCCTATTTTAGTGTGTTGGCAGTATTTTGTAACAAATTACTTTGGTGGATCTAAGAAGTGTTGGGGTAGTCTCAAATGCTAAACATCTTTTGTAATTGAGTTTTGTCTTGACATGTTACTGAATAATGATATTAGACTAACCTACTACCTTGAGAGAATTAAAAGACTTCAAGGGTTAAGATTAGTAATCTAGAAAATCAACTCCATAGCACAGTGTCTGTCAAACACAAGACACTACAAAGCTCAGTTTCCTTCCAAAAGGAAGGATTTTATGAACATGAACGGGCTTAAGGAGAAAAACTAGTATTTGTTTCTGCTTTAGTTTTTTAATGTTCTACTCAACATGTATGCTTCTTAGTAGTATTTGAGTAGCTACATGCTACGTTAAAAGAGTTTCCCACTAGGGGGCAATGGTTAAGTCTTAACAGCATCTGTGAGATAATTTGAGAATGGTTTTCATTATTAAAGACCAAATAAGGGACTGAAAGGAATATCTAAAGTGTGCATACTCATATATGCCCAAATAAAGCTACGGCTCAACATGACCCTGGACTAAGTGAGGACCATGTGATGGAGGAGGAGCTCGGATGCCAGGTGTGGTCTCGTGCTCAGACCTTCCTAGGAAAGCATCAGAAACAGATGAGCTACCCTAGTGGGATACTCTAGCAACATAAAACTCCCAGTCACATTTTTATTTTATTTTATTTTTTTTTTGCTCTTGGGCTTGTAATTTTTACAGAAAGTGTAATTATGCATATTATTTAATGTCCTCTTTCACCACTTAAACATCTTGAGTGGTTTCCTAAATGAGGTGTTCATTGTAAGCAAGATTTGCTTATCAACACAGCCTGATGTTGCATGTTCCGTAATTAGCTGAGGCTGATTTTCATTTTGTAAACAGAAATATTAGAATAGTGAACGTAACCTAATTTTGGTGTGTAAAATGATTAGGATACATTGTTAGAAATGTAATTGCTGTATTAGAGTATATGGATATATTTCATATTTGGTACATAATGTCAAATTTCCCTTTCAAAAGTTCCATCATAAATACACAGAATTAGCCATCATTTTCTTCCAAAATAAGGTCTGCTTTTACCTTTTCCTTCAGTGCTTTTTTTTTTCTTTGAGAGGCAGACAGGTCCTATCCACTGGTCCACCCTGTAAAGTCCCAACAACCAGGGCTAAGCCAGGAGCTGAAAACTTAATCCAATTTTCCCATGTGAGTGGCTGGAACCCCAACTACTAGAACCCTTATTACAGAACCAGGACTCCCTAGGCACTCCAAAATGATTCCCCAATGAACAGCTTAACCACTAGGCTGCATGCCCACCCATCAACATTGCCTTTTGAGAAGCAGAAATTCATAATTCTCATGAACCCACTTTGTCAATATTTTTAGTTTTTGGATTATTCTTTGGGTGACATCTGAAACTTGCTTAACTCAAGATCAGGAAGATTTAATTTTAGAAGTTTGTGTTTTTCTCTTTACATCTAGGTCTGTGATCCATCTGGGTTTGTACATATGACATATATAAAAAAGTGTATGTGCCACAAGTAAATTGAAGCTTTCCTTGGTACCTTTGTCAAAAATCAGTTGACCGTGTGTGTGTGAGTCTATGCTGTCACCAGTATGACACTGTCTTAATTACTGTAACTTAAGTGTTGAAATCTGGTAGTGTGAATAACCCAGTTTTGTTCTCCAAACTGCTCTATTTTAGTGCTTGGGCCTTTACATAAACATTTCAGAATCAGCTTTATGACTTCAAAAAATTCTGCTTAAATTTTTATGACAATTGTGCTGAATCCATGGACCAATTCAGGAAGAGTAGACATCTTCTTTGTTGTTGTTGTTCTTTAGAGATTTATTTTATTTATTTGAAAGAGTTAAAAAGAGAGGCAGAGACAGAGAGAGGTCTTCCATCCACTGATTGATTCCCCGGATGACCGCAATGGCCGGAGCTGCGCCGATTTGAAGCCAGGAGCCAGGAGCTTCCTCTGGGTCTCCCACATGGGTGCGAGGGGCCCAAGGAGTTGGGCCATCTTCCACTGCTTTCCCAGGCCATAGCAGAGAGCTGGATCAGAAGAGGAGCAGCCGGACTAGAACCTGCGCCCATATGGGATGCCGGCGCTCCAGGCCAGGGCTTTAACCCGCTGCACCACAGCGCTGGCCCTGAGTACACATCTTAATACATGTCCTCCAGTTCATGACAGCACATTGCTCTGCCTAAGTATGTCATTGATCTCTTAACATTGCTGTTTATTTTTAGCATACAGATCGTGCACATGTATTGCTAGTACTTTATTTTCTGTGTGTGACTGTAAATGTTATTTTTCAAATTTCTATTTCAAATTGTTCACTGATGTACAGAAATACAATTGGTTTTAATATATGAGTTTCTGTATTGACACATTGCTAAGTTAACCTAAGTAGATTTTTTAAAGTATTTTATGTAGGTAAACATTTTTGCTGATTATATTTCCAGTCTTTCTATTTTTCCCTTTCACTGCCTTTTACTACTGTAATTTTTATTTGAGAGGCAGAGTGTGTACAAGTTTCCATTCTCTGGCTCACTGCCCAAATGCCAGCAATGGCCTTGGGTCAGGGGAGCCAGTTCAATCCAGGTCCCCCATGTGGGCAGCAAGGGCCCCGCAAATTGAGCCATCTCTTTTGTCTCCCAGGGTGTGCATTAGTAGGAAGCTGACTAAGGAGCAGAGCCGGAACCCAAACCCAGGCATTCCAATATTGAATGCAATCATCCCAACTAGCATCTTAACTGTTGGGCCAGAAATTCACATTCATTCATTCATTTTGTCCTGTTGCACTAGATAAACCCTAGTTTGATGCTCAGACACATCATTGCTTTGTCAATGATATTAGGGAAAAACATTTCTTTTACCACGGAGTATGTTCTAGGATATTTGGTGATGCCTTATCAGACATGGTTTGCTTTTCTGAGGGTTATTCATCATAAATGGATGTTAGATTTTGTTGTTTTTTTGCAACTATTGAAATGTGTCATTTTCTTTATAATGCAGCTGTGATAGAGTATATCAGTTTCCAAATGTTGACCTAGTCTTGTATTCCTGGACTGTTGCTGGATTCTTTTGCTAGTATGAGGATACTTCAAAAATTCATGAAAAATTGTATTAAAAAATTTAACTTCACTGGGGTGGGCACAGTGGCACAGAAGGTTAAGCTGCCACCTGGTACTTCTGCATCAATCAGTGCCTGGTTGGAGTCCTGGCTACTCTGCCTCCAACCCAGCTTCCTACTAACGTGATCCTGGTTGAGCTTGCCATTCACTTGGAAGACCTGGGTGGAGTTCAGGCTACTTGGCTTCGGCCTGGCCCAGCCCTAGATGTTGCAGGCATTTGGGGGAGTGAACCAGTGGATGGAAGAGAGAGCTCACTCACTCCTTTCAAAAGTTTGACAAATTTTCTGAATCTATGTGTAGTTCTTTTAAAATAATATTTTCCATGAGCTTTTTGAAGACCCTTCATATTTTGAGTATTTTTGCATCGATGTTCAGGAGAAATCCTAATCGGTACTTTCCTTGTCTTGTAATACTGTTAGTATAATGCTGGCCTCATAAAATGAATATGAATATGAAATGAACATTGAAATTTCCTTAAATATTTGGTGGAATTCACTACTGACAAAATATTAAATGTTCTGTCAAGTCATGTAACTATGAGCCACTTTTTAAGGAGAATAGATATCCCTTTGGGGACTGAAATGTATTACTGCTTTATTCTGTGAATCTCCCAGCAGAGTTAGGAAAATGAAGCACCATAATTTGAGTTTGCCACAAGGCAAGTTTATCAGCCCAAGTCTAGATCAAACTCTTGTTGCTCAACAGTTTGCTAAGTAATGCCCAGAATGATTCACCGATCAGGTAGTATGGTTGTTACCTTATGGAGCAGACAGCAAAGTAGTTAGGATGTGCTTGAGTGACACCCCAGGGTCCCCATGAGTCTAAGGAAGTAGAAAGTTCTCTCCCCTTTTCCTCCACCCGCCTCCCTCTCCTCCTCTTGTCTTCTGCGTTCTACTGGCAGCCAAGGGTTGACCTATCTTGCAGATATGTTTATTTGGTCATTGGCTAAGAGTGCCTCACAGTAGTCACTCTTCAACTTCCTCTACTATAATACTTCCCACTAACTATTTAAGTTTGCACTATCTCTCCTGATTTAGAATTAGAGATTAAAAACAGGAGAATCACTTGTAATTAGGTGTGTTATTAATAAAAAATGAGGAAGTAGAGACATTAGACTTACTAGACAGACTTTAAATCATTTAAATAGTGCATGCTCAAAAAGCTAAAGAAAAGAATACTGTCTTGACAAATAGAGAATATCTTTAAAGGGATAGAAATTACAAAAAGGAACCAAACTGTAGAGCTGAAAAGTGGAGTAACTGAAGGGAAAAGCTTAATAGTTGATGATTTCCACAGGAGGAATAAACAGCAAATATGAAGATTGATCAACTGAAATTACTGTGTCTGCTTGCGAGGAGAGCAGTCTCACCTGGTCCACGGACGTGTTGCTCAGTATAAGAATAAGGAGAGTAGTCTGAAACAGTGCAAGAATGAAAGCAAGTTTACTTGCAAGAGGTGGCAAAGCTTCCCTCTGTGGGGCATGCAGGGAGGGGCCCAGGGCTGGGAAGCTGGTGTCCTCATGGGACTGTTCTTCATGTTTGTTCTTTGTCATTTTCTGTGATGTATTGGCCCCTCACCTGGTACAAGCGGTAGGGGTCGTATTTAGATTGGCTCTCCTGCATCTGTCCATGAGCATGGGAGGGGTCAATAAGATCACCCACCTGTATTCAGGAGCCAGGGAGGGACCGGTAGTGGGAAGGGTCGTAGTTGGTTAATATTTTCCCACACCTCATACCCTAATCGTCACATCGCCCCTCCTCCTCCTCTAGTCTGTTCTGAATTGTGTTTTCTTACATGTTGTTTTTCCCTAGAGGGGTGGAATTCTCCCAGAATTCATCCAAAGTCCACTCTTCTATAAGCCTGCCTCAGGGGCCCTTTTCCCCTATAACAATCATCCAGTGTAAGGAGAAAAAAGAAAAATAGGCCTTCAGAAAATTTAAGGATAACCATCAAGCATGCCAACATACGTATGATTGGAGTTCCAGAAACTACTTAAAGACAAAATGGTTTTAAAAAGTTCCCAAATATGCTAAAAGGTACCAATTTATACATCCAAGAAGCTCAATGAACTCTAAAAAGAATAAATACAAAAAAATCCACACTGAGACCTTGTAATCAAATTGTCAAAAGCCAAGGACAGAAAGGGAATCTAGAAAGCAGCAAGAAAGAAGTGACTCCTACACAAAAAGTCCTCAGTAAGATAGTAACTGATTTCCCATCAGAAACCACATATACAGATTGACAGTGGGATGACACGCTGCAGTGCTGAAGGGGAGAAACTGCAATGAAGGGTACTATAGTCAACAAAAGTATCCTTCAAAATTAAAGGTGAAATTAAGACATTCCCAGATAGACAAAGGCTGATGGAGGTCATGCAAAAACCCTACAGGAGTATTTCAGATCGAAAATGAGAAAATATTAGTAACTCAAAGCTTTATCAGGAAATATAGAACTCTGATGACAATAACTATGTAAGTAAACACAAAAGCCAGTGGTGTTCTTTCAGTTTGTAACTCCTCTTTCTTCTATATTTAAAAAACAAATCCACAAAGTAAATCCAGGGGCCGGCGCTATGGCGCAGCGGGTTAACGCCCTGGCCTGAAGTGCCGGCATCCCATAGGGGCGCCGGTTCGAGACTTGGCTGCTCCACTTCCGGGGTGCTTGGGCCCCTGCTCCCACGTGGGAGACCTGCAGGAAGCTCCTGGCTCCTGGCTTCAGATTGGCGCAGCTCGGGCCATTGTGGCCAATTGGGGAGTGACCCAGCAGATGGAAGACCTCTCTCTCTCTCTCTCTGCCTCTCCTTCTCTCTCTAACTCTGACTTTCAAATAAATAAAGAAAAATCTTAAGAAAGAAAGAAAGAGAAGGAAAGAAAGAAAGAAGGAAAGAAAAAAAGGAAGGAAAGAAGGAAAGAAGGAAAGAAGGAAAGAAGGAAAGAAAGAAAGAAAGAAAGAAAGAAAGAAAGAAAGAAAGAAAGAAAAAGAAAAAGAAAGAAAGAAAGAAAGAAAGAAAGAAAGAAAGAAAGAAAGAAAGAAAGAAAGAAAGAAAGAAAGAAAGAAAGAAAGAAAAGAGAGAGAGAGAGAAAGAAATGGAGAGAGAGAGTTTGGGCTGGTGCTGTGGCGTAGTAGGCTAAGCTTCTTCCTGTGGTGCTGACATCCTATATGGGCACTGGTTCTTGTTCCCTCTGCTTCTTTTCAGAACCACCTCTCTGCTTATGGCCTGGGAGAGCAACAGTGCAAGATGGCCCAAATGCTTGGGCCCCTGCACCCACGTGGGAGACCTGGAAGAAGATCCTAGCTCTTGGCTTCAGATCGGCCCAGCTCCAGCCATTACAGACATTTGGGGAGTGAACCAGCAGATGGAAGATCTTTCCCTCTGTTTCTCCCTCTCTCTGCCTATAACTCTACTACTCAAATAAATAAATTCCTTTTTTAAAAAAAAAGGAATCTCATGGGACTGGCGTCATGGAGTAGCAGGTTAAATTTCCGCCTGAAATACCACCATCCTGGCTGCTCCACTTCTGATCCAGCTGCCTGCTAAATGGCCTGAGAAAAGCAGAAAAAGATGGCCCAAGTGCTTGGGCCCCTGCATTAACATGGGAGGCCAGGATGAAGCGCCTGTCTCCTGGCTTTGGATCAGCGCAGCTCCAGCCGTTGTGGCCATCTCGGGAATAAACCAGTGGATGGAAGACCACTCTCTGTCTCTCTGTCTCTGCTTCTCTGTAACTCTGCCTTTCAAACAAATAAATAAATCTTAAAAAAAAAGTAATTTCAATTTCATCTACTTAAGCCTGGAGAAAAGAAAATATTGTAATTAGTTTTTATAAAACTAGCAAAGGATTATAACAAAGCTCAAAAAATATTATGAGATGTTTAAATCTTTTGAAGAAGTGCCTGAAAGGAAAACAGAACACAAAGATATATGACAGTCTGCTCTGGGAAGACACTTTTGCAAATATGTCCATGGTCCCCTCAATTACTATATTATTTATTTATTTATTTGAGAGGCAGAGTTACAAACAATGAGAGGGAGAGACAGAGAGAAAGGTCTTCCGTCTGCTGGTTCACTCCCCAAATGGCCGCAACGGTGGAGCTGCACTGATCTGAAGCCAGGAGCCAGGAGCTTCCTCCAGGTCTCCCATATGGGTGTAGGGGTCCACAGACTCGAGCCATCTTCTACTGCCTTCCCAAACCACAGCAGAGAGCTGGAGTGGAAGAGGAGCAGCCGGAACTGGAACCAGTGCCCATATGGGATGCTGGCACCGCAGGTGGAGGATTAACCTACTGCGCCATAGCACCGGCCCCCTGACAAAAATCTTAAAAGAATTTGCAAGAGGGAACCAACATTGTGGGACAGTGTTTGAGTCCCAGCTGCTCTGGCTTCCAAAACAGCTCCCTGCTAATATGCTTGAGAAAGGAGCTGAGGATGGCCCAACTATAAAATACTTGGCTCTTGTCTTAGGCCTGGTGCAGACCTGGCCATTGAGGCCATCTGGGGAGTGAACTAACAGAAGAAAGATTTCTCTCTCTCTCTCTCTCACTCGCTCACTCTATCTCCCCTTTTCCCCCTTCTCTGTCACTCCGCCTTCCAAAGAAACAAATAAATCTATATAAAAATTTATTTGCAATAGGATTTGACCTACTAATCCTTTAAAAAATGTTTAAGTACAAAGTTTTTCAAATAAATGAAAACACTGGAAGAAGAGTTTAATATTCATGTATTACCTAGCTTCAGTAATCGCCAACACATGGTCAATATTTGGCAAGCCCATTTTTTCAGTTCATCTGAAGGGTAATCAGTCATTTTCAAAAGACAAATGAAGAGAGGCTCTCTAGTAACCAGCCCTGAGACAGACTTGTTTCTGTGGGCATTTAGACCATGCAATTTCAAATCAGGGTTGAAGGGAGGACTTAAAAATCAGTAAATATTGTTGGGTCAATTGGTTACAAAATTGGGAAGAATTGAAGTTAAATAACATGTGAAAATTGAATTTTAGGTGGACTGGGGCCTAAATATAAAATTAAGGCTATAAGGGAATTAGAAAAAGTTACAAGGGCAGGAGGAGTGGATTCCTAATCTTGGTTTGAGCCAGGGGGACATGACATGAAAACAATACAGGAGCAATTAAAACATCTGCAGAGCGAAGCAACACGAAAGACAAGTCACAAATGCCACCGCAGGCAACAGGTCAGCCAGCCCAAGGACACCAGGGGACCGGGCCTCTGGAGACAAGAGAGCGAAGTAGACGGGCTGTTTAGGAACAAAGGAATTTAGTGCCACCCACATACCAGACACGTGGCTTCCCACGTGGTGGCCCGGAAACAGCCGCGTGGGGAATGCGGCGATTATTTTCTTCACTGTGTTTTCCTGAAGGGATTTTTTTTAACCATGATGGAGTGTTACGAATCCTGTAATAACCAAAAGATAGCCCTATATTGTGCCCTGCTTGGAATGCTGATGTCCCATCAGGCTTTCGGCTTCCTGTGCCGCAGTGAGTCCTTACAGGTATTTTAAAAATTAAATGCTCGGAGACTGACAGAAACAACGAGCGCGGTGTAGGTGTGGGAGGAGTTCTGCTCGCGAAGACACCTGCATTGCACTGCTCGCCCATCCTCTCTCCCAGTGCCATCTGCATCACTCACTCCAAATTACAAGAAGGAATTCAACCCTCCCGCGCGTCAGCGTGACTCCCGCGCCCGCACGTCCGGGCCCGCACAGGAACGCCCCTGCCCCGCCCAGCCCCGCCGCCTGTTGTGTTGTCATCACGTGGCTTGGGCGGACCCTGACGTCAGCTACAGGGGAGGGACTGCGCAGGCGCAGAAAAGGGGGCGGGGGACTCAGCTTGTTGTGTTGCTGCCCGAGAACCGGAGACGGTCCTGGTGCGGCCGCAGCTCTTCCAGACGCCCGACCATGTCGTCTCATTTAGTCGAGCCGCCGCCGCCCCTGCACAACAACAACAACAACTGCGAGGACGGTGACCAGCATCTGCCCCCACCGACCGGCCTCAACAGTGAGTGCTCGCCGACGGGTTCGCTGAAGGGGATGGGGGAGGAGGAGCTGCTCCGGCCGCCGCCACCAGCGCCGCGCGGGGGGCGGGAGGAGAAGGCAGCCCATTGGTCAAGCCCGAGGATGTTCTGCTGACTGACAGCTCCCGTCACCTGTCAGGAGGAGGCGCTTCAGTCTTCCTCTTGGCTAGTCTCCGCTCCCTCCTGGGGTCTTGGACTGGGTGCCAATTGTGGTCGCTCTCCGGGAGGGGAGGAGGGTGGGGAGAAAAGGGGATCGCGCGCCAGACTGCCCCTGGGGCAGGGCAGATCCCACCTGTAGGCCCCTGAAGCAGAGCCAATCGGGGCAGGGAGGGGGCGGGCCCTGGGGAGCGGGGCGGAAAGGTGGGCGGAGCGGGCCGCGAAGGGGACGTGGGCAGGGATGGGGACGTGCGGCGGGGACGCCGGGGGATGGACGCGCGGCGCGGGAGGGCAGGGGAGGGGCGGCCGAGGACGTGTCGGGGAGCAGGTGTGCCGTGGGGCCCCTGCCGAGCGTGCCCCGCGGGCCGGGCTTGCCCGGGCGGGGCCCGGCAGCCCTCGGTTGCGATCCTTTGTTGCCACATGCCGGTCGGGGAAACCCATTTGGCAATTTCGTGGTGACTCGAATCACGTGTGGGGGTGCACAGCCTGTGCCTTTCATTTCTTTTTCTTTGCTGCTGCTTTGTGAGATTTGCAAAGTTGCTCAAGTCTTTTTCAACGATGCAGTAGCGTGCACAGTAAACCTGTTTTAAGATGAGCCCCACTTCCAGCCCACGCGGAGTCTGGGGCGATGGGTATTCACACATGGGATTTAAAACACCCATCACAGGCACACGGGTGGTTGACAGTGGCAGGGTGGCGCTAGGACGGACCCCGGGTACTTCTGACAGCCTGGGGCTCAGACATCTTGCCAGTGGTGGTGAGAGCTCCGAGGTTCTTGCCTAACCTTTTTCTGTAATTTGCTCTTAGGAAAGAGGTGGTGGAGGCAGCCAGCATATGGCCAGACCAAGTCGCTTAACAACCATTTGGATGCTTAAAGGTCACACCGTCTCTTTCCTAAGAGGAAAGCGCTCCCAGCGTGGCCAGAACGTTATTTTAGGGAAGAGAGTCCCTGTCCCCTGAAGAGTGGGCATGAAAGCTGGGTATTTTTAGATGCTTTCTCTGCCTGTGGCAGGTGGTCGGTCGTTGATGGACTAATTCTCAGTGTTGACTGTTTTTAAACTTGTAAGTGTGTATGGAATGTTCTAGAATGTAAGATCTCTGCTGTTTCCCCTGCAGTAAGTTAGGAGTAGTGGAAGTCTTTAGATCTTACTTGTTGGTCACGTTTTGGCATACATGCTTGGAAGCGTGGATCTGGGGATAGAAACGGGGTTTAGAGTGAGGGGGCTCGTTCAGGTTGACAGCTGGCCGGACCTAGAGCTGAGGACCCCCCTTCAGCTCCTCGGGTGCCCCATCCGGGACCTTCCCTGGGGTCCCAAGTCCCTGATCACGGGTGCTTCTTACCCTCAGCATGTTTTTCTGTCGAATGTACATCGGTGGCTGCCTATCTTTATAGTATTCTGTTTCTTAATTGTGCTGTTTTCATATGCGTAAGAAATGTGTTTAGTATGTGTACGTGATTTCCCAGAGTCCAAAGGAGTTTTAATGTTCCTGTGACCCTTTACCATAAAGCAAGAGGGAGGGTTGAGCTGTATATGATTGTTTATCTTGGTGTTTGATGTCTGGCCAATCAGTTCCTGCTACGTTTACATTAGCTGTTAGAGAAGTGGAAGAACACCCCGCCTGCAGGTGATACCAGATGTTGCTTTGGGGAATCCACTAGGTAGAAAGTGTTTTATTTGGGGGTAATGTGAGCTTTTTAAGTTACTGCAAAACTTTCAGATAATACCATACTAAATTACTCCTCTCTTGCTTCTTCCTCTGATCCTTTTTTTCTCCCTCGTTACACAACACTGGACTGAACAAAACAAGAAGCCTTATTGATTCCTTCAAGTGATTTTTGGGCATCTGGCAAAACAACTTATTCAGACATTTAATACTATGAATTGCTGATAAGTTGGAGTACTCTGTTGGGTAAAGCACGACTGTGAAAACAGGAGATGAAACTCATCGTGATTATCTCTGGTTAGGATTTTATCTTTGGTCTAGGGGTCAAAGCAGAGTTTAATGGCAATTTATTGAAATACTTAAATAGTAAAGCCTTTCTCTGAAAGGTTTTTTTTTTTTTAATTTATCATTCATTCTAGGGCAACTGTGTTTTCATAACAAATTAGGGCACAAATATCCAAACTCTTTCTCAAGATAAAAAAATATTTTCTGGTTCTTAGTTTTATGCTTTAAAAAAAACTATCATGTTCCTTAAGAATATCTGAATAAAAGTTTGTCATAAAACTCAGTATAAGGAAAATCATAGAAGCAGTGTAGTTCTTGTGGTTTAATGTGGGAATTACAACTTTTTTAAAAAAATTAATTTATTTGAAATGGAGAGAGACAGACATACCCATCTTCTGGTTATTCCTCAAATGCCTGCAACAGCAGGGCTGGGCCAGGCAAGGGCCAGGAGCTAGAACTCGATCTGGATCTCCCACACGGGGCAGGCACCCAGCACTTGAGCCATCACCTGCTGCCTGCAGCGTGCGCATTAGCAGGACGCTGGAATCAGGAGTGGAGCCAGGACGCTAACCCAGGCACTGTGATACGGGATGCGGGCAGTGTCTCACTGCTGTGCCAAATGCCTGCCCCACAGACTTTGTCTTTCTTTTTGAACTCCTTCAACCACAGTGTATTTGCTTCTCCAGTATGCCAAGAGGGCTGTTGAGGCTGTGGCACATGGACCGTCCCTGCCTCATAATAGTGTTTGGAATAAGTAAGAAACCACATGTACAAAAAAGACTAACTTGTACCCAAATGCCGGTGACGATTGTTCTGGTCTGGATTCCAGCATCAGGTACTTGAGACAGACAATCGAAAGGCTTTGACTGAAGAATGTAAACGTAATGCCATCCCCTGGTTAGGGTGAGTGACATTTAGGGCCTCAAAAATGGGACAAAAATGTGAAAAGTGTTTTTTTTTTCTCATTCTCCTTGACTCTCAGCTTCCCTACTCCCATTATTGAAAGATAATTGAATTGGCAATTATAAAACTGTAAAGAGCGTACAGTGTACAGTAATGAATGTAACCCACAGTTATTGGACCAGCCTTTACCTGATCAAAGACTTAAACTAGAAACTATCCCATGTAATTGAGTGTATGTATAAACTGGCTTAAAGGAACACCTTGCCGTTTGTAAATAGTCTTTTAAAATAATAGAGAAGGCTTCCAGCTTTGGGTTCTTAAGCTGATTCTTAGGAAGAGAATTCACTTTGAGGTTGCTTTTTACTTGTATTGCTTGGACAGCACAGTCCTCATATCTTGCCTTGTTTCTTTTCCAAGTTAAAAGGGACTCTGTGAGGATTGCTAGTGGGAAGCTTACAGAATTCGGAGGCTGTAAATCATGAATGAACTAGATGAAGGGAAAAGGCATGTGTAGTTCATCTATTGAGAAAGACACATTTGTTTTTCAGTGTTTCACTCTAAAGATAAAGACAATATTGCCAAATTATCCTCCAGAATGCCCTCTGAAGCCCTGACTATAATGACAGAATATTAGAAAGAAGAATTCGGGATAACAGTTTAAGTATAGTTTATAAATGATGAGATGCAATGCAGTTGTTCAAAAGAATAAATGTTAGTATGTATTGACGTTGAAAGTTATCTGTGGCCAGCACCCATTCAAGTCCTGTTTGCTCCACTTCTGATCCAGCTCCCTGCTAAGGCACCTGGGAAAGCAGTGGACAGTGGCCCAACCACTTGGGCCCCTGCGCTCACATGAGAGACTGGGATGGAGTTCCCGGTGTTTTTTAAAAATATTTGTTTATTTTTTTGAAAGGCAAAGTGGAGCCCACATTGTGGCATAGCAGATTAAGCTACCGCCTGCAATGCCAGCATCCCATAAGCATACTGGTTCAACTCCCAGATATTCCACTTCTGATCCAGCTCCCTGCTAATCTCCTGGGAAAGCAGTAGAAGATGGTCCAAGTACTTGGGCCCCTGCATTCCCATGGGAGATCTGAGGAAGCTCCTGGCTCCTGGCTTTGGCCTGGTGCAGCCCCAGCTGCTGTAGCCATCTGGGGAGTGAACCTGCAGATGGAAAATCTCTCTCTGTATCTCTCATTCTTTCAAATAAAAATAAATAAATCTGTAAATATATGTGTATATATATATAGTATATGATATACATATTATATCATTATATATATAATACAAATATATATATAAGAAAGAAAGCAGACAGATTTTTCATCTGCTGGTTCACTCCCCAAATGGCCACCACCAACCAGGGCCAGGCTGAAGCCAGGAGCCAGGAACCTTCTCTTGAGTCTTCCACGTGGGTGGCAGGGGCTTTCCCAGGCACATGATCAGAGAGCTGGATTGGAAGCGGAGCATTTGGGACTCAAACAGATGTTCCAGTATGGATGCCAGGGTCACAGATGGTGGCTTAACCCACTGGGCCACAATGCCAGTGAGTGCCAGAAAATATTTTTAAAATTTTGTGGGCATTTGAGGGGTAAAACAGCAGATGGAAGGTCTCTCTCCATCTGTGTCTCTGTCTCTGTAGGATTCTCTGCTTTTCAAAAAATGAAAATAAATGAATAAATTTTAAAAGAAGTTTGTGAATCCCAGAAACGGTGGTAGAAAGGACGCTTATTGTATACTGTGTTCTCCCCCCTCCTCCTACCCTCTTGAAATATTTTGCAGAGCTGTAGATGGAGAGATACTTTCGGTGTACTTATACTTCAGAGGCACTCTAAATATTCAGTCATCTCGAGGGGCAGTGTTGTGGCGCAGCAGGATAGCTGTGCTTAGGACACTGGAATCCCATAGCAGAGCGCTTGAGTTCCGGCTGCTCGGCTTCTCATCTAGCTCTCTGCTAACGTGCCTGAGAAAGCAGCAAAACTTGGCCCAAGTACTTGAGTCCCTGTCACCCGTGTAGAAGACCTGGGTGGAGTGCCAGGCTCCTGGCTTCTACCTGGCCCAGCCGTGGCTATTGCGGCCTTTTGGGGAGTGAACCACAGCATGGAAGACTTGTTTCTCTCCCTCCTTCTTTCTGCCTTTCAAACAAATAAAATAAATATATATATATATATATATATATATTTAATTTAAGGACCTGCTTTTATGGCACAGTGGGTTAAGACCACTGCCTGTCATGCCAACATTCCATATGGGTGCTGGTTCATGTCCCAGCTGCTTCACTTTGAATCCAGTTCTCTGTTGATGGTCTGGAAAAAGCAGCAGAAGATGGCCCAAGTGCTTGGGCTCCTGCTACTCACAAGGGAGACCTGGAAGAAGCGCCTGGCTCTTGCCTTTGGCCTGGCCCAGCACTGGCCATTGCAGCCATCTGGGGAGTGAACCAACAGATGGAAGATCTCTTTCTGTCTCTCCTTCTCTCTGTAACTTTGCCTTTCAAATAAATAAACAAATCTTTAAAAAAAATTTGTCATTTTCAGTGTCAGATCTGCCTTAGCTTTGTGAGTTGGATTTGTTAACCCATTTTGGATTCTCTCCAGTCTGCGCCCCGTTCGCATGTACATGGAGTGAGCCATGGAGGTGTCATTCAGCTGTGTTGTATGAGTGGGTGGTGATTAGGAGGCCCACAGCCATTGGTGCTGCCTTAAGTAGAGGAAGGGATGACTTGATTTAACAATCATGGTTTTAAGTACATCCTTGACAAGTAGGAACCTCTCACTAGCGTGTAACTGAGCATCCCGTGTGCTGGGTGCCGCCTGTCACTGGCTTGAGTCCTCACAGTAGGGGAGGTCCTGTACTCTGTTTTACCAATAAGGAAACTAAACTCAGAAGGTCATGCAGATAGCAAGTGGCAGAGTCTCGTTCCCAGCCAAGGCTGCCTGAGCGATTCCCTGCATGGGAGGAGAGTGGTGAGTTCACTCATTTGGAGTGCATTTAGAGTGAGCGCTGGCTTTGATGAAGATTCCGATTTACGGATGGAGATTACTCTGATGCTTCTGCTGGGAATTTAGGGGAATGGCCCTGCCAACCTGCTTGCTTATGTTTTTCTGAACAAAAAGGAAATGTATGAAAAAAGGTACTGCTATCTCTTTTTTGGGGTACTGTTACAGTTCTTACTAAAAAAAGCACGGGCAGCCATTTGGCTATGTCCCATTTTAGAGTACCTGGGTTTGGTGTTCAGTCTGGTTCTCAACTCCAGCTTCCCTCTGACGTGTGGCCGGCAGCAGTGATGGCTCAATTGGTTTAGTCCCTGCCACTCATGTGGGGGCCTAGGTTGAGTTCCTGTCCTCTGGCTTCTGCTAGGTCTAGTTCCAGGCATGGCAAGCATTTAGGGGAGTGAACCAGCACATGGGAACTTACTTTCTTTATCTGTTTTACAATAAGAAATAAAAATAATTTTAAAAGAAATTAGGAGTAGGCTAAGCCTCCACTTGTGGCACTAGCATCCCATATGACCAGCAGTTCGTGTCCTGGCTGTTCCTCTTCTGATCCAGCTTTCTGCTTATGGCCTGGGAAAGCAGTAGATGGCCCAAGTGCTTGGACCCCTGCACCTGCATGGGGGACCCAGAAGCTCCTGGCTACAGTTCTGCACAGCTCCAACCGTTGTGTCCATTTAAGGAGTGAACCAAATGGAAGACCTTTTTCTCTGTCTCCCCCTCTCTCTGTCTATAACTCTACCTCTCAAATAAGTAAATAAATTCTTATTGGAGGGTGAACCAATGGTAAAGGAAGACCTTTCTCTCTGTCTCTCTCTCTCTCTCACTGTCCACTCTGCCTGTCAAAAAAATAAATTAATTAATTAAAGCACCCTAATGTGTTCAGCAAACTCACTGGGCCAATAGTTATTTTTAAGCTATGCACCTCACCAGTGCCACATCCCCTTTTTCTGTGGCTCCGCCCCCTTTGCATGCTCACCCAAGAAAACTTTTGTGTCAGCCTAAGTTGAAGTACGATCGTGTCACCTGCAAACCGACAAGGCTTAATGAAAACTCTACAAAGTAGGAACCCGTGGGAGAGAAAGAAGAGATAAGTTTACAAGGTATGTTAAGTGTGTAAAAAAGGAGAAAGGGTGAAGGCTAAAGGAAAGGAAGAAGCTAATTTGTGGGCTAGAGCTAAAGTTTTTCCTAGAATTTTTAGCATCACCACCTGATTTTAAGGACCAGCTGCATTAATTTCATGCTCCAGATAAATTTGTACACAAATTGGCATTTTTGTGATTGTATTTAGGTTCCTTCTCTGGAACTTCTAATTTGTGCTAATTAGGATGTATTTGTTAGCCTATTTGGCTGAACTTTGTTTTTTCTAAGTTGTGTTTATTTTGTAGAGCAGGTACAGATATCTGAGGTTAACTATAGAATGTGTGTAAAAAACTATCCCAATAAAGGTAAGTAGCCTGTCTGGTAATAAAATAACTATTTTTTTTTTTTTTTAGAAAAAGCAACCTCAAGATGTTCAGTAAAGTGTTGACTATATATGAACTAAGCTTTAACCAGAGAGAAAATTGGCTGAAAGATGTGTTTTCTAAGATAATAGTTTTAGACTTCCAGTTTCATTCTGACTACATGAGCTACTACTTCAAGAATAAAACAATATGGATTTTAGACTTAATTGCTTCTTGTTTATTTCCTTCGGAATACTTTTGCCTTTGGTTGGAAGGAGTCAGACTTTTTATCTGAGTTCACCATATTCACATCTGTGTGCACATGACAGATTTCGGTTCCGCTGTGGTTCACTTCAGTTATCTGACTTGTCCCACAGGTTCCTGGGTGGAGCTACCAATGAACAGCAGCAATGGCAATGATAATGGCAATGGGAAAAACGGGGGCCTGGAGCACGTGCCTTCCTCGTCCTCCATCCACAATGGAGACATGGAGAAGATTCTGTTGGATGCGCAGCATGAATCGGGACAGAGCAGCTCCAGAGGCAGCTCCCACTGCGACAGGTGAGCGAGAGCCAGGTTTCCATGGAACTCAAGAACAGAAGGTATAAAGCTAACTCGGATGAGAAGAAACTCAGTTAGCTTGAAGTCCTCACTTGACAAAATTCGCCTCCTGACTGATTATAGCCTGTGTGTTTAAACCAGACAGCTGACTAGCAGGAAATTTCATGCCCACTGTTGTGTCCCCTAGATTAACTTGTTTTTCTTAATCAGATTTTGTGATTTTTGGATATTCATCATTTATTATTATTTTTTAAAAGGGTTGTTTTTTGTTTGTTTGTTTGTTTGTTTGTTTTGACAGGCAGAGTGGACAGTGAGAGAGAGAGACAGAGAGAAAGGTCTTCCTTTTGCCGTTGGTTCACCCTCCAATGGCCGCCGCGGCTGGCGCGCTGCGGCCGGCGCACCGCGCTGATCCGATGGCAGGAGCCAGGTGCTTCTCCTGGTCTCCCATGGGGTGCAGGGCCCAAGCACTTGGGCCATCCTCCACTGCACTCCCTGGCCACAGCAGAGAGCTGGCCTGGAAGAGGGGCAACCGGGACAGAACCCGGCGCCCCGACCAGGACTAGAACCGGGTGTGCCGGCGCCGCAAGGCGGAGGATTAGCCTAGTGAGCCGCAGTGCCAGCCAAAAGGTTTATTTTTTAAAATGTATTCGAAAGACACAGTTAACAGAGATAGAGAGAGAGAGATCTTCATCCACTGGTTTACTCCCCAAATGGCCACAACAGCTAGGGCTGAGTTCACCATACTGCACATGACAGACCAAAGCTACACCAGGGCTGGACCAGAGCCAGGAGCTGCCTCTTGGTCTCTCGCATGGGTGCAGGGCCCAAGAACTCAGGACATTTTCTACTGCTTTCCCAGGACATAAGCTGGATTGGAAATGGAGCAGCTAGGCTAAGAACTGGCACCCATGTGGGATGCTGGTGTTGCCGGCAGTGGCTTTACTTGCTGTGCCACAACGCTGGCCCCTATTTATCAGTTTAAAATTCATTGGCTATTAAATTATAGAATTGATCTCTCTTGCTTTCTTTTCCCAAATCGCATTCTTCCTTGAATTACAGTGACCTCTGGATCTGTTTTCCCTTATGGATGGTAAGGCCTCGGAAGGCAGGGTTCATGCTTCCTCTTCATACCTTTGATGATAGTGCTGGTATGTAGTAGACACACAGTAAAGTTGAGTCATGCTGTAGCAGTATTCACAGTGGGAGCACCAACCATGGTCTATAAAGGTGGTGTTCTTGAAGGCCATTCTGTTTCCTCAGATGCCAAAGCTTTATTTTAGGCCTCATTTTTCTATATTTGACTCAAGAGGGAAACTAATTCCACTGCTTATGGTGAAAGAGTTAAGGGTATAGACAGATGTATGCACAAGAATGAAAGTCATTTTTCAGCAAAATCTTTTCTTCTTTTCAGAAAGACTAGGTATTTTAAATGACATTTAAAAATTTTTGGTACCATGACACTGCACTGTTAACATTACCAAGGAAGGTTTGTTGGCCGATGGCACCGCACCACCCCCGTGCCATCCCTGACTTCTTTCTCTGCTACCTGGCTCTTGTCATAAGCAGAACCGGAGCAGATGGTCCTTTTCTGAACAGCTTGCCATTGATTCCAGTAACCAAGCACTAGTGTGTCTTTGAGAGTGAAGCTTTGTGTTAGATTTGCTTTATGGAACTTGCTGAGAGGGTGTTTGGCTTTCTGAAGTTTTCTGCTTGCCATGGCCTGTTTATAAGGCTCTTATTACACCTTCAGGTGCACGAGCCTTGCCATTGGTAGATGTGTCCATTAACACCTGTTCACGTGGTGCTGCCGTTGAGCAGAGAGCGAGCCACCTGTCCCCCCGACTGTCATCCTCTTTCATTTATGGTTACAGTTATACAAGTGATTGAACGTGAGTTCACCTTCTCATGGTCAAGTTTGAGTTTAGGTTTGTGAATGTGTGAAAAGAGGCCTGGCAGCTGCACACTTCCCTGTCTTCAGGCTCTGTTTCCTGGGGAGCTTTCGGAGGAGGCCTAGCGCTTTAGTCCAGCAATCTCTCCAGGGACATCTGGCCAGCACACTTTCCCATTTAGAAGTGTTCTCAAAATGCATGCGCTTTGAATTGCCATGTGTCCTTGTATCTGGAGTGCTGGGAAGTGCTTGCTTCTTGCAGGTGTAAAAATTTTAGGATTGTTGAATAGAAGCCCCGGAGCTGACTTTTGTGTATTTCCAATTTAAAAATGATTACACAGATATATTTTTATCGCTGCAGTGGTCATTAGAAGATAACCCCCCTCAATGTTTGCTTTGTATTTCACCCTGTTGTAGGGGGTTCTCAACCTTAACTGCACACTAGATTCACCCAAGAAGCTTTTAAAGATACCCGTGTGCATCCCTGAAGTGTCTCATTCAGTTGACAGAAGCAGGCACAGACGTCAGACTATTTTCAGAGCTTCCCAGCTGATCCTGATATGAGCCAGGGTTGAAGCTCTAGTGCATTCCAAAGGAGTAGTAAACAGTTTACTGTGAAGAGGTTGGTGTTTTTTTTTTTGACAGGCAGAGTGGACAGTGAGAGAGACAGAGAGAAAGGTCTTCCTTTGCCGTTGGTTCACCCTCCAATGGCCGCCGTGGCCGGCGCGCTGCGGCCGGCGCACCGCGCTGATCCGATGGCAGGAGCCAGGAGCCAGGTGCTTTTCCTGGTCTCCCATGGGGTGCAGGGCCCAAGCACCTGGGCCATCCTCCACTGCACTCCCTGGCCACAACAGAGAGCTGGCCTGGAAGAGGGGCAACCGGGACAGAATCCGGCGCCCCGACCGGGACTAGAACCCAGTGTACCGGCGCCGCAAGGCGGAGGATTAGCCTAGTGAGCCGCGGCGCCGGCCGAGGTTGGTGTTTTTCTGTGTGAGATTTTTGCCAGTCTAGAAATGGAGCAGTGCCTCAGCTTTGTCGCTCTGACAGCCTTGACCTGGTCACAGCCATGTAGGGCTGGCCCCTGACACCACATGATGCTTCGCTGTGAGCCCAGGAGTGAGATGAGCACAGTGACCATCAACCGAGGATAACAGGAATACCTTGTTTGTTGGTTCTTGGCTATAACCTGATGTTCCTAGTTCAAGAGAAACATGGGAAAATACATGAAATATGTTTGATACAGAACCAGCTTTTTCCCTTTACTATCCCCATTTAAGAAAGTTGTTTGTGAAGTATACTAGTCAACGACTCTTGGGCTGTCAGTCTGGTTAATCTCTGGTGATCTTTGTTTTGAGTCTGTCTCAGCAGCATCTCCGTATGTTAACATTCATACACGCTGACATGCTCTTGGGAACCTTTTTTTTTTTTTTTCTTTTTTTAAGATTTATTTATTTGAAAGGCAGAATTATAGAGAGGCGGAGGCAGAGGTGGGAGGGAGAGGGCGAGAGTGAGAGCGAGCGAGCTAGTTAGAGAGAAAGAGAGTCTTTTATCCTCCGGTTCACTCCCCAAATGGCCACAATGGCTGGATCTGGGCCAATCCAAAGCCAGGCACCTGGTGCTTCTTCCAGGTCTCCCACGTGGGTGCAGGGGCCCAAGGACTTGGGCCATCCTCCACTGCTTTCCCAGGCCATAGCAGATAGCTGGATTGGAAATGGAGCAGCCAGGACTCAAACTGGTGCATATATGGGATGCTGGCGTTACAGGTGGTGGCTTTACCCACTACGCCACAGTGCTGACCCTGCTCTTGAGAACTTTAATAATTCTTATCTATTTATTTGAGCAAGATAAGCCCCCTGTGTTTTTCATCTCTCTGTTATCTTAGATTTGGGAAGAGAGGTTTCTTTGTGTGGTGAAGGATCCAATGAGTTGCTGTGGTTACACAAGGAATCATTGATAAAGCTAAAAATCAGACATAGCACATTGTAGTCATCTATTGTATAAAGCACTGTTTGTGATCATGTGTTTTTGTTCAAGAACTTACCTGTAAATTTTTGTAGTTCTAGTACATTTTATAGTATCAGAAAGGTTTTATATAAATATGTAAACTTAAATAATTCACTCTGAAATAAAATAAGTAGTACATTAAAAATTTTTGTTTAATTTTTAAAATTTTATTTGAAAAGCAGAGATATTTTCCATCTGCTGGTTCACTCCCAAATACCCACAACAGCTGAGGTGAGACCAGGCCAAAACCAAGAACCAAGAGCTCTGTCTAGGTCTCCCGTGTGGGTGGCAGGGACTCGAGTATTTGAGTCATCATTTACTGCCTCTCAGGTTGTGCACTAGGAAACTGCATTGAAGGGGGAGGAGCTGGGCTCCACCCCAGGCACTGCAGCCTGGGAGGTGGGCATCCTAAGCAGCAGCTGAAGCCGTGTGCTAAACACCTTCCCCATAGAGCCGCTCTTTCCGCAATAAATACACAGTGCTTCTCAACCTCTGTGCCCTCGTAACCCGTTACACTCAAACATTGGTAGGGAACCCAAAGTTCTTTTCTTTGTGAGTTAAGTATTTTGATACATTAGGAATTAAAATAATTTGAAACATGTATTTACTCAAAAATAATAAACTCATTGCATTTTAATATAAGTAACTCCTTTTGATTATTTTTAAACATAAAGCCAATTAAGAAGTAATCACTACATATTTATTGTATTGTTTTTATTTTTATTATTTAGTTTTCTTGAGAGATTGTGGGGTGGGAGAGAAAGAGAAATCTCCCATCCACTGGTTCAGTCCCCAAATACCTGCATGGCCTCAGTCCAGATCTCCAGTGTGGTGGCAGGAGCCTAATTACTTGAGCCATCACCGCTGCTTCAAGGGTCTGCACTAGCAGGAAGTTGGAGTCAGGATCCAGACGTGGACGTGCAGCCCAGGCACGCTGGTGTGTCGGATGCAGGTGTTTGAACCAGCAGCTTCACTGCTGGGCCAATTGCCTGCCTGTAAACCCTTTTTAAATGAGAAATAGCAATTTCAGATAACCAAAAAATTAGAATAGTGACATTGTTTTATTTTTGCAAATCTCTTGAATATTTGACTTAATAGAAAAAAGCTGGTGTTCTCTCTCTATCAGGATGTCATGCATCACGTAACCTTTGGAAAATTCCCCTGTACACTCAGCAGTCCTCATAGTATGATGGAAGCAGCTTCAACCTTAAACACACCCCACCCCCCAAAAGAGTCTTGAAAACTGCTGTGATTTGTTTGAGAGGCAGAGTGTGAGACAGAGCGGGGGTGGGGGAGGCCTCCCATTCATTGGCTCATTTCCCCAGATATCTGTAGCTGCTGGGCAGCTTTGGGAAAAGAATCCCAAAGTAGGTTTCTGAATTGGCAGATCATTTACCTTTATTGGGGAAAAGAGGAAAGAGAAGAAAATCTGACAGTCTTGGCTTTAGGTAATCCTTGCATTTCCTTTGCAGATTTATCACTGTGAATGAATTCACCACCACCAGAGTCCTGACCGCTTCGGAATGAGGGTGTTCTGCCTTAATAGCCACTTAATGCCTCCTAAACCTTTCTTGTACGGGGTTGTGATTTCCTTTCTGATTTGCTGCCTTGTCAGAGCCATCCTGACACCTTACATTTTCTCATTTCCTGTAGAGGCTAATTCATTTGACAAAGTGAAAATTAAAATGAGTGCCTAAATTCTTTATGTTTTAGCCCTTCCCCGCAAGAAGATGGGCAGATCATGTTTGATGTGGAAATGCACACGAGCAGGGACCATAGCTCTCAGGTATGCACACGCATGTGTGGTATGGGGGTGGTTCTGATTTATAGTAGATAACTAGGAAGATGATATAAATCCTCTAAGTGTGTTTTACTAAGTATATCACAGAATGAGAGGGCTCTTTAAGATAGTTTAAAGTTGTTTTGAGTTATTCACGTCCTGATTTTGGAATTTATTTAGGATGATGTAGTCCTTGATACACTCCATTACAACTAAGGATTTGGGCTCTTTCCCTTAAAAGAATTGGAAAAGTTTGGTCTAGAATGTATCATTCCAATATTCCAGGCTAGCTCCTAAATGGGAAAACTGAAACCGACACCTTATTGAGTCACGGAATCAAGGAAAATGAAGGTTGTGTTCGAACTAGGTGTGAAAACATTTTCTGTGTCTAAAATCAAAGCAGTGATTTTTGAGATGAATTTCGACAGCTCGAAGTAAAACCCATCTAAATTATGCAGGCCTACTTAGGTTGGAGAAGGTAAATGTAGTTTGTTAGGAGTTGATACTGTTGAATTTATAGATGGCTATAATATTAAAATCTTATAAAGGCTTATGGTGTAAAACCTGAAATATAAGTATATAATTATTGCTAATGATTTAGAATAAAATCTTCAACTTTATTAATGTGTCATATCACCTGAAATTGTTTTTAGAGTACAGGAGCCATTCTTCTTCTGTGTTAAGGTGCTTGAAAAATATTCAGTGAATGTTTAAAACAGTTGTAATAAAAACGTTTTGTGGTATTCTCAGTGTGTAGTGTGCTAGGTCCCTTTATGCTAGAAATACTTGGCATGTTATCTTGGATCCAACCAGTATTTTTCCTTTTTTAAAATTATTTATTTATTTTAAAGATTTATTTGAAAGTCAAAATTACAGACAGAGCGGGAGAGTGACAGGGAGAGATCTTCCATCTGCTGCTTTGCTTCCCAAGTGGCTGCAACAGCCAGGGCTGGCCTAGGCTAAAGCCAGGAGCCAGGAGCGTCAGTCTGTTTCCTACGTGGATGCAGAGGCCCAAGTGCTTGGGCCATCCTCAGCTGCTTTCCCAGGCCATCAGCAGAGAGCTGAATCTGAAGTGGAGCAGCCAGGACTCTAAGTGGCGCCCTTATGGGCCAGCACTGCAGGTCCAGCTTTGCTCGCTATGCCACAGCACTGATCCCCAGACAGTGTGTGTGCGTGTGTGTTTTTAATCTTAGAAGTTTCTCCATATTTTGTGCTTTTTTTTAAAAAAAGATTCATTTGTTTATTTGAAATATTACAGAGATTTGAAATGTTACAGAGAGACTGAGTTACTGAAACAGAGAGAGAAATCTTCCATCCCGCTGGTTCACTTCCCAAATGACTTGCAATGGCCAGGGCTGGGCCAGCCCAAAGCCAGGAGCCCAGAACCCCATCTGGGTCTCCCACATGCATAGCAGAAGCCAAAATACTTTGGCCATTCTTTGTGCTTTCTCAGGCACAGTAACAGGGAGCTGGATTGGAAATGGAGCTGCTGGAACTTGAACTGGTACGGTGCTGGCTTTGCAGGCCGTGGTTAAGCCCACTGTACCACAGCACTGGCCCTTGACTATGCTCTATTTTTACTGTTCTTTGAAACCTAGGAAATCTGTGGCATGAATACAAATTTATTTTATGATGAGCTTCATATTGTAAAGAAGCATATAACCTAGGGTTGTCATATAGTAAGATGATCTCACTGGAATTATTGAGTTGCTCGTGTGTGTCAGGTGGCCAAGTACCTGAGCTACAAAAGTACAGAAAGTCTCAGTGGCACAAGGTGTCCTCAGGAATTCAAGAGAGAAAGGAAATGAATTCTTTGTGGTAGTCTTTCTTGAAAATATCATCAGTTCATACCACCTTTTGTACAAAGTGAAAGTCTAGATTGTTGTTTTCTAAAATATTTTCTGAGGGAAATTTGTTTCATGGGAAATCCCACATAGGTGAGTTCCAAAGTCAAAAAATAATTGGGAAATAACATAGCCCCTGGACTGCCCATCCAAACACATGCAGTAGTGACTCTGACAGTTCCTACAAGTGAAGATAGTGGCTCAATTAGATGTTTCCCAGGTTCCTTTGACCTTAGCCCCACTCCTCTCCTCGGCCACATGCCTGATAGCACCATGGGACACTTTGATAAAGTGCGATCCAGCTCCTGGGATGGCAGATATGCAGTTAGGCTGAGTGATCATTGAATTTATGTGGCAACCTAGAAGTGAGTGCATCCACTCCAAAGTTCCAAAGAAATTTTGGAAACTCAGGAGAGAAAAAGAAGACTTTTGGCCCCTGTGCCATGTGCAGTGTCTGCAGAAATTAGTGCAAAGGCACACTGGCCATTCTCATGCAGGGGGTGACCTGTATTGATGGTCAAATCAGCCACTTTGGACAGGGTGGAGTTTTGAAGAAAGCAATGTACCTCCTAGAAGAAAACATGTCTGTTGTGGCAGACTTTATATAGCAGTAGGTATAATGAATTTAAACTAAAAAACAAAAACAAAAACAAAAACAAAAACAAAAAACCTTTGCACTGCTTTTTATTGTAAATTGAAATTATTTAAAAATTTATTAGGATTTGGGAGAATGGGTTTTTTCCATTAATGACAAAGTTTAGAATGAGGAAGCAGTTAAAAGCAACAAAGGACTGTTACTTTTTTTTTTTTTTTTAAGTCTTATTTACTTGAAAGGCACAGTGACAGAGAGAAGGTGGGTAGCAGTGCTGGTCCAAGTACTTGGGCCATTATCTGCTGCCTTCTCAGGCACATTAGCAGGGAGCTGGATCAGAAGTGGAGCAGCTGGCACTTGAACCAGCACTCTGATATGGCCAGCATTGCAAGTGGCAGCCTTGCCTGCAATACCACAACACCAGCACCAAAGGACTGTTACTGTACTTGTTCTGTTGAAAGTTTTCAGATGTCTGTATGGAATAGAATAGTTGGCATTTTCAAGCTCTTCTAGGAGGAGGAAGCAGTGACACTAACACTTACCAGATATGTTCTCAGTGCTAAATTTACTAGGTGCTGAATTTATTTTTGAAAGATCGTTCTCACTTTTAATGTCCTCAGTGCAGCGAAAGAGATGATATTATTCCCACAAAAAATGGGAGAAACGAAGCTTTGTCCTAATAAGTTCCGTATCTACAACCACAGAGCAGGGTAGAGCTAGAAGCAGACCAGAAGTGGGCCCGTCTGCGTCTGTGGCCCCTGTTCCTTCTACTAAACTAGGCCACAGAAGGGGATTGAGAGCTGACAGGATCCTGAGAATGAACAGAAAATCCCTGGCGAGTGCAGTAGGGAGACGCCTGAGGCGATGCATTTAGGACAGAGGTCTCTCCAGCTGGGCTTACAGGATGATAGTCTTTGAGGGTCTAGGTTTTGTAGCAGAATATGGACATTGAAGATATTTTTGCTCTGTGTGTGGCCAGACAGGCTGGCTGGCTGTTGGGTGTCATTGAAAGATGATGTCCTCCTTGTTCCTCTGTTAGGAAGCTGGTCTCTCTGTCCATGGAGCTGAATATCCACCTTTAGACACCTAGGAAAGCTTACAACAGACCAAAGAGAGAAAACTTAAGTGATTAGGAGATGAGGGACTTCACATGACACCAGGCTAAATTGATCAGAATCTTCTCTGAACAGATATTGATGGATGTAGAGAGAAGGTTATTGATTTAGTTAAAACCAAGAATCTTAGATAACTAGATAATATGATTTTTTTCTTTTCATACTCTGCAATTCCAAGCACTGGGAGGCAATTTAAAAGCTAAAAGTAGCAAATTTGTGATTAATAAAAGGAAAGCACAGAGCAGGAGTAAGTGAGGAATGCACAGAACTGTTATTTTTAAAGTTAGCATTAAAATTCGGCTAGAAACTTACCTGGCGTTTTTTGTATTTAATACTAATCCAAAGATAATGTTGTTTTACTCAACTGAGAGAAAAATTGTATCCTCTGAGCAAAAAATTTTTGAGAGCATAAAATCTTAGCTTATTTTCCTATTGGAAAATAGGTAGTATTAACTTGTTCAAGGATCTGAACCTAAATCTTTGAGCAGTTTTAAAGAGACAAGTGAGGCCAGTGGAGAAGCTGTAAACTGAAAGGCCCTGCAGTGTGTTCACAGTCAGAGCCTCTGTGTGCACAGCCAATCTGCAAGTAAACTGTGCCGTTTCATTGTTTGTGAGTTAGGATGATTTCAGTCTCACTTCAAAGAGCCAACTCATGATTCTGAGTAATCTCAATGCCCAATGGAAAAAGCTCACCCGTAAATGCTACATTGTGTCACGGTGTGGAATCTGCCAAGTTCAGCAGAACTAGCTAAGAATGGCACTCACAAGAGTCACCCACGAACACAGGGCTTCCCCTGGGGTTTCTGTGCTGGAAGGGACTGTGTGTAGTGGCCGGCTCCTGTGGAAAAAGTATCATGTGGATGTGTCAGGCTCTGCATGTCTTAACTACTTTTTTTCCCTAAGATTTATCTTATTTTTTACTTGAAAGTCAGAGGGAGAGAAGGAGAGAGAGGTCTTCCATCCACTGGTTCACTCCCCAAATGGCGGCAGTGGCCAGAGCAGAGCCAAACCGAAGCCAAGGAGCTTCATCCCAGTCAGCCGTGTGGATGGCAGGGGCCCAGGCACTTAGACCATCTGCTGCTGCTTCCCAGGCGCATTAGCAGGGAGCTGGTTCTCAAGAACAGTGGACTTGAGCCAGTGCTAGGATGCCAGTGTCGCACGTGGTAGTTTTACCTGCTGCACCACAATGCCAGTCCCAGCCCCTTGAGTTCTTTAAAGATACTGAATACTCTAATCTTAGATCATTCTGTCAGCCTTTTGTTAAAAGAAAAAAAAGTAGCATATTACAGATAAATTACCGGTGCACAGCTATGTGAGTTCAGTCTATTGTTTGCCAGCTACGTCTTTGAATGAGCAGTTGGTTTTGCTTTCTTGTTTACAGTCAGAAGAAGAAGTTGTGGAAGGAGAGAAGGAAGTAGAGGCTTTGAAGAAGAGTGCAGACTGGGTATCGGATTGGTCCAGTAGACCTGAAAACATTCCACCCAAGTGAGTTCTCCACGTGCCTTCTCCGTGGGTGCCGGGGTTCTGTTTCACACGCCTGGTGGCAGTGGGCCTGGTCATCCCCGTGGCATCAGCAGATGCGATTGTGACACCAGCTCTGGTTTTCCTTCTCAGGGAGTTCCACTTCCGGCACCCGAAACGTTCTGTGTCTTTAAGCATGAGGAAAAGCGGCGCCATGAAGAAAGGGGGCATTTTCTCTGCAGAGTTCCTGAAGGTCTTCATCCCGTCTCTCTTCCTTTCCCACGTGCTGGCTTTGGGGCTGGGGTAAGTACCAGCGAATGCCTCCTTTCTTCCATTCATCCCGCCCTCGTGGTTTCTTTGCAGTAAGAAACTTGTGAACGCAGTGTGAATTGCTTTGCTTTTGTTTTAACTCAAGCGAGGATTAAACTTGGTACATGTTTGGTGTACCCATAATAAGGATTTTTAATAATAGGACTTTTTTCCTATTTGAAAATAAGATGTTCATACTGAATTTTTCTCTTTGGGTTTTGTTGCTTAACATTTAAGTCTTGAATAACTTATACAGAAAAGTAATTTTTAGTCTGAACACTTGGGGGTTGATGCTTTTTTTCCCGGATGAGAAGATGCGCCATAACACTGAGTAGACACTGGAGTGGAACTGGTAGGTGGGTTGTGGGCGCTGCTTTCTTTTCTGTGTAGCATTTTCATTTAGTCTAAAATCAGCCTCATATTTGCCAGTAACTCATTACTTTTTAAAGGCCTGTCTTTTAAATATTTTTTCCTTGATTTGAACAAGTGAGGACACTTATAAAACATTTTAAGAGTTAAATAGTAGTTGGTAATTTTTTTTTTTTTTTTTTAGATTTATTTATTTGAAAGGCAGAGTTACAGAGAGAGAGCTTCCATCCATTGGTTCACTCCACAAATGGCCACAACAGCTGGGTCGGGGCCATGCCAGAGCCAGGAGCTTCATCCAGGTCTCCCCTGTGGGTGCAGGGACCCAAGTTCTTAGACCGTCTTCCACTGCTTTCCCAGGCTCATTAGCAGGGAGTTGGATGGGAAGTGAGCAGCCAGGACTTGAACTGGCACCCAGATGAGATGCTGGCATTGCGGGTGGCAGCTTAGGTTGTTATACTACAATGCCAGCTGTGGCTGATAATTTTTTCTTTTTATTTTTTAGTATTTTTTTTATTTATTTGAAAGGCAGGGGCAGATAGAGACAGAGAGAAAGGTCTTCCATCCGCTGGTTCACTCCCCAGTTGGCTGCAACTGCCAGAGCTGTGCAGATCCGAAGCCAGGAGCTTCTTCTGGGTCTCCCACACCGGCGCCCATATGGACGCCAGCACTGCAAGCAGCGGCTTTACCCACGAGGCCGCAGTGCCGGCCCCTGGCTGGTAATTTTTTTCAAGAGCAACTTGTTATTCTCTGGAAGCTTGTTGAGTGGTCATTTTCTGTATGTGATGTACCAAAGATGGCCATCTCTTCCCTTTGTGGGGAACTCAGCTGTCACACAGAGATGCGAACACAGAGACACAGATACAACTTTCCACACACACCTTTTGTGTCTCCTGGTGCTTACTCTGCTCTTGTGAGGCCAAGGACAATAATCCAACAGCGAAATGGAGATTGTGGGGGCCAGCACTGTGGCATGGTAGGTAAAGCTTCCAACTGCGGCACTGGCATCCCATGTGGGCACCGGTTTGTGTCCCAGCAGCTTCTCTTCAGATCCAGCTCTCTGCTGTGGCCTGGGAAAGCAGTAGAAGATGGCCCAAGTGCTTGGGCCCCTTCACCCACATGGGAGACCTGGAAGAAGCTCCTGGCTCTTGGCTTCAGATCAGTTCAGCTCCGGCCATCGAGACCACTTGGGGAGCGAACCAGCAGATAGGAGACCTTTCTCTCTGTCTCTTCCTCTCTCTGTCTGTAACTGTACCTCTCAAATAAATAAATAAAATCTTAAAAAAAAAAAAAAAATGGAGATTGTGGAGCGGGAGGGGACAGTGTGAGTGTGCTGTGGGCACAACATGAGGAGGTGGCAGGAATTTAGTCTTACCCACTGCCCAGTTCATCTGCCCTAAGGCATTGGTTTTTGGTCCTGCAGCAGCATGAATCTTCAGGTAGTTTCTCTTGCAGTGAGTGTGGCCATTTCCACAGATGAACGTAAAAGCTTTAAAATCTTGGTTTCTTGTTTTGCACTGGGGGGTGGAGGTAGTTACTTATTTCCCATAACTTCCCTTCTGCTTCTGTAGCTACAGGGGCCAGGCACTTGCCTGCTCCGGGAGGTAGTCCCAAGCCCCTCATCCTGAAGAGTGGTGGCAACAGCTGTCTTTAAAGCCTGGCAGCTTCCATGGGTTTCTCCTCTGTTGAACACCAAAGCCGCTTGGCATACTACCGTGGTTTTGCATCTGAAGTGTCAGTAGAACTCTGCCCACCAGAAAGGAACATTTCCAAGCAGGGGAGCCGGGCTGTTCTCTTGGAAGGGGTCTGTTCTGTTGTGTCCGACTTTACCGTGTCTGCTTCCCTGCCCCGTGCTGTCCAGTCCTGACTTAATGAGCAAGTAGAACCAGAAAAAAACCAGTTTGGCTGGGCTGGTGACTGGGTGTAAGAAAGTCAGTGACGATTTCTGGGTGGTAGGGCGCGGTGCCTTAGAGCCTTTGACAGCAGCTGGAAGGTGCGGTTTTAAGTGGGATTCAGCTGTGGACTTGATTGCTCTGCTTCCTTCCAGCATCTATATTGGAAAACGACTGAGTGCACCGTCTGCCAGCACCTACTGAGGGGAGCGAAGCCCTGGACACGCGTGTGACCTGTGAAGTGGTGTATTGTCACAGTAGTTTATTTGAACTTGAGACCATTGTAAGCATGACCCAAACTACCACCCTATTTTTACATATCCAATTCCAGTAACTCTCAAATCCAGTATTTTATTCCAACTCTGTTGAGGCATTTTACTAACCTTAATTCCCTTTCTGGCCTGTAAGACACTTTAGAATTTCCTAACAGAGTTTACTGTTGTTTAGAAATTTGCAAGGGCTTCTTTTCTGCAAATGCCACCAGCAGATTATAATTTTGTCAACAAAGCTATTATCTCTTACTACTACCAGACTTGGACCTGTGTCATTCATGGTATGAATTTTACTCTTGCAATGCTAACTACCATCTCTCTCTTAAAACAAGATCAGGTTAGCGAATCATATAAAAGCTTGTGGTTCAGTTTTTCTTTTCTTTTTCTTTCCAAGACAAAGGCAAGCTTCCCTAAGCTTGAATTTATAGTTATTAAAAAAACAAAAACAAAAACAAATAAACAAAAAAGCAAGACACACACACAAAAAAAACTTGGGCAATAAAAAATTATTTTAAACCAGCTTTGGAGCCACTTTTTTTTCTAAGCCTCCTACTAGCGCCTTCTAATTTGTAGGAGGCAGGCTGTATAAATGATAGCTAGGAAATAGAATAAGAACTAAACTCCATGAGCAGATTTTAATACTAGTATGTTGTACTGCTGTCTTTTCTATGGCGTAGAATCTACTTCTGAGAAGGCACGTCTCAGGCTTTGACATGTACGGAGTTGCTTTTGAGACTTGTGTGTGTACGTGGTTGGTATTTTTATGTATTAGCTGCATGTGAATTTTTCATGACTTTAATTTTTTTTATTTCTTAATTGTTTTCTCTAAGAAGAGACTTTGGAATGAGTTCCAATTTGTGGTGATACTACAGGCTTCTTGTTTTAGGAAGCATCACTTACGCTCTGCAGCCTTTCAGCTCTGAAGATCCTTGTTTCAGAGTTATTCCCGGCACTTGTGCAACTCTGAGAACCAGACTTGGCTTGTGGGAACAGCTGGCACAGTCCTGGAAAGCTGCCATGTGTTTCCTCTGATCTCTCCCTTCGTTCCTGTTTACCGTGCAGTCTTCCCAAGGTGATTCCTGTGACTTTGCAGGCACAGGTCATTTTCTCATGGAGCCATCTTTTCTGTTAGGCTAAACTCTTTGAGTTTGGGAATACTAAACAGATTCCTTCAGTGACATTTTTTTTTTCTTTGTTTCTAAAATGTGAAGCTTTAGGACCAAATTGTTCACAAGCACCAGATTGACCAGTTATTTCAAGTAGATTTTATTGGATTGCAGAACACATAGCCTGACTCGGAAGGATACTACTATATGTTTTCTATATAAATAATTACTGTTTATGATGTAAACATTCCTATTCAGTATTTAGAGAACCATTGTTAATTTTAAAGCTAGCAATCTTTAAAGTGCATCAGGTTGACGAGTAAAAACACTATGACAGCCAGGTTTGACAGTTCACAGAAATTAATTCTCTCACATCAAGCTTTGTAAAATTGATGTGTTACAGTGGGAAATAACATACTGATAAAAAAAATTTCTACTTTTTTTCAAGAATATAGTCAGATATTAAGAAAGAAGATATTTCTAAACTAGTTTTTTGAGTTCTTTATTTTTCTTTCTAGCATTAGAAGAAGTCTAAAAAATTATGAATGTTTTTATTATACCTGTTTCTGTCTTACTCAAACCTGGTAACACTTGATTTGCCTTCTGAAATCTATTTATTTCAAGTGTTCATATTTGACTTTCTTTGGGAAGTAAATCTGACGGCTCACTGATTTTGAATAAAATTGGAAAGGCTGATGAACTTAAAGAGAACTGAGTAGCTAAACTGCTAACATACACAGTTTGTACTACAGTTGGTGTCAGGGAAAAAGAAAACTGCTCTAAATGAGAGCCACTTTTCACCGGCGGCTCGTTGCCGCTTTTGAAATTTGGTAGCAATTCTGTCAGTGCAGTTGAACCTGGATATATTTTTGGTTTTTTTCAGCATTGAAAATATTTAATTTTTCCCTTTTTAAAAGTGTGAAATTATAGGGTATTACTTAAAATATGAATATATCATCAGAGTACAGCTTACAAGGTGGGATCATGCAGTCTTTATTGGTAGCCCTGACATAAGGGATGGATGAACATGTTCCGATCCAGATTTGCATCGAACGGAAACAGATCGCCTCTTTGGGAAGGTGAACTCAACAATTAACAGTTGAAATTTTCAGATCAATGTTTAAGAAGCTTTACACCTGTTTACAATTTGGGGTGAAAAGGCAGGCTTCATTTTTCTTACGTGTGAAGAAAACTGGCTTAAAATACTTGTAAATAGAATCAAAGCCGTACAGACTTGCTCATTGAATCGTGCAACAAGTTACTTTGAGTGCAGTAAGAACATTTACCATTCTGAACAATGGAAACAGAAGACTCAGCCAGACAGATGAACTTATAAATGAACCAGTTTTTGAAATGATTGGAAATAACTGAGCCAAAGTGATTATGCATTCTTCATCTATTTAGTTAGCACTTTGTATCATTATATACAGTTTACAATACATGTATAACTTGTAGCTATAAACATTTTGTGCCATTAAAGCTCTCACAAAACTTCTTCTGTCACTTGATCATTTTTATGTTATGTGTGTTGCTTGGTGACAAGGCCTCCTGTACACACAGAGCTTTCCACCTCAAGTTCTCCAAAAACCAGCACCTCTCGCTGCACCAGAGCAGTAGGCAGGGCTTCTGCCCTCCCAGGCTCCCACCTTGGGGAGGTGACCCCCACTCTGTGATGGGGGGGTGCGTGCTGTACTAGCAGCGTGCAGGAAGCACCGTGCACTGGAGCCTGCAGAGCGTCGTTCTGCCAGCAGCTACAGGCTGTTCCCGTGGGGAGACCATAGCAGGCTTCACCAAGTTCAGAGAGGAGTCGAGAGTATGCCTGGTAAAGGGAATGGCAGCCACTGACACCTGTGAGATGCGTTCCAGAAATAGCAGAAGTTCAGCGTGGCCGGAAAACATGGATAGCGAGGAAACTGAAAATGTGGGTTAGTGTTGAATGTGGTTGAGATTCATACGCTCTTCTAGAGGTCCCACTTGGTTGTATAGTCAGCAGGATACTCCGTGGGTTTATTACTTTATTTAAACAGGGAAATGATTTAAGAGCTGTCTTCAAGGACCATGCCACATTGTAAAGAGGCAAGGAGATCACTCAGCTCTGCAGGTAGGAATAACTAGAGCTTGCCCTGCCTGTACCTCTGGGGTTAGCAAAACAGAAGGGAACTGATAAGAAGCAAGGCAGGTGTCGCCTTCTGGTTTTGGTGGGGTTTAGTTTTTTTTGGCCTGAACCTGTATTGATGTCAATAATTAAGTAAGGAGAGGAAAGAATTCCAGCTTGGAGTATATTGAATATGAAGTGTTGAGGGGAACATTTGATTGGACAAAACCAGAGGACACTTACCAAGTAGAACTAGAACACAGGAGAAATGTCTGGAGTGGAAATGAAACACACACGCAGACACACATGCTGTAGATACATGATCGCACTGGAGTTCTCAAAGTAGCTGTGAAGCCCAACATTTTGAAGAAGGAGCAGCAGAGGAGCTCAAGGAGGTGAATTATATAATTAGTATGGTAGGAGGACCTCCCAAAGGAGGGGGGCTGACCAGTGCTGTCACATTTCGTGGTGAGATAGATGAATTGAAGAGAAGCTTGTGGACTGGCAGCTGGATCATAGCCCACCTTTTGCAAGAGCATTTTATCCGTAGGAGTATCAGGGACTCTAGATCAGACTGCACGGGGGCAGCGGGTGAATAGCAAGGAAGTGGAGGAAATTTCAAAGAGGAGACTAGATGGTAGGATTGTTGGCTTCGGTTAGGGTACAGGGATAATAAGCTTGCAGGCTAAGAAGTGAGATCAAAGGGAAGTATTTAAAGGAACAAGGGAGCAGATAAATAATGAGAGTGGAGTATGTTCGTTTCCACTCATGAAGTAAGTAGGAGGGAATAGGCCCAAGTCCTTGGATGGGGGATGAACCCTGGGAAGAGGAAGTCCACAAAACATATAAACTGAACATTCTTGTTGGAAAATGAGAGGTGGGAAAGGGCGGCAATGTTAGTGGCTAGCAGGAGAGAGCCACGTGTGGTGGTTCTGTTTTCTCTTGAAGACGAGGTCTCCAGAGGAGCCTGGGGCAGAGGCTGTTCTCCTCAGTATCTCCTGATCTGAATGGAGACCGGAACCAACGCTCAACTCCTAGAAGCGTCACCCATTCTGCCGTCATTCCCTGGCACCAACCAAAAGTGTCAGTGACCTTGACTAAGCTGGAAGCCCCCACGGGGTTCTGCCACCTCTCAGGCTGGCCAGCTCGATGCTCTTGAACTTGTCTGTCACTTGCAAAGCAAGAGGTTGCATGAGGTAGTGTTTTAATTATGTAATTGCTGTTAGTAAATTACAAGGTTCAGGCTAAAAAGCAGGATTGAGAATGGGTGACCTAGGAATAGGCACTGTGGGCACTTTATAAATTGTGCATTGGGCAGGAGATCGGTCGTGTGTACGTGTATTTTAAATTCCTGCTTTGTGCCTTAGGGTAAGTGGACCGAGATGATGGACCACAGTGCAGAGAAAAATGTGAATTCTGGGTAGTTGGGTTAAACAGATTACAAATCATAAATGCTTTCTCTTCAATAAGCCTTCGGCCTTATTCTGGCTGCTTTAACCTTCACATCTTTTACCCCTTGATTGATATATGCACTCCCCTCCACGAGAAGTATGAAAATCAAAGTATTAGCACAGTTGTAAGCCAATTATGCAACTGAGTGAACTCTTTCAGAGGGAGGGAACAGAATTTGTTAAGATTCCCACGTCCTTTATTACTGTCTCTTACCTAGAATCACAAAAATAAAATCAAAGGTCCTAACAGTATCCGGCGCACAGATTGAAGGGAAAACCAGTTCTGCCAGAGGCCTCATTTCTCTGGTTGAGAAAACAGCTCATCAAAAGTGAATGGGCAATGCCAAGTCCTATAAATAATATGCAAATGGATGGTTAAGCTGCTGTCAATTCTTAGACTTTAAAATGCAGATCTGAAGTTTGCCTAAGCAAAATGGGGTTGAAAACGGTGGGGGAAGAGGTATTACAAATCTCACCCGAAATTCCTTGGTTACCACTTAGTAAACACTATACCTTTTCTTTCTTTTTAAAGATTATGTGTTTATTTGAAAGAGTGACTGAGAGGTATCTTCCATGTGCTGGTTCACTCCCCAGTTGGCCGCAGTGACCTGGGCCAGGAGCCTGGTGTCCCACGTGGGTGGCACTGCTTTCCCGTGTGCATTAGTGGGGAGCTGGATGGGAAAAGGAGCCACTGGGACTTGAACAGGTGCTCATGTGGGATGCTGGTGGCGGCTTAACACGCTGCACCATAACGCCAGCCCCAAAGCCTACACCTTTTCCGCAGCTTATATCACTGGAACACTTTACCAGAAACCAGAGTCCCCCGGTCTCCCCAGCCTCAGTGAATTCCACCTCCACTCCACTATGCATTGTCCTGTCCTCTGCTCCCACTCCTAGTATGAGTGAGGAGAAACTGGACATAGTTAAGGCAACAAACACTATTTTAAAAAGTTCTCAAAGCGATTTATCGCAGGCAGATGCGATTCATGGCCTGGATGCCTGCTGACCTCCAGACCCCGAGATTAAGCCCCGCCCACACACCACCCCGGCACGTGCGTGGGCATTTCAGACTCTGCTGCCCAGCCTTGCCCAGCTCTGCCCCCCTGCTCCCCCTTTGCTGGATGTCTGTGAAAGGCACAAGCACCCCTCCAGCTCCACACCAGGAGACTGCTGCTTCTCTTCCCCCGCCGGATTCCAGGCAGTCCCCTTGGAAACAGCTCACCCTCCCCTGTGTTGAGTCAGGCGCTGGGCTGCTTGGCTGGGCTGCCCGGAGAGTGCCGTGGGGTCCTGACTGGACCGTGCTGCTCTAGGCGTTTCCCTCAGCAGCCACAGTAGTTGTCCTAAAATACAAATCTGATCACATCATGGAACTCTTGAAATCCACAAGTGGTTCCCCCTTTGACTTGGGGGTGAAGTTCAAGTTCCCTCAAGTGGCAGCCAGGCCTGCCAACCTCCAGCCTCCCCTCCCAGTGGCCTGTCCCCTGTCAGGGAGTGTAACGTGGACTTTGAGCCACACCCCACCCTCAGCATTTTTCAGGGCTCAGCTCAGAGGTTCCTCTCCCACCCCTCCCCCAACCAGGTTGTTGACTTCTCCACACTCACCCAGACTTCTGGCATGTACACCACTGTGGCACCTGTCACGCTGAACTGTCCTGACTTAAATGGATGACACCTGCTAAAGCCATCGTAAATTGAACACAGTGTAAGCTGAAAATGCATGGAATAAAACTACCCAGGCTTGCTAAAGTATGCTTGGGGCACTTGCATGGACAATAGTGGCAGGATAACACATTGTGTGTTACCAAATAAGCTTCTCTGATGGCAAGTCTAACTCACTGAATGTGGACCACTGGACTGAGGGTGCTCACCCGCGGGGACGGGGGAGGGGGGACGAGGGGAGGGCTCGCAGCAGCATCGAAGCATCACGCAGCCTGTCACTGGCTTGGGAAAAGTTCCGCCTTCAGAGTTGAAAGTGCGGTTTCTACTGAGTGTGTGTCGCTTTCACACCGTGGCGAGGCTAAGATGATCTGAGGTCGGACCCGTCTGCTCTTGTCTGGTTCCCTCAGGGGCTGTGTTCCTCCGGCAAAGTCCATGCCTTGGACGAGTCCACCAGTTCCCAAAATTGATAGTAGGCTGCTCACATCTCGAATGCTAAAAAGACTGAAAATTACCAAGTCTCATTTTCTTTCTTTCTTTCTTTCTTTCTTTCTTTCTTTCTTTCTTTCTTTCTTTCTTTCTTTCTTTCTTTCTTTCTTTCTTTCTTTCTTTTTAGATTCACTTATTTATTTGAAAGGCAGAATTACAGAAAGGCAAGGCAGAGAGAGCGAGAGAGAGGTCTTCTACCCACTGGTTCACTCCCCAGATGGCTGCAATGGCCAGAGCTGCGCCGATTGCACCATCATCTACTGCTTTCCCAAGCCACAGCAGAGAGCTGGATTGGAAGTGGAGCAGCCAGGACTCGAACCGGAACCCTTATGGAATCCTGGCGCTGCAGACTGGGACTTTAACCCATGCGCCGTAGCAGTGCCCTCCCACCCAAGTTTCATTTTCAACACAAACTAGTTTCAAGATGGTTTCATCAGACTGAGCTGGTCAGGCCTCAGGAAGGACTGAGCCACAAGCTGTGCAGAGTAACACCACATTCTCAGATTTCTGTTTTTGAGAGAGAAGAGGAAACTCTGTAAGAAACCAAAGACGGGACTGGTGTTGTGGCGCAGCCTGGCCTAAAGTGCCGCATCCCATATGGGCGCTGGTTCGAGACCCAGCTGCTCCACTTCCAATCTTGCTCTCTGCTATGGCCCGGGAAAGCAGTAGAAGATGGCCCAAGTCCTTGGGCCCCTGCACCCACATGGGAGACCTGGGGGAAGCTCCTGGCTCCTGGTTTTGGATCAGCACAGCTCCAGCCGTTGTGGCCAACTGGGGAGTGAACCATCAGATGGAAGACCTCTCTTTCTGCTTCTTTTCTCTCTGTGTAACTCTGACTTTCAAACAAATAAATAAATAAATTTTAAAAAAGAAACACTTAAGGAGACTAGAACTCAAAGAACCTACAATCCAAAGTGACATGGATCAAACTGATGGCTTAAACTTCTAGGGGGCTGATGTTGTGGTACAGCAGGTAAAGTTGCCACCTGCGGCATCGGCATCCCACAAGGGCGTTGGTTTGAGTCCTGGCTGCACCACTTCCAATCCAGCTCCCTGCTAATGGCCTGGAGAGCAGCGGGAAATGATGGTCCAAGTGCTTGGACCCTTGCACACACATGGGAGACCCAGAAGGAACTCCTGGCGCCTGGCTTTGGTCCCAGGAATAAACCAGCAGATGGAAGACATCTCTCTCTGTCTCTCTCTACCTCTCTGAAACGCTGACTTTTAATTAAATAAATAAATCTTTTCTAAAAAAATGCAATTTAAATCCATCAGCTCATGCCCTGTTTATAAAATGTGGTCTTGTCCTCTGTTGGGGTTTGTCCTGGAATTGTCACAAGCCAAGCAGGGCTGTGTGGTCATTTTTGTATTGAATAATGGGATTGGAGGCCCCACAAGGCTGGCTGGCAGGACATTAAACACAGGACTGGGGTAATTCTAGCCATGCAAAGTTATTTATGTAACATTATTCCACTGCATGGGCTGGAATAAGATAGCTACACATTGCAAGTGTTTGGGCTCAAATTCAACCTAGGAAGAAAGGGCCAGAGGGCCTGAGATGTTTTGTTTACCTCTGTGTCACTGGCCGAGGACACCTTCCTCCACGAAGGGCTTCTTTTTGGCTGTCCCAGCAGCTTCTTTTGTGCAGGTAAAGGGAGCAGGGCTCAGCAGTGTTTGATAACTGGCCCACGTCACAGCATTAATAAATGACAAATTTGCTTCTGGGCCTTTAAGATCAAGTGCAATAAATGACAGAGCTGGGATGCCAACATGAAGCAAAGCCACTTCCCAGGAGCCAGTCTCCTTCTAAATCAAGCACCTGGGGTTTCTTAATGTTTCCGGAAGAGTTCTGAAGCATCAGTTTGTATCCTGAAAAACTCAAAGCTTTTAGACAGAACAGTAACTCCTGCAATAATTAATATTCTTCCCGGTAGATCCGGGGGAGCAAGACAGAGCCAGATCCAACATGAGGCAGTGTTGTCAGCCTGGCTTATGCTGTTTTATGTGGATCTGAAAGCCCTTGGGTAAAGATAAATTCCGAGGTTCTGGCTGTGCATTTGAGCATCTGCAGGTTCGGTTTTTTTTTTTTTTTTTTTTTTTTTGACAGGCAGAGTGGACAGTGAGAGAGAGAGACAGAGAGAAAGGTCTTCCTTTGCTGTTGGTTCATCCTCCATTGGCCACCACGGCCGGCGCACCGCGCTGATCCGAAGCCAGGAGCCAGGTACTTATCCTGGTCTCCCATGGGGTACAGGGCCCAAGGACTTGGGCCATCCTCCACTGCACTCCCTGGCCACAGCAGAGAGCTGGCCTGGAAGAGGGACAACCGGGACAGAATCCGGCGCCCCGACTGGGACTAGAACCTGGTGTGCTGGCGCCGCTAGGTGGAGGATTAGCCTAGTGAGCCGCGGCGCGGGCCTCAGATTCGGTTTTATCAATGAGCTTTCACCCCAGCCGTTTCTGAAAGCTCGTTCCCCTGACGGCATGCTTTCCGAAGCGCGCCAAGGTTCTGGTCAAAGAGCGCGCGTCTGGGAGGCTTGGAGTCAGGGTGAGGCTGCATGAACGCACCGCCGGGATCGCCGGCTTCTTAAACATGGCTGTGTTGGCCAGCCAAGCTACCGATCACTGTCTTGAGGGAGGCAGAGAAGGGTGAGGAGGAAGACTGGAGACACCGAGGGAGCCCTTAGGTTGAGTTGGGAAAATTCGGCCTTCAGAGTTTAAAGTGCGGTTTGTACTGAGTGCAGGTAGCTTTCACACTGCGGCGAGGCTGACATCTGAGGTCACACCCATCTGACACCTGAGTGCTTCCGTTCTCCAGCTTAATCCTCACGAGGCTCACTTGAGGCAGCTGCGATTTTGGCATCAGGAAGAGAAAATTCACATTACACAGAAGACCCAGGCTCTGCCCCATGTTCCTTACTACAGAGCAGCCCTTGAATTCCTTTGGCTTGGTGTCCAGCCCCCTTGCTCGCCAAGCCAACAGTTTGTCCTTTTAGGCATAGGATTTTTTTCCTAGTGAAAAAACAAACGGAGGATAAATGCAGCGAGCACAACCTTAAAGAAATTTCCAATATCGGGGCCGGCGCCCTGTCTCACTTGGTTAATCCTCCACCTGCGGCGCCAGCATCCCATATGGGCGCCGGGTTCTAGCCTGGGTTGCTCCTTAAAAAAAAAAAAAAAAAAAAGGAAAGAAAAAAATTTCCAACATCAATTTCCAGCCGTTGCCAATTTGTGACTTTTGCTCTTCCAATGTAAGATAGAGAATAGGTTTTATGTGTGAATTTTCTGTAAGAATAAGGGATCTTCAGTTTAGCAAAGCGCCACAACCTCGTTGTCTCATGCACTCTTTTGCCTGCACAAACTCCCGGCGTGTGTACCCCACGCCAGGGACCGCTGCAACAGTAGGCTGAAGGCTGGGGTCGGGTATTGGTTCTGACTGGTGCATTGTGGTGTCCTCCGATCTGGAAGCAGATAAGGGTTGGAAATGCCATTAGCCGCTGATGCGAGCACTGGGGCCTGGAGAGCCACTCCCGAGCGATGGGCCCTGCTGAACACCAGGCACTGCCAGGACCTTACTCTGCAGCCACCACAGTCGCCAGCACCAAAGCTGCCCATGTCCCAGGGACAACCCCACGGCGCCCCCACCGCTGCTTCTGCCCAGAGGGGAGAAGTGAGTTTCCCAAAGCTTTCCTCCTGCATAACCAGCTCTTGAGCCCAAATCCTCTACACGTGCCTGACTCGGGGATCCCTTAGGTTCCGCCTGCAACAGAGGTGGGGAAAGTGCCCTGCCCCACCCCCAGCCCGCCCCACCAGGCTCCATAATGTGATTGAGTCAGCAGCGGAAGTTCAGATGCTGGGTTGCCAGAAAGGGAGATCAATGTCATCTGTGACTGCACGAGGCCCCCAGGATTTTCAGTCTAGCAGGGAAGTAAGCGGATTGACCATGGCACACATTCTTGGGATAAGTGTTAGAGAAAAAGCTACGGAGTCTGTAGCATGGGAGTTAGTGAAGAGGGGGCGGAGGAAGGGTGCTTCAAACCCAGCCCTACGGCCTGAGGAGCTGCTGGCTGCCAGCCAAAGGGACGGGAAGGTTGCAGGCATAAGGAACACTCGGGCGGAGGCAAGCACCCGGCACGGGGTGACACTGATGACGCTCCGGAGGGAGGAGAGACGAGACGATGACAAACAGGCTAGGTAGGGCCTGCGAGGCCATGGCTAACGACGGTGAGATTCTTCAGTTTCAGATAACTTTCTGCAGTGTATTATTATACTTGTTCTATTTCTTCATCAGTCATTGCTGTTCATCTCATACAGCGCCTAATTCAGAAATTAAACTTTATCACAAGTGTGTTGATTTACGGGCTTTATTCCAAGGATTTAGGGAAAGCACTGGAGAGTTTTAAACAGGCTAAGATTTACATCATTGAAACACCACTCTTAAACTTACAGGATGAACCTGAGAAGACCAAGAATGCGCATGAGATGACCACTTAGGAAGAAAAGATTACAGTGACCTAAAACTAAATTTATGGAGCTGGGGTTGGATCAGAGAAATATCCAGCAAGTAAAATCAGTGATGTAATGTTGAATGAATGACAGCATTTTTCACCCAGAGTGTTGGGCTCCTTCTGGGTTGCTTCTGGACCGTGGCTCCCTTTCTTTATTTTTTTTAAAGATTTATTTTATTTATTATTTGAAAGTCAGAGTTACACAGAGAGAGGAGAGGCAGAGAGAGAGAGAGAGAGAGGTCTTCCATCCGATGGTTCACTCCCCAATTGGCCACAACGGCCGGAGCTGTGCCAATCTGAAGCCAGGAGCCAGGAGCTTCTTCCAGGTTTCCCATGCGGGTGCAGGGTCCCAAGGACTTGGGCCATCTTCTACTGCTTTCCCAGGCCACAGCAGAGAGCTGGATCAGAAGTAGAGCAGCCAGGTCTTGAACCAGCGCCCATATGGGATGCCGGTGCTTCAGGCCATGGCGTTAACCCACTGCACCACAGTGCTGGCCCCAGCTCCCTTTCTTGAGGGTCAGCCAGCCTAGTGTCCCAGGGATTCCTGAATAACCAGGGCGCTGAATGGGCTGTTGGACAGACACATGAGGCTAGAACTCAGAGGAAAGAGCTGGGTGCAGATTTTGGACTTCGTCAGCCAACGGGTGGTGGATGAAGCCCCAGAGCGGGTGATGTGACCTGGGGATAGGGAGGGAGAGAGAAGGTCTGGGGGAGCTCCCGAGCACTCCAGCGCTGACACACTTGCATGCAGCACAAGCTAAAGACTGAAGAGGAAGGGCCAGAGACTGGAGCAAAGCCAGGCCATGGGAACCCAGAGACGTGTTCTTCCAAAGCTGTGAACCCTGGTGCTTCAAGACCAACATAGCCGAGGGACTGCTAGGGTGGCCCCTGTACTCAGAGACCAGGCTGGATTCCTGACTCTCTACTTTGACCTGGCCCAGACCTGGCTGTTGCAGGCATTTGAGGAGTGGACCAGCGGATGAAAGATCCCTCTTTCTCTCTCTCCCTCTCTCCATCGCTCCTTCATTCTGCCTTTCAAATAAATTTTTTAAAAATAAAATGAAGGTGTGCTTAGCATTTATCGGTTTCATTAACGTGGAGATCTTCGATCTTAACTGCTTGCTGGGGATGGAAGCCAGACCAAAGTGCTTTCAGGGCAGAGGGAGTAGAGAAATGGAGACGGGAAGGAGGAAGAGAGAGGCTAAGTGGGCGTGGATAGGGCCCGAGGAGGGAATTGTGTTCAGCATATTTAACTACCAAGGGGAGAGCTCTGTATTAGGGCTCTCCAGACAAGCAGAACCAGCAGGATGTGGGTGCACAGCGAGAAGCTCCTCACCAGAGACCACTCGCGTCATTACCCAGGCTGGCCAAGCCCAACTCTGCAGGCTGGGCCGGCGGGAGAGCCAGCGAAGAGCTGGCACTGCGGCTCAATCACAGAGCCGTGAGCTTGGCTTGGAGCCAAGAGCTGGCCCGCCTGCCCCCGGGACCCAGTCTGGGAGTTCTGGAGGCCCGCAGCTGGTTGGACAAGGCCCACGGACACTAGGAAGGGCAGCTGCCAGAGTCCACGGTGCCATCCAAAAGCACCTTCACAGAGACATCCAGATTAATGTTTGACCACACGTTGGCACCGCGGCCCAGGCAAGCTGACGTGCACAAGGAGCGCCCCAGAGAGCTGCTGGAGGCAGAGGGGACGTGGGAGGCCAGGGCTCTGCCCTCCGACACAGACCAGGTCACAGCCTCCCAGGCTCTCGTCGGCCCCCTGGCTCCAGGGCAGCCCCCGTGGGGGCAGCTGTTCTGCACTCAGTCCATGTGCTTGCTCTCAACGCCGTTTAACCCAATAAATATTGCTTGTAAAGGGATTTTTAAAAAGTATTTACTTAATTATTTGCGAAGCAGACCGAGCTCTCATCTGCTCTTACTCTCCAAATACCTGCATCAAAGTCAGGAACCAGGAACTAGGAGTGCAATCCAGGTCTCCTGCATGGGTGGCAGGAACCCAATCACTCGAGCCATCCCTGCTGTCGCCTAGGGTCTGCATTAGCAGGAAGCCGGAGTCAGGAGCAGAGCCGGGGTCGAACCCAGGCACTCTGATGCGGGACACGGGGATCCTCACTGCTAGGCTGAACACCAGCCTGATGAAGTGACTTTTTAAAAGCCTATTTGCAGGGGCCGGCGCTGTGGCGCAGGGGGTTAAAGCCCTGTGCCGGCATCCCATATGGGCACTGGTTTGAGTCCTAGCTGCTTCTGTTCCCATCCAGCTCCCTGCTAATGCAGCCTGGAAAGCAGTGGAGGATGGCCCAAGTGCTTGGGCCCCTGTACCGACGTGGGAGACCCGGAAGAAGCTCCAGGCTCCCGGTTTCGTATCCGCTCACCTCCGGCTGTTGCAGCCATTTGGGGAGCGAACCAGTGGATAGAAGACTTCTCTCTCTCTGCCTCTCTGTACTGCCTTTCAAATAAATAAATAAAACTAAAAAAAAAAAAAAAGCCTATTTGCAGTTATTTCCAACACCTGTCATTACACCCACAGCTGGTATGAGGTTGAAGACACAAGGCAAAAGGACCCACCTGCTGTTCGTGACCCAGGGAGAGGATGTGAGGTTGAGTGGGAGGTGAGGTTCTTGAGGAGGCAGGGAGGAGCCGCAGAGGGGAAGAGGCAGCGGATATTGAAGCCGAGGCCGTTGGAAAGCTGATCTCTCCTCTCAATCCCACACGCGGTCTCCAGCGCAGCCCCTCTGCTTGTCCCAGAGGCTGGGTTATTTGGGGGCACCCAGGAGAACTTGAATTACACAACTGGGTCCAAAGTCACTCAGAGCTAGCACATGCAAAATCTGCGTTATTTTTCTCCCCTACTTAAAAAACTTAGCTTTAATTATGGTTAAGTTTTAAAGTAAAACTTCATGTTCTCAGTGGACAGCTGTGCGAGCTTTATCAGATACATATTTTTGTAACCACCTCCGCAATCAAGATCCAGAACGGCCCTGTCACCACCACCCACAACATACAATGCCCACATTTTTTGAAAAACAAAATGCTGATTGAAGAACCCTACCTCTATCCACCATAGTTTAGGATGCTAACTGCAGCCAACTGACAAAGTTAAAAAAAAAAAAAAGTGAGGGCAAACTCTAACATATAGTTACTAATTATACCTGGGGGTGTGGCAAAATTGTGGGTGTCAGATACAGTTGTAAACAGGCCTTTAAAAACCATGGATGGGGCAGGCACCGTGGTGCAGTGGTTTAACCTGCTGCTTAGACCGCCAGCATCCCGTATCAGAGTGCCAGTTTGAGTCCCTGCTACTCTTTGGATCCAGCATCCTTGGGAGGCAGCGGAAGATGGCTCGAGGGCCTAGGCCCCTGTAACCCACGTGGGAGATGGCGATGATGTTCCTGGCTTCTGGCTTCAGCCTGGCCCAGCTCTGGCTATTGCAGACATTTGGGGAGTGAACCAGTGGATGGAAGATTCTCTCTCTCTGCTGTTCTGCCTTTCAAGTAGTTTACATAGGGGCCCACACTGTGGCATAGTAAGTTAAGCCTCTGCCTGCAGCACCAGCATCCCATAGGGGTGCCAGTTTGTATCCCGGCTGCTCCTTTTCTGATCCAGCTCTTTGCTTATGGCCTGGGAAAGCAGCAGAAAATAGCCCAAGTGCTCGGGGCCCTGCACCCACATGGGAGACCCGGACGAAGCTCCTGGCTCCTGGCTGCAGATTGGCTCAGCTCCGGCTGATGCAGACATTTAGGGAGTGAACTAGCAGATAGAAGGCCTTTCTCTCTGTCTCTCTTTCTCTCTGTAACTCTGCCTCTCAAATAAATAAATTTTTAAAAAAGATTAAGTAAGCTTTTAAAAAAATTACAGACAGTCTTTTAGGTTTCAGTGGTAGTGTGAAATTCTTACTACTGGATTTGCGGTGGTTTGAATGTGGCTTCTTTCCTCCAAAACTTGGGTTGTGATTTACTCTCCACTGAGACATTAATGCTGAGCGGGAGCAGGTGGGGTCTGGAAAAGGCAATGGATCCATGAATTGATCCCTTCGTTTGACTGATGGGTAAGTGAAGTCTGTGTGGCTTGGTCTCTTGCACGCTTCTGTCACATGTGATGCCCTGTGCCACCTCAGGACCCTGACAGCAGGGCCAGCATCAGATGCAGCCCCTCGACCTTGGACCAGAACCAGAGCCAAAACAAACCCGTTTTCTACCTAGTGGACGAGTCTGTGGCACTGTGTTATTAACAATAGAAAATGAGGGTTTTAAAAAAATATTTATTTTTATTTACTTGACAGGCAGAGTTAAAGGGAGCGGGAGGGAGAGAGAGATCTTCCATCCGCTGGTTCACTCCCCGCAGTGGGTGCAGGGGCACAAGCACTTGGGGGGCTCGCCATGCTTCCCTAGGTACATTATCAGGGAGCTGGATCGGAAGTGGAGAAGCTGGGATTCAAACCAGTGTCCTTATGGGAAGCCGGCATCCAGGCCAGCTTTATCCACTACACCACACAGTGCTGGTCCCCAAAATGAAGTTTTCTGGACCAAGGGAAAGGCGTGGCATCCCTCCCACCAGGACAGGCATCTCCACGGAGCAGACCCAGCAGGCAGAGAGAAGTGGGAGCAGAGGCGGAAGGGCCGGGGTGGGGCTGGGAAGATGGGACTAGCTGGTCCACACGGAGGGAGTGCCCTAGTCAGGCAGAGCTCCCACCTGGCATGGGGCCTCCTCCCCCGGGAGAGCGCACAGACTGCAACATGCCTGGCTTCCTCCAGGGAGCGTGTTTGCAAGGTTGATCTGCGGTGTGCACAGCAGCACTGCATTGTTAGGGCTGCCTGCTGTGCCGCCGTGTGGGTGTACACTCTCCAGTGTCTTTACAGTGCAGTATTTTGGACACACAAAAAAGATACACAAAGCTATAGAATGACTCTCTCCATCCAGTGTCTGCAGTACAATGCCATTTGTGGATTCCTTTCTGCCTTTAGGAAACACATCTCTGCCGTCGTGTTACTGGGATTGCGAATAGACAAATATATTTGCTTTGCTCTCTCCACTCAGAAGTCCTGATTTGGGGGCTGGTGTGGTGGCACAGCAGGCTAAGCTGCCACCTGCAACACCCATAGGAGTATGTTATCCCCTGTGAGTGCTGGTTCGAGTCCTGACTGCTCCACTTCCAATCCAGCTCCCTGCTAATGCACCTAGAAAAGAAGCAGAAGATGGCCCAAGTCCTTGGGTTCCTGCCATGCCTGTGGGAGACCTGGATGGAGTTCCAGGCTCCTGGCTGTCACCTGGCCCAGCCCTGGCCATTGCAGCTGTTTGGCAAGTGAATCAGCAGATCAAAGATCTCTCTCTGTCTCCCTGTTTCTCTCTCTGCATTTCAAATAAATAAAAATAAACCTTTACAAAAATAAACTGCTGGGTGGGATGAGACGAAAAGTGGGCTGCATAAGCGCTGGTGGAAGTGGCCCGTGTGAGGGCCTTCGGGCAACAATCTGGCACATTATTAATATGTAACACACACGTGTGTCCTTTGGCCTGGGGTCAGGCTCCAGGCACTCAGTTCCACAGGGACAAAGTCCAAGTCTGATAGGAGTACGGGATGTTTATCAGCGTTGTTTCTGGAGGCCTCACACGGACACGAGCGGAGGCTGCCGGGAGCGGACGGCTGGGCAAGCTCCTCCTTCCACGCCAGGGAATGCTGAGGGGCCACTGCACAGAACGCCAGCCCCATCAGGTGCCCTGCGCTGAAGTCCACGAGGTGCTGTGTGATGGGGGAAAAACACAAATAGTCTACAATATTACTTGATTAGCATCAGTGTCCATCTCACGGGCATGTGAGTACAAGTGTGTGTGTGTGTAGCTGTGTATGGCGTTGTGCAACTGTGGAGGGAGACGACTCCCGGGAGGTGTGGGGAGCGGGCATCTTCCATGGGGAAGTGGGGGGAGAGGGACCGATTGCCCAAAACAGCATTATGACATAAGCCTATTTAGGTCAACTTTACATATAAGTGTCTTTTCAAAACAAAAGGAAAAGAGAGGGAAGAGATATACAATTTGGGACATGCTCAAGCTGACTTGCCCCAAATGGTAGAGTTAGAAACATACCAGGGGACTCCAATTTAATCCCATCAAGGTGGCATGTACCAATGCCATCTCACCAGTCCAAGTGATCAATTTCAGTTCACAATTGATCATAATGAAAGGACTAAGAGTCAAAGGAAGCACATAAACAAGTCTAGTACCTGCTAATACTAACTGATAGAATAAATAAAGGGGAGAGTGATCCAACATGGGAAGCGAGATACTCAGCAGACTCATAGAATGGTGGATGGCCTAAACAGCACTCTGGCCTCAGAATCAGCCCTAGAGGCATTCCGATCTGGCTGAAAAGCCCATGAGAGTATTTCAGGCATGGAAAGCCAAGACACTCTGGCAAAAAAAAAAAACATTTTGTCATGGATGAACTTTGACTTCTATTTTAAATTTTCTCTGCATCTATGGAAATCACTTTTATATATTAATATGGTAAATTATATCGAGGTTTAATGCAAAATCATTCCTGCTTCCTTGGGAGAGTGAAAACTTGGCCATGATCTTTTAAATAGACTTAGCTGGGCTCAGCTGTGTGGAGTGGGGCTCACCTCTCTGCTTCTTTCCCACCTCCCCCGCCTTCGCTCCTCCTGACTGCGGGAATCTGGCGCTCCCTGGGCTCGCCACTCTGCCCTGCCCACCAAAGGCTCAGCCTCCACCCAGGACAGTCCACCCTCGTGTAGGGTGGGGCTTCCACCTGCAAAACACAGAGTTTCCAGCGACCTCCAGGGCAGCTTACTTGCCTGCCAGATTATGCTGGTACTCGGAAATCTGCTCCGGGGAGCATGCACGCACATACACACACACACACACACACACACACACATGCACGCACGCGAACATGTGCTTGCTTACACACGGACATGTGTGCTCACACACATACACATGTTCACACAGAGAACCAAAGACAACCAGAGCTTTAGAGAAATCAGAGTTCTGATTACAGTCATCCCTCCATCTTGAGCACCTACAAAAAGCCTCAGTGAATGACTTTAAGTGGTACGGATGGACGATGTGAACAGGAGAGGGACATCAGCAGACGGATTTCAGCACTTTACGGCTGCAGGGACCAGGAACGCACCACCTCCTCATGCTCACAGCAATGCTGTGTCACCCACCTGCACCGAAGCACCGGCCTGGCCAACTCAGCTGACTCTGGCTGTGCCTAGAACCAGACTGGATACCAGCACTTTTTGGGGCCTCCAAGCCCCTAGTATGAAGACCCCCAGGGTCTCTCAGTGCCTGGGACTCTGGCTCACACGATGGATACCCATCAAGAATGGGCAGAGGTAGGAGCTGGCGCTGTGACATAGCAGGTAAGGCCACCACCTGCAGTGCTGTTATCCCATATGGGCACTGGTTTGAGTCCCAGCTGCTCCACTTCCAATCCAGCTCTCTGCCTTGGCCTAGGAAAGCAGTAGAAGATGGCCTAACTCCTTGGGCCCCTGCACCTGCATGGGAGACCTGGAAGAAGCTCCTGGTTCCCAGCTTTGGATCAACAGAGCTCCGGCCATTGTGGTCATCTGGGGAGTGAACCAGTGGATGGAAGACTTCTCTCAGTCTGTCTCTGCTTCTGCCTCTCTATAACTCCGCCTTTCAAATAAGTAAATAAATCTGAAAAAAAAAAAAAAAAAAAAAGAATGGGCAGAGGCACTGGTGAATGTGAAGGCAGGGAAAGGCATTTGACAGACAGGCAGACAGACAAGCCTGGGACAAACGTACCCATCAGACTCAACGGCTTACACAAAATGATCAAGCTACTGAGCAAAGTCCTTTCAGTGTTTGAATTAGGATACAACTAGGCAGGTAATGAGGCTGTTAAAATCTTTAATATCTAGTTTGTTTGAAATTTACATTTGCAAATTTGTGAATCTTTTTTATGAAAGTCAAATTTTGAGTTTCGAATTGGTGCAGATTAATTAGTCTTTCTGGGACCATACAAGTGGAGTTTTTTGTTTGTTATTGCATGTGGTTTTCAAACTGTGATGAATCACACATAACATGAAATTTATCATCTTAACCATTTTTAGTATACTGCTCAGTAATGTATTTGTCAGGATTCTCCAGAGACAAAACCAATAGGACACACACACACACACACACACACACGGGTACATTAAGGAATTCATGGAAAATGTATCTCAAAAATTTTTTTGCACCGAAACAAACATCTTTTTTTTTTTTTAAGGTTTGTTCGAAAGACAGAATTACAGAGAGAGGTTGAGACAGAGAGAGGTCTTCCATCCTCTGGTTCACTCCCCAGATGGCCACAACAGCTGGAACTGAGCTGATCTGAAGCTAGGAACCAGGAGTTTCTTCTGGGTCTCCTATGAGGGTGCAGGAGCCCAAGGACTTGGGCCGTCTTCCACTGCTTTCCCAGATAATAGCAGACAGCTGGATTGGAAGTGGAGCGGCTGAGACTAGAGCCAGCGCCCATTTGGGATGCTAGCACTTCAGGCAGGACTTTAGCCTGCTGTGCCACAGTGCTGGCCTCTAAAACAAACATCTTTTAATTTCATTTTTCCATGAATTTTTCAAAGCACTGCCTCAATGTGTGTGTGCATGTGTGTGTGTGCTCACATGCGTGCGCACGTTTGAAAGACTTATTAGAGGAGTTAGCTCAGGAGATTGTGCCACCTGGAAAGTCTTCCACAGGCCTGCCTACAAGCTGGAGACCCTGGGATGGCAGAAGTGTGACTTGGTCCAAGTCCTTCAAAGCCTCCAGACCCAGATGATGATGGCAACCCTCAGTCTCCAGAGGTCAGTTAGCCTGGAGTTCAGATGGCCAAACGATGTAGCAAAAATATGTCCCAGGTTTGGGAGAAAGGAAATCACCTTTTGCGGTATGCAACCCCCAACTGATTGGAGGATTCCCACCCTCACAGAGGGTGGTCTTCCCCAGTCTACTGACTCCCACATCAATCTCTTCTGTGTCTCCACAGACACACCCAGAAGTCATGTGTGATGGATTATGAAGGTGACCCTTAGCCAGTCAACTTGTCACCTAAAACTAAACATCACAATGTTAACTATGAGCCTGGTATTGTGAAATGGATCTCTAGAACTTTTCATCTTGCAAACTCTACACTTATTGAACATCAACTCTCCATTCTCCCTTCCCCTCAGGCCCTGGGACCACTCTTCTACTTTCTGTTCCAGTGCAGGTGCCCGCTTTAGATATCTCATGTAAGTGTCCTTCTGTGACTGGCTTCTTTTGCTTTGCATAAGGTCTACAACGTTCATCCATGTCATAGCAGGTGATGGGATCTTCTCTTTTTTAAAGGCTGAACAGTAGTCTATGGTGTGTATATACAACTTGGGCATTCCCAGTCTGGAAATCCAAAATACTCTAAAAATCGGAAACTTTTGGAGCACATATGTGACACTCAAAATTTTAGATTAGGCACTGTGCAAGAAAAAAAAAAACAAAACAGAAAGCGTTTTAGATTTTGGAGCATTTGGATTTCAGATTTTAGCTTAAGGATGTTCAACGAGTAAAGTCTACATGCAGTTATTTCAAAATCCAAAAATCTCCCCAACCTGAAACACTTCCGGTCCCTAGCATTTTGGATCTGGGGGAGTCAACGTTTTGTTTATCCTTTCAAGCATCGTGGGAGCTTTGCGTTGCTTCCACCTCATAGCTGTTGTGAATACTGCTGCAGTGAGCATGGGTGCGCATGTATCTCTTTGAGATCTTGCTCTCAGTTAATTTGGGTAGATTTCCAGAAGTGGGATTGCTGGAAAGTGTGGTGATTATTCTACATTCAATTTTTTTTTAACAGGCAGAGTGGACAATCAGAGAGAGAGAGACAGAGAGAAAGGTCTTCCTTTGCTGTTGGTTCACCCTCCAATGGCCGCCGCGGCTGGTGCACTGCACTGATCCGAAGGCAGGAGCCAGGTGCTTCTCCTGGTCTCCCATGGGGTGCAGGGCCCAAGCACCTGGGCCATCCTCCACTGCACTCCCGGGCCACAGCAGAGAGCTGGCCTGGAAGAGGGGCAACCGGGACAGAATCCGGCGCCCCGACCGGGACTAGAACCCGGTGTGCCAGCACCGCAAGGCAGAGGATTAGCCTATTGAGCTGCGGCACTGGCCCTCTACATTTAATTTTTTAAAGTATTTATTTACTTTGGGGCCAGGCTGTAGTGTAGGAACTTAAGCCACCGTCTGCAGTGCTGGCATCTCATATGGGTGCTGATTTGAGTCCCGGCTGCTCCACTGCTGAATGTCTGGGAAAGCAATGGAAGATGGCCCAAATGCTTGGGCCCCTGCACCCACGTGGAAGACCTGGATGAAGCTCCTGGCTTCAGCCTGGCCCAGCTCTGACAGTTGCAGCCATTTAAAGAGAGAACCAGTGGATGGAAAATTTCTCTCTGTCTCTCCTTCTCTCTCTCTCTATAACCCTGCCTTTCAAATAAATTAAAAAAAAAAAAAAAGGCTGAATAGTATTCTATGGTGTGTACATACAACTTGGGCATTCCCAGTCTGAAAATCCAAAATGCTCTAAAAATCTGAAAGTTTTTTGTAAGACATAGAGAGACTGTATAGATGTGAAGTGTATATTTTTGCTAATTAGCACTGAGAGTATAATTGGAATTCTGTGGGAGTGAAGGATTCAGCACGATGTGGTGGCAGAAGCACAGGGAGTGGAGACAGGAATTCTTAGCTGCTTTGCCATTGACTTCCTGGGTTCCTGTAGGCGATCTTGTAAACTCCCGAGTCTCAGCCTCTTCCCAGTGAGATGAGAAATAGGCATGCAAGATAATTGAGTCTGGCTTGTAGCACAGACATAATAGCATTTGCCAGCCAGAATAAAGTGAAACTAGAGGCGGGTGGCCTGAATAATGGCCAAATTCAACAGGGAGCAGAGTTCTCCGTGATGCGCTGCACTCTGTGGCCTTCTCCATTTTGAAATACAAATAGAATTCACTTTATACAGTGGAAGTGTTGAAGATATACTATGCCTAGGGGAACTGTTTTCTAATAAAGCAAATGAAAATGTAAATGTTGTGTGGGATCAAAGGAAACCCCATGGTGAAGTTAAATTAATTCTGTAATGTAAATAATTAAGCTGATTGTTAAGTGCACATTTCCATAATTCCCTCTCTCTCTCCTACCCTCCCTCATTCTTTATCTTCCTCACTTCCCTCTCGAGGATGAGTATAAAACTAAAAGATAAACTGGAAGGAGGAGAAAGAAAGAAAAAATGTGGGGGTGGGCACTGTGGCTGGGCAGGTGAGCAGCCTCTTGGGGCACCTGCATCCCCTAGCAGAGTGTCTGTTTGAGTCCTGGCTGCTCTGCTTCTGATCCAGCTCCCTGCTAATGCACCTAGGAAACAAGGGATGATGGCCCAAACACTTGTGTCTCTGCCACTTATCTGGGAGATGGTATAAAGTTCCTAGTTCCTGGCATAAGCCTGGCCCAGCCCCAGCTGTTGCAGGTATTTGGGGAGCGAATTAGCAGATGGAAGATCTCCTTCTGTCCCTCTTTCTTTCTCTGTCACTCTGTGTTTCAAATAAATATTTTTTCAAAGGAGAAAAAAATGTAAAGGCAGAGTAAATATTAATCCCCAAGCACAAACTTTATGAAGATATACTTTGTTAACAGGGTTAAAAATTATATCTGAGCATCCTAATTTCTGATGCAAGAGGACAAACATAATATAATACATCCATTCACACAGTCCAAAAAATGAAAAGCAAGCCAGCTGCATTCTTCTGGTCTATGATAACTTTATTGTTCTCCTCTTGAGAGGTGTTTGAAAAAAAAAAAGGACACAATGTCCATAACCTGCACCTCAACAATACTCCTAAAATAAACACAAGCTGAACGCTAGGAAAATCAGTAGGGGCAGCCAACTATAACCTGGCTGCTGCGGAAAATAAAAAGCTGGGTCTAAGGTAATTGTTGATTCTGTTTTGTCCTGTGGGTTTTGGATCTTGTATGATCTTCACGTTGATTCACAAAGAACAAAGGAAAGGGGGTTTTCTTGCGTGCTGGGAGCCCCGTGCTTAACTTCAAAAATCCCCAGGGAAATATCTGATGACTTAAATTTGATTATTGAAAGAACTTGGGGCTAATGCTGTGGTGTAGTGGGTAAAGCCACTGCCTACGAAAGCCAATATCCCATATGGGTGCCAGTTCAAGTCCAGGCTACTCCACTTCCCATCCTGCTCCCTGCTAATGACCCCGGGAAAGCAGTGGAGGATGTGGCCCAAGTATTTACCCTGCACCTACATGGAAGACCCAGATGAAGCTCCTAAATCCTGGCTTTGGTCTGGCCTAGCCCTGGCTATTATAGCCATCTGGGGAATGAATGAGCAAATGGAAGATCTCTCTCTCTGTCTCTCCCTCTTCCTCCCCCCGCCCCCCGTAACTCTGACTTTCAAATAAATAATTTTTTTAAAAGAACCTCATGTATGAAAAATACTCTGAACGAAGTCAAAAGTGGTGAACTGGGGAAAAAATTTTTTTTAATATTTTATTTATTTATTTGAGAGGCAGAATTACAACAGAGAGACAGAGAAAGGTCTTCCATCTGCTGGTCCACTCCCCAAATGGCCAAAACAGAGCTGGGCCAATCTGAAGCCAGGAGCCAGGATCTTCTTCCGGGTCTCCCATGTGGGTTCAGGAGCCCAAGGACTTGGGCCATCTTCCACTGCTTTTCCAGACCATAGCAGAGAGCTGGATCAGAAGAGGAGCAGCCAGGACATGAACCGGCTCCCATATGAGATGCCGGTGCCACAGGTGGAGGTTTAGCCTACTACGACACAGCATCAGCCTCTGGGAAATTGTTTGTCCACACATCTGACTAAGAGAAAGACATTGTTCCCCTTCCAGTGGAGTGCAGGTGGTGCCAGTGTTGGAAAGAGAAGAAGACCAAGTGGGGAAGGCCAGCCACAGAAGACGCTTTCTTTACTTTTGGGATCTTAGATCTTTGAGCTAGCCTTTCCCTCAGCATCAGTCCTACCCAGGGACCGTGCCCAGCTCCCACGGTGCTGGAACACCCCGAAACACGGAAGACTGCCCACATTTAGGTGGCCACATGATCTCTGCCGATTTCTGTGGCTGTGGGCTGAGTGACCGCAGCTATGAGGTTGGCGTTGGATGGACAGGTCCTGGGTGGCCTAACACGCTTCTTGGGCAATCTCATCTCAACTGTTGGCTTTGGCCTCTGGTTTTTAGAAAGGACCTTCTACAGTGTATCTACAGGCACTGGAGACTTCTCTGTGAGGCTGTCTCAGGACTTCACACTCAGCACTTCTAAGATGGAACTCACCTTCTTCTTCTTCTTTTTTTTTTTTTTTTTTTTTTTTTTTGACAGGCAGAGTGGACAGTGAGAGAGAGAAAGGTCTTCCTTTGCTGTTGGTTCACCCTCCAATGGCCGGTGCACCGTGCTGATCCGAAGCCAGGAGCCAGGTGCTTCTCCTGGTCTCCCATGTGGTGCAGGGCCCAAGCACTTGGGCCATCCTCCACTGCCCTCCCTGGCCACAGCAGAGAGCTGGCCTGGAAGAAGGGCAACCGGGACAGAATCCAGCGCCCCGACTGGGACTAGAACCAGTGTGCCGGCGCTGCAAGGCGGAGGATTAGCCTAGTGAGCCGCGGTGCCGGCCTTGAACTCACCTTCTTGTCCCCAGACTCCTTCTCCGGTTCCTTTTCTCCTGGGGACATAGCACCACCATCCAAGTGCTCTAGCCCCAAGCTGGATGTCACCCCACTTCCTGCTCCCCTCTCCCCCAGGTCTAACGTACCCCAGGTGTGTTGGCGCGGACTCCCATGCTTCTCCATGTTCCATGTGCTTCCCTTGGCCCCTGGCTTGGCCACTATGGCCTGGCCTGGGGATACAATGGCCTCCCCATGGACCTCGCTGCCTCCACTTTGCTACCCCTCCTGGGAGTCTGCCCATGGCAGCCTGGGCCATGTTTCCAACATGCAAATCTGGCCATACTTCTTCCTGCTTCAGTTCCTCCGATGGCTTATGACTGCCACTAGTGTGGAGGTCAAACTCCTGCTCCTGTTGAGTGGGGACAAGAACAACTTGTGTAAATACTGATCATTTTAGGTCATGAAAATGAACGCGGGGTGATGCACTAGGTGTGGTAGATGGTAGAATGGTCGGGGCCTAGGACGGAGTACGTTCACGCTTGGTCTGATGGGCAGCTTGGCCGGGGGCCTCCCCGCCTGCTCTTTTGCAGGCACGGTGCACCCTTCATACAGACTGTTCTTTCTGCCCCATTCACTCCCCTCTCCCTCCGCACTTGACTAACAATTAGCTTTCAAGTCACTTCTCGAAGGCCACCTGCCCACCAGCGGAACACTGTACTTTGAAAAGAACACCATGCTAAGGTGCCTTGGAGAAGGTGTGTTCCAAGGACTGAAAATGAAATGAAATGAAAAAGCTTAGGGGCAGCACTGTGGTGTAGTGAGTTAAGCAGCATCTGTAACACTGGCATTCCAAATGGGTGCCGGTTCGAATCCCGACTGCTCCTCTTCTGATCCAGCTCCCTGCTTACAGCCTGGGAAAGCAGCAAAGATGTCCCATGTCCTTGGGCCTCTGCCATCCTGTGGGAGACCCAGCTGGAGTTCCAGGCTCCTGGCTTTTGCCTGGCCCAGCCCTGGCTGTTGTGAATGTTTGAGGAGTGAACCAGCAGATGGAAGATCTGTCTCTGTCATTCTGCCTTTGAAGTAAATAAATACATCTTAAAAAGAAAAGAAAAGAAAGAAGAAAAAGAAACGAAAGCTTCCACATGTGTGCACTCCCCCAGGTGGCTGCTGTCCCTTCCCTGCGACCCTGGCCATTTCTCAGGCGCATGATGGCACCTCACTGTCGGATTCTTGGTTTGGTTTTGTTTTTTAATTCTAGTGAGGTGCAACACAATTTCGTTTGCTGCCCACTGGAGTTTTCTTTTTTGGTTTTCCAGGATGTCATTCTATTGTCACACCCATAGATCCACCATTCACACAACAGCGTCTTGGTTGCCACTGTGTTGGGCAGTTGCCGGAAGTCCTGCCGCAGTCCTGCCTCCAGTCCTTCGGGGTGTGATTAAAACAGGAGTTAGGTCTTTAAAAAGGGGCTCATGTTCACATAAGGCCATCAGTGTGACCAAGGCCATCAGTGTGACCAAGGCCATCAGTGTGACCTAGCCCACTCTGAACGGTGCCCTTAAAAGATGAGATTAGGTTCACTCCCCAAATGGCCAAAATGAAACTGGGCTGATCCAAAGCCAGAAGCTTCCCAGTCTGCCACATGGGTGCAGAGGCCCAAGCATTTGGGCCAGCTTCCACTGCTTTCCCAGGCCACAGCAGAGAGCTGGATCGGAAGAGGAGCAGCCGGGACTCGAACCGGTGCCCATATGGGATGCCGGCGCTGCAGAGACACCAGGGGAGCAGCAGCACAGAGTAAAGGCGACGTGAGCTCACAGCAGGAAGGAGCCCCTTAGAAAGCCACAAGGGGCGGCCTGAGAAGGAACAGAATCCACCGGGGGCTTCCATGGGCGCTCCCTGCCTCTAGGGCCGTGAGGGTAAATTTTTGTTGCTGAAGCCCCTGTGTCAGTAGAATTCTGCTTTGGCAGAACAATGAGAACTCGCACAGCAGTGCCCCAGACACTGGGGGTCCAGCCTTGAACAAGACGAAAAACCCCCTGCGCACGTGGACTAGAGCAGGCGCAGACACGTATGGAAAAAGGCGAAGGCATTCTACCCCTTGCTGTATTTATGTCTAATTTGTTTGTTGATGGTAAGATACCAGTGATAACAGCAATAAGAGAATTTGTAAGAAAATATCAGTGATATGTGGAATGGAGAACATTTATAGGGGGATGTCGTAGAGGGATAAGGGCCTTGCAGGAGATGTCATGGGACCCGAGAACGTCTCCGTGAGGGGAGAAGGCCTAAACTTATACTGGCATCTGAAGACAGCTATGCAGAGGTGTGAGACTGACAAGGAATGCAGTGCAAAGGCCCTGAGGCAGCAACAAGCCTGGCTTATGGGTGTGTGTTAGCTTCCTGTGGCTGCCGAACATACCGTCACAAGCTTACAGACTTAAGACAACAGGAACTTGACTTCCTCACAGTTTGGGAGGCTTGAAGTCTGAAATCCAAGTGTAAGCAGGGCTGTGCTCTCTCCAGAGGCCCTAGGGATGGTGCTTTCCTTGACTCTTCCAGCTTCTGGTGGCTCCAGGAGGCCCTGGCTTGTGGTTGCATCACCCCTGCCTTTGCCTCCGTCTGCACACATTCTCCGTGTGTGTCCGCCTCCCTCTACCTCTGGCTTAGAGAGAGAAGCACTTGCAGTGAACAGGGTCCTCCCGGATAACTGAGGACTGCGCCCCATCTCAGAGTCTTTACCTGAGTCACATCTGCCAGGCCCCTTAGTCCCCTACTTGACTGAGGACCAGGAATGCCTCCTCCCCTCCTGCAGTGCCTGCTTCCAGCCCCAGCACCCCTGTTTCAGGGAGGCAACAGATGATGGCTCAAATGCTTGGGCTGCTGCCACCAAAGTGGAGACCCCGATGGAGTTCTGGGCTCCTGGCTTTGATCGGACCGAGCCCTGGCTGTTGTGGGCATTTAGGGAGTAAACCAGTAGATGAAGATATCTCCTCTCTCTCTTTCTGTCACTCTGCCTTTCAAGTCACTGCAAATAAACATTAAAAAAAAAAAAAAAAGACAAGATGGAGGAACAGGAGTAAGGTAACACCAGGTTGGCCATCCTGAGGATTTTCGTGTCTATTCTGAGAGTAAGGGGTCTCATCACTGAGCTTCTAGCGTGGGAGGGAATGGACTAGGTCCTCAAGCCATCATCCTGGCTGCCACGGGAAGAATGCATCCCTTACTGGAAAGAGTAGAAGCAGAGAATGGGTGAGGAGTTTGTTGTAATAGGCCTGGCTTGCATCGGAGTGGGGGCAAGGACGGAGGTGGAGTACAGTCATCTGGGATAAATTCTGGAGATGGAGCCAACAAGACAGCCTGGGGGAGTTGATGACTCCCTGCTTTCTGGGGAGAACCCTGAGTGCACACCGGTGTCATTTACTGATGCCCAGGCAAGGGGTTGTAGAAAGCAACAGCTCCTTTCCTATCTGGCACTTGGAATGCCTGGTGGGCACCCAGCGGAAGAGCCAGCAGGCAGCTGAGTACAGACCTGGGGTTCAAGGGCGGGGCCGGGGATGCACATGTTAATTTGGGAGCTGTGAGCACTGTAATAGATGGGATGTCAGCACATGTCATGGGACGAGACACTGGAGAAGAGAATGTGGATTAAGACGAGCAGGGGTCCTGGGACTAGCCCTCAGGTTCCACATTCAGCAAGAGCTGAGGAGCTGCATGGCCTGGCTGCCATGGTCCCAGCTAGGTGGCAAGAATTCATCCCTGGTAAGGACTTAAATTCTTTGGAAGGAGACACAGAGAGACGTTCAAAGTTTTGTTCTGTCTGTGTCCCTTTTGTGCTGCTGTAACAAAGCACCCGATGCTAGGTGGGCGTAAAAAAGGAGGTTTAGGGGCATACCCAAGTCCAAACCATAGCATATCCCTATGCTCCTCTTGTTTCGTCATTAAATGAGCAACAGCCCTGACTTTGCTGCTTGTTGAAACAAATCCCTGGTTCAATGTCTTCTGGCTGATGGGGATGCGTAGGTCTTATGAATAAATGAGGACGATGTCCTGGCGGCAATTATAGGACAGAACTTGGCACGGTGATGAGCTCAAACTTGCTGTGAGTACATCATGAACCCAATTTCAGATCTAGGGAGGACCTCAGAGACAGCCATAAGCCTTGTGTTTAAGAGCTTGGAGTGGAGACCCAGGACCCTCATGGAATGAGCCACCACTTCATTACGATAAGGAGTTCACGTGTATGAGCCCTCGGCACGAGTTGGACACTATTTCTCAGTCTATCCCATATATTGATGCTTCTTTTAACAAGCGAGCCCTTGCTTTGCCAAGTGAGGTCACTGAGGCAAGGCCTCCCAGTCGCCCAGGGCAGAGCCAGGAACCGAACGCACAGACAGTGGTGTCAGAGCTTCATATTCACTCTCACGCTAGAAAATCAGGTAGGTCAGCTCCCTGCTGAGGGCCAGGGTCAGCAGAGGAAGATGGGCCCCTGCACCCATGTGGGAGACCCGGAAGGGGCTCCAGGCTTCAGATCAGCCCAGCTCCGACAGTTGCAGCCATTTGGGGAGTAAATCAGCAAAGGGAAGACTTCTCTCTCCGTCTCTCCCTCTCTCTGTCAGTAACTCACCTCTCAAATAAATAAATAAAATCTTAAAAAAAAAAAAAAAAAGAAAAGAAAAGAAAGAAAATCGGCTGGGTGAGCCTGAGAACAGTGCATGGGCAGCTTTTTATTGGGCACAAATCCCAGTAGGTCTTCTCAGTTGGAATTTGGGTGGTAGTCATTTGGGTGGGACTGGCTAATTTTTACCTTTTACTGTCTTTGAATTCAACTATATTAACAGCACAGTCTGGTCTCTAAAAGGAAAAGGATCATTTTCCCTAATGGAGTTTCAACGTCTCCTTTCATGTCGCTTTTTAGGAAGTTACACTGGAAACAGAACATACTCACTACATGAGTCAGGTAAGCCACTGGCCAGTGCAGGCAGAGAGAGAGAGGTCTTCTATCTGCTGGAAGCTCTCAGCTGCCCTGTGATGCTTGGGGAATGGACCGGGCACACTGCGGCTCCCACACTGCTCAGTTCACTGCCCTCAAGGGACAAGCAGGAAGCCGGCTCTTCTCTGTGTCCCTCCCAAACAGACTCTTGTAGCTCTTCTCTTTCTCTCCTGTGAGAACAGACGGACCAATGTCTATTCCTTCCTTGTAACAGCAGCTAACCAACTCAGGGACAGGAAATGCACCCCCAGGCAGCCATATGATGATCAGGATGCCCCTCAATAGGGCATCCCCAACAGCCTGCTGCTGAGGGAGCGTCCACAGTTGAGTAACTCTTTTTAAAAAATTAAATCTAGGACGGCACCGTGGCTCACTAGGCTAATCCTCCGCCTGTGGCGCCGGTACTCCAGGTTCTAGTCCCGGTTGGGGCACCAGTTCTGTTCCAGTTGCTCCTCTTCTAGTCCAGCTCTCTGCTGTGGCCCGGGAGTGCAGTGGAGGATGGCCCAGGTCCTTGAGCCCTGCACCCACAAGGGAGACCAGGAGAAGCACCTGGCTTCTGGCTTCGTATCGGCGCAGCGCGCCAGCCATAGCGGCCATTTGGGGAGTGAACCAACGGAAGGAAGACCTTTCTCTCTCTCACTGTCTAACTCTGCCTGTCAAAAAAAGAAAATTAAATCTAAAGGGGCTGTTGTTGTGGCATAGCAGGTCAAGCGACCATCTGCGACACCAGCATCCATATGGGCACCAGTTCAAGTCCTGACTGCTCCACTTTCTGTTTTTTGTTTGTTTGTTTGTTTGTTTTTTTTTTTAATATTTATTTATTTACTTGAAAGTCAGAGTTACACAGAGAGAGGCAGAGATTGAGAGAAAGAGGTCTTCCATCTTCTGGTTCCCTCTCCAATTTGCTGTAATGGCTGGAGCAGAGCCTATCCAAAGCCAGGAGCCAGGAGCTTCCTCCATGTCTCCCATGCACATGGGGCCATCCTCCACTGCTTTCCCAGGCCATAGCAGAGAGCTGGATGGAAAGTGGTGCAGCCAGGACTTGAACTGGCACCCATATGGGATGCTGGCACTGCAAGCGGCAGCCATGGCCCCCCGGCTGCTCCACTTTCAATCCAGTTCCCTGCTGATGGCTTAGGAAAGCAGTAGAAGATGGCCCAAGTGTTTGGGCCCCTACGCCCTTGTGGAAGACTAGAATGAAGCTCCTGGCTCCCACCTCGCCCAGTCCCAACTGTTGCAGCCTTCTGGGATATGAACCAGCAGATGGAAGATCTCTCTCTCTCTCTCTGTCTCTCTCTCTCTGTCTCTGTCTCTCCCTCTCTCTGTAACTCTGACTTTCAAATGAATAAACAAATCTTTTAAAAAAAATTAAATCTGGAGATTAGCTGCTGATTTATGGTTTCCCATGCATGCTCTGCCCTTTGAATTTTATTTGTGGAAAACATAGCATCTTAGATCAAGTCGTTAGAAGCAGAACCTGAGAAATTCTCGTGAATGTGATTTATTAAAAGTGCACCCCATATTGGAGTGCTGAGTCACATCCTGCCACCTCCGCTTCTGATCTGGCTTCCCGCTAATGCATCCGGGGGGGCAGCAGGCAATGGCTCAAGAAGTTGAGTGCTTGCTGCCCACAGAGGAGACCTAGACTGAGTTCCTGGCTCCCTGCTTTGGCCTGGTCCAGTTCCCGCTGTTGCAGGCACTTGCGGAATGAACTAGTAGATGGGATGGCTCTGTCTGTCTCTTTGCTTCTCAGATACATTCTACTAAATGTGATAGGTGACTCAAAAGTTTAAATTGTCTACAATGTATAGCATGCCCGGGTGGTTATAGACTATAGCTTATTTTGTTTGGTTGTTTTAAAATCAGGGCCTGTTTTTCATAAAAAATAAATGTTGGTTTGTAACTGGCCTATTCCTGGCTTCTGTACCTCTGCTTGCTCGATAATGGCCAAGGCCACCAGACTATGCTTCCCCTGCCTTCTCCCGGCTGCAGCCACAGGATAACTCAGGTGGCACCAAGCCCGACTTTGACCAGGAACAACTGAATAGTTACATTTTTTTTAAAGAAAAAAAGTTAAAAAAAAAAAACACTGGCTGACTGGCTAACTGCTTCTGGCTTACGTATGCTTGCTTTCTGCTTGTACAAGCCCACACAGATGACCGATAAGAAGAGGTTTTGCCCTTTAAAAAAAAAAAAAAAACCTCCCACCACTGCAACTTGAGGCTGTCTTCTCCAGACTTGCTCTGTGAGAGGGTCGCCAGCTGGCTAATAAAGTCTCCTAATTTGACCTCAAGGTCTGGCTGTGTTTTTAATCTGTGTGCCCCACAACACTAAATAATGAAAAAAAACCTCGAACAATCCAACATCCTGTGTCTCCTCCCATGGGCATCTTGGTGTTGGATGTTTTCCGGGCAGGCTACCTGGATCCCCCTCCCCACTCAGCTGGACTCATACCTCCTGAGTCAACCCTGGGGAGGGACTGGTTGCATGAGTAGCTTTACGTACCTACCCGGAAGCCAGACCTACCCAGCTGCCAGGAGCCAAAGACTGTCAGGAGGCTTGAGCCCTGGAACACTATTCCGAGTTTAGAAAGGAGTGGAATCCAGACACACAGTCCAACGTGGGTGAACCTGGAAGACATTAAGTTAGGTAAAGTGAGCCAGTTACCAAAAAGAAATGCTGTATGATTGCACCCAGAGTAGCCCAATTCAGAGAGGAAGCAGGAGGGGCAGAGGGAGGAGAGGTCTGTCTCATGGGTAGAGTATCATCAGTTGGAGAAGGGAAAAAGTTCCAGAGATGGACACTGTAATTGTGTTACATGTTGATGAACTTTAAAAATGGTTTAAATGGTAAATTTTGTGTTATGTGTATTTGATAATACCAAAGAAGAAATGTACAACTCTTAAATAAGATCTATTATTTTTTTAAAGTCTTTTACATGACTTGGTTATTTAAGATGCATTTTATCGGGGCCAGCGTTGTGGCTTCGTAGGATAAGCCTCCACCTGCGGTGCCAGCATCCCATATGGGTGCTATTTCATATCCAGGCTGCTCCTCTTCTGATCCAGCTCTCTGGTATGGCCTGGGAAAGCCGTAGAAGATGGCCCAAGTGCTTGGACCCCTGCACCTGCATGGGAGACCTGGAAGAAGCTCCTGGCTTCAGATTGGCCCAGCTCCGGCTGTTGAGGCCATTTGGAGATTGAACCAACAGATGGGAGACCTTTCCCTCTGTCTCTCTGTCTGTAGCTGTACCTCTCAAATAAATAAATAAAACCTTTAAAATTTTATTTATTTGAGAGGCAGAGAGACAAAGACAGAACACCCAACCAACTCCCATCCGCTGCTTCATTCCTCAAATGCCCACACTGGCCAAGGGCCACAGCTTGGAATTCAATGCAGGTCTCCCACATGGGTGGCAGGAACCCAATCACTTAGCCATCACCATTGCCTCTCCTGGTCTGCACTACAGGAAGCTATAGTCAGGAGCCAGAGCTGGGAATTGAATCCTGGTACTCTGATGTAGAATGAGGGTACCTGCACTGCTAGGCGAAAAGGTGGCCCCATTTTTGCTTGTGAGATGTGTTCAAGAGAGAAGAGTTAAAGTTTCTAGAGGTGATTCAGTATTTGTCATTTTCCTTTTTTGGGACACTTTTACTTGAATATTTTGATATCATTGCTCTGCAGGACCTAAGGGCTGTGACTTTAACTGTCCCTTTAAGAAATATAACAAACTTTCATTTCATTCATAATTTTCACTTTGAATTTTGCTTTGTGTAATCGTAGATTTAACACCACTGCTTTCTTTTTTGTTTCTAATTCATTCACTCCTGCTCTCCTTCATTGAGTCAGTAGCGCCTTGCCCCTGCTATATTCAGGGCCTGTTCTGGTGCTGAGGATATAGCAGCCAACAAAACAGACCAAACCTCTACCACCCAGGTGGAAGGAAGAAAACCAAGAAACACATGAAAGCTACGGCACTGGCACTTTACAGTGTGTACGGTAGACTCCATTGAAAGTGCCCTCCACAGAACACGGCCAGTGGAACGTGGAACCCCGTTAGAAACTTGGACCCCTCCCCTGGACCAACCGGATTAGAATCTGTTGTTGTGGCAAATCCAGTGACTGACAGACACCTCCAGGTTTAACAGGACACGTGTTGAAGAGAAACAGGAGGCAGTGAAGGGGTTAAGGAGGGGGTGTGACTGGAAGGGGAGGGGGAGAGGGCGGGGACAGGGGCGGGGCGGAGGCAAAGCCAGTCGGGCTGGGAATTAAGAGGTCGGGTCTGAAGCCCTGCAGCCTGCAGCCAGCCAGCCAGAGATAGTGGTCCCAGGCGAAGGGACTCAGGTTTACCTGTCTTTTCTCGGGGCCTTTTGTTCGGGGGTGGCCTGCGGCTCGGAGCCCGGGAATGTGGCCTCGCAGGCGAGTGCCTTTCCAGCAGAGCTCCCAAGGCTTTTCTATCTTTGGCTTTCTTTGAAGAATGCAATTCTCGCCGCAGAAGGCTAGGCGCCACGGCGCCCCCAGCCCCCCAGCGCCATCGGAACATCCTCTCCCACAACTGGGCCTCCGTCCAAGCCGCCTTCCTGTTTTTCCTCTCCGCAACCAGCCACACTGGAAAAGAGGAGTGCACGCACCCGCACCCGGGGCTGACAGGGAGACGTCCCCTTGTGCCTCAGCGTGCTCGGGTTTGGCTCTGAGACCCACGGCGCAGCCCCCAGCTCGGGCGCGTCGCCGCGCCCCTCCACGCTGCCCTCGCCCAGCTCGGTCTCAGCGGGTGAGGCCATCTCTAGGAAGCGTGGTCCGAGTCCCAGCGTGCTATAACACGTGGCTAATGCGAGCTGGCCCATATCTGCTAAACGAGGGATGTGTGGCCCTCTCCCACCCCATCCTCTAGTCCCCTCTGCACCCGGAGCGGCCCCCACCCCGTGCGGTTACTCCCTACCCGGGACTCGACGGTGCGTCTCCGGCCACGCGTTTCCCGAGGGAAGCGGGCCAGGAGCTGAGCAGACGACCGATTGGCTGGGCCGGAGGTGGGACGAGCGGTGACGTGCGGTGCGAGGGGCTGCAGGGGGCGGGGGTGGGCACAGGGTGGGGTCCCCAGGAGTGGGAAGGGGGCGTTGAGGGGAGTGGGGGGGTCCCCAGAAGGGGTCTGCCTCGGGGATGGGGATGGTGGGAGGGGAGGAGGGACGAGGACAGTGGCGCGAGGTCCCCAGGAGCGGGAGGGGAATTAAGGGGAGGCTAGGGAGAGTGGGGTCCCCAAGTGGGAGGGGAGGGACCAGGTGGGGGTTAGAAGGGGAGGGGCGGGGCCACTAGGAGGCCCAGAGGGACAGAGGGCGGCGTCACCAGGAGTGGGAGAGGGGAGAAGGAGGGAGGGGTGGGAGGGAGAGCTGAAAGAGGGAGGAACGGAGAGGGGAGAGCGAGGGGGGCCTGGGCGCCGCCCCTTAGCGAGGGCCGAGGCCTGGAACCCTCCGTGCCGGTGGAGATGGCGACCCTGACGAAACCTGGTTCACTAGGGGGAAGGCGGAGCTCCGGGAGAGGGGCTGGAAAAGGGGCAGCGCCCAGCCAGTGCGCCTCGGAGCTGGGAGGCGCGGGGCCGCGCGCAGGCGGTGCGGGTCCTGCCGGGTCTTCCCGACCCTCCCGCCGCCCTGGCCCGGCTCCGCGGTGTCAGGGTCGAGGCTGGCGCGCCGGCTCCGGGAGAGGTCTCTGGTGATCCCCAGCGAGGACCCGCTGGGTGCCCGGCCGGGCGGTGGAACAGGACTGAGGTCAGGGTCGCCCGAAGGCCCCGCGAGAGAGGCAGCTCTTAGGGTTCTGACCCAGAGTTTGGAGCACCGGGCTGGGCGATCTGGCGGCTGAGGCCTGAGGTGCGGAGCGGGGCTCGCGCTTGCTGGGCTCCAGGACGGAGGCGCAGGGCCCGCGGGAGAGTTAGCGCCGCTGTCGGCCCAACCAGGCTCTCTCTCGCACTCAGTGCCCTGCGGGCCCTAGCAAGGAGGCCCCGTGTCCTCACCTGCACACCAGGCGGGAGCCTAGTGTTGGGAAGGTTTGGAGTGCACGGGAGTCTGGGTAGTGCCGGGCCCAGCATAGTGCTGCTTTATTAAACTGAGGCCGCTTCCTTCCTGGAGGAAGGAAGTGAATTTGCAGAGCGTAGCCGGTTAAGCCCTGGTCTGCGACGCGCTAACGCCCGCAGGAGCGCGGTCCAAGTCGCAGCGGCTCCGCTCCCGATCCAGCTCCCTGCTAACACGCATGGGAAAACAGCTGAAATGGCCCAAGCGCTTGGGCGCCTGCACCCACGTGGAAGACCTGGCTTCTGTGGTTAAGGCCATATGAGGCAGATGAAGGAGTCCCCCACCCACCTCTCTTTTCTAACATTATCTTTCAAATAAATATATAAATCTTAAACCCCTTACAGGCTGGATCTACATTAATAATCAAAGTTGATTATTTGTTAAGGATTCTTATCACAATAGAGGTGGAAAGACACACACAGACACATGTAATGGCTGTCTCTCTCCTCTGTAGATAGAACCATCCTCAGCCAGAATTGCTCGATTTGAAGTCTATGTTGCATTCAGGGTTCCATTTTTAATGGCCAGAGCATAATAGGGTTTGAGAGACACGTGGGATCCACCTGCAGGCAAAACTGTTGGAAGCAGCCAGCATGGTGTCCAGGACTCGGTGCAGACAGGGGTGATGTGGCTGAGGGCACACCGCTTTGTGGAGTTTTGACCTTGCCGTGTCACTGAAGTGTGAGAACTCCCTGGCGGGGCACTGTTCTGACTCAGTTTCTCCATAGGTCACCTGGGAGAAGGATTCTGGCTGTTTCGCCTCCCTCAGGGCAGGTGCAGCCTTAAATAGCTCCTTCAGCACCTGAGTCATCTGGTGGTGGCACTGTCATTTCTGTGGATTGGGATGACTGCACGGCTCCCTGCATGGCTTTGGAATGATGGGAAACCCCCAGCGTGGCTGGAGCAACACGGGGAGCCAGGGGGCAGCCTGGCGGCACGGGGGGTGGCTGGTTCTTCAGGAGAGGTGTAGCCCTGGGGAGGCCCCGGTTGTTGGCCAGGCCAGGGGAAGGTTCCCTTGGTGCCAGACGTTGCACAGTGATTTAAGAAGGCTCATGATGGACGGAACGGTCAGGGGTGAGCAACAGGACGGGACTGTGAAGGCAAGCAAGTGTGCTCCTTCCCTCCTTGGAGGGCAGTAGTCAGCCTAGCTTTTCTGAGCCTGCCCAGCCTTGCTGCCGGCTGCAGACGGGCCCTGCTTCACTGACAGGCTCACTCCTAGAGATGCAAAGGTGACAGCGCACGGTGCTGAGCAAGCTTCGCCAGGGTCAGCTCACGTGCTGCTGAAACACCCTAAACGAACCCTGCAGGCAGCAATGTATGTCAGCCGGCTCCCGAGACCCCGACTCCGTCTGACCACGCCCGTGTCTGTCTGCCCCTCACTGTTCTCAGCGTTCCCCTGCCCCTCTCCCCAGCAGGCTCATTTACGGTTTTGTACCTAAGTCAGAAGGCCGCCCCCAACCACAATCATTCCTTCCCGAGCTCTGGGTCTAGCTCAAGTCCCACCTCCTTTTCAGTCCTCCCCTGACCTCAGCACTGGGAGTCGCTTCACACGCTTACAGGGGATCTCGAGTTGCCAGCCACTGTTTTAAATTTACATCTTAACTCCCTATCGGAACCTGAGTTTCCTGGTGGCAGAGATGCTGTGAGATCCCTCTCTGTGTTCCGACAGCACTGAAAACAGCGCTGCGTGTACTTCAGGCTCTCCTTCTATACGAACAGGTGTTACTGTGGTGGGTTGAATTCATTTCCTTCTCCCTGGGAACATTTACCTCCACCCCTTCCTGGGGCCCTGGCCCAAGCTAAGCTGGGATAACCAGACACATACTTGGTAAGATGGAGAACAGACAGTGAGTCTATTTTATAATAACACATGACAGTTGGGCTGTAAAACGGAGTTGGCTTTAGCAAACATTTTTAAATGTCTTTGCAGTATAATAACCTCCACCTCTCAAAACTCAAGGACTTCAAACAACAACTGCTAATCGGCTCATGAATCTGCCCTCCGGGCTGGCTCAGGGTTTGCTGTGTTGTTGTTAGGGGGACCTCGCTCTGTGGCTGCTGTGGGTGGGAGCTGCCTGTCAGTTACAGCCCTGGAGTCAGTCCTCCTTCCGGGAGACTTTCTGTCCTCCTCCTGGGCCAGACTCCTCACCCGCATGGCAGCAGCTTTCCACTGGGACCGAAGCAGATGCTTGAGCCTAGGAGTCAGTCCCATGCTGTCACTTCTGCCATGAATCCAGCTGGTTAGTACCAGGCTCCAGGGCAGCCTAGACTGTGGAGGGCAGGGGGGTGCAGCCCATCAGTTTACAGCGGGAGTGGCAGACGTCATGCTGCGACAAGGCATGGCGGGTCGGGGTGCTGGGGCCAGTTTTTGAGTCCAGCTACATCAAGAGAGGCGTGTCTGTTAGGACGTCATCATGCAGTAGCCCAGTTTTCCTTACGTAGTGCCCACTCGCTCAGCTTGCCCTTCCTGCCTCTCCTCCAGCTCCAAGGACAACCCGAGCCTGGGCCTTGATTCCGCTGGATTCTGTGGAAAGAGGGAGGGGACACAGGACTCCCAGCCCCAGCTTCCCTGTCCCCAGGGTGGACCAACTTGAAATGAAGTGGGATGGAGAACACAGTTTCTGGGCTTGGGTTTGAATCCTGCTGCTAAGTAGTTAGGTGACCTTAGATGTGTTAGTTCTTCTGTCTTTGGAAAGCAATTAAAAACAGAAAAGTGAAAGTAAAGCAGAAATACCTGTTTTTCCTCTCTTTTCCTGTTTTGAGAGTATCTTACTGAACTGACATGGCCTCATACCTCAGAGCTTTATTTAGCATGCACAAGGATACTGCAAAAACACTCATGGGAAATAGAGTTAAAGAAAAAAGTCAGGGCCCATGCTGAGGCCTAGAAGGTTAAGCCTCTGCCTGCAGTGCCTGCATCCTGTATGGGCACCAGTTCAAGTCCCGGCTGCTCCACTTCTGATCCAGCTCTCTGCCTGGGAAAGCTGCAGAAGATGGCCCAAGTCCGTGGGCCCCTGCACCCATGTGGGAGACCCGGAAAAAGCTCCTGGCTCCTGACTTCAGATTGGCACAGCCCTGTCCATTTTGCAGCCATCTGGGGACTGAACCAGCAGATGGAAGACCTTTCTCTCTGCCTCTCCTTCTTTCTCTGTGTGACTCTGCCTTTCAAATAATTAAATAAATATTTTTTAAAAAGACTTTGCATGAACTTTTTGAAAACCCCTTCTATACATGGCTTTCAAATTTGTTTTTGTTCCAAAAGGAATTTGTCTTTTAAATCCATTATCCAAAACTTTTTGAAGTATTCTCAGACATTCATATATTACATCTATGTTTATTTTTATATCCACCTGTACTAGTAAAAATAATGAATTTACACCCATACCCCCGATACCAATCAAGCACTACAGAATCCATTCCAATTTCCTCCTTTCCTTATTTGTAACCCCCTCCTCTCACAGGGAGACATCGAAGCCAGCCCACAGCGTCTGTGAAGTGGCTGCTTTGTGAGCCCTCCCTCTGCACGCCACCGCCTCCCACTGCCCCTGGAGCCTTGCTGCCGTGTGGTGCTGTCCTTTGCACGCTTGTGGTCCAGCACCCACCGACACACACACACTGTCAGTCTCCTCACTATTACTGGGACCCGATTCCCTGTGTACCCTCTTCCTGCAGGGACTCCGACCTCGCTCTCCTCCACTCTGACTGGGTACCATGCTCTCCTCCCCCTGTTCAGTGCCCTACACTCCCTGAACTGACCAACGCTTCTGCCATTGTCCAAACTGTAGAGTCAAAATCAAAATGGAGTGAGTGGTGCTAAAAGCTAATTGCAGATTCTTGCTTCTGTACATATTAGCTTTGCTTGCTAAAGGCTAAGGGTGTATCTTGCAAAACTATGCTGGCCCAAATTCCAAAGAACTGAGAAAGGACACAACCTGAGTGTTCTGCCTAAGTTGACAGAAATGCGCCCTGCACTGTTATCTTACAATCATACCTTGGGTTTGTTATTATTCCCCGGTTTGTTATTTTTAACTGTTATCTTACAACCATATTCTGTTTTTTTTTTTCGTTGTTCTCTGCATACCAGAGGTCCAAAATTGAGAGCCCTAGTGGACAGAATACTATAAAAAGCTGTGTAACTCGCTGTTGGGGGCTGCACTCTGGTCAGGAGTATTGGTCCCGATGGGTTGCCTTGCCTCTCATTTTCAATAAAATTCATGTGTGACTGTCACTGGTTTTTGTAATATTCTATTTAAGCTGAGAGTGGATGCAACACAAACTTCCTGCTCTGCTCGGGGTGAAGTGGGCTGTGACACCCCACGGTCGGCCCATGTGGACACCTGTCTTCCCAGGTCTCTCCAGAGGGCTTTAGCACTGAGTCATGCAAGTGAAGAGGCCACATCCGCAGTCTCAGGTTCCTCATCAGCAGGATCAAGATTCCCGCCTGTTCGAGCTGCCCCAGAGGTGATGTGTGTGCCGCGTGGCAGGTGCCACATGGCAGGATGGCGGCTGGCGTGCGTGTCAAGTGACATCATTGTTGTACATTCACACCGGCCTTTCTGTTGTGTCATTTCACAGGAGTACTTTAGAGACCTGGAGAAAACAGTGGCACAGGTGTAGATAACGTCAAGGTCGGCTGTTGATGCCGCTTTCTGAAGAGAATAGAGACTCTCTTCATTATATCAACTAAGTTCAAAGATTTAAGTATGGAGAAGCAACTAGAAAGGAAGACCCCAATATGTTCACAGTGGTTATCTCTTCTGGTAGGATTATGTGGCTTGCTTATTTTTAGTTTGTTTTTTTTTTTTTTTTAATTACATTGATACAGTTTCACACACTCACACATACACACACTCACACACACGTCCAATCTGCTGGTTCACTCCCCACATGCCCATGACAGCTGGGAGCCAGGAAATTCATCCCCATCTCCCACGTATTTGGCAGGAACGCAATGACTTGAGCCATCATACAGCTTCCAGGGTCCGCACCCCGGGGCAGGAGCCAGAGCAGGTGTTGACCCTAGCACACCCAAGCGGGATACCGGCATCTTAACTGCTAGGCCAAATACCTGTCCCAGATTACATGCTTTGGAAGAGTTATCTCTTTTCTAAAATATATGAAATGAATGTTTACTATTCAAGCTTAAGAAAAAAATCCCATTGTTTGAAAAAAACAGAACTCACTGAAACCACTCAGCCTTTATTCTGCCTAACACTCTCCAGAGTCAAGAGTGCCGGGATTCAAACGTTGGCTCCACAGTTTACAAGCTGGGTGACCAGGGGCAAATGAATAAACTTCTCTGTGCCTTTGTGTTTTTCATTCTGTCAAATGGGGGTTTCCTGTGCTGAAGTCAGGCTTATTTAACAATTAAGTACATGCAGAGTGGGTACCACGAATGCTGGCGATTAGGGATGTTGTTATTGCCGGGGCAGGTCTGGAATGTGCTGAGTCGCTGGCGCTTGGAGGAAAGAGTTACTTCCTGTCTGAGTAGCCTCAGCTCCGCCTCCCCCTGGGTTACTATCTGGTTACTCACTCAGAGATTGCAGGCAGCTGGGCCTGGGGCAAGAATCAGAGGCAAGGGTGATAGACCAAGGCCAGGGAAGTGTTTGTTTCCCTCACTGCTTGGCTGGGATCCAAAGAGATGGGTTTCTTAACTGACACAGCTGCCTGGTATGAGGAGACCTTGACCGGCACCCACAGGACAAATGACGCAGTCTGTTTCTGAGTTGCTATGCAGTTTGGGGTTCGCGCGCTCATTCATTCACGTGGCTGTGAATGTCCTATACATTTATTAGATGCCTACAAATGTGTCAGGCACTGTTGTAGGCAATGGGGTACAATCACTAAAATCCCATTCATTAAAAATGCAAATGCAATTAATAAGGGACTGGAACAGGTGTTCACAGCAGCATTATTCACAATAGCCGAGGGGTGGGTGCATTCCTGAAGGAGGTAGGTTTGCTGCCCAGTGTGCACAAGGGCCACCCAGGCCCAATCTTTTGCGAAGAGAAGGGCTCTGCTGGCCAGCAAAGGAGGCAGGAGGTGGGACTCCCCGATTAGGGGTCTGGCTCAGGTTTCATGGAGTCAGACAAGAGAAGTCAAGCCAGGGGCGCGTGCACGGGGCCTTTCTGATTGGTGGGGCCTTTGGCAGAACCCCGTGTGCAAGTCCGGTCAGTGGGTGGGTGTTGTAATCTGTTGGACCCCTCACTTCCTGGGGCTGCCTGCTGTTCTGTTTCCGCTCATTCTCCAGCTTTGGCTCCCATGGGGAGTGGGGTGTGACTGCTTCAGGGGTCATCTGTAGGTCACGACTCTCCTTCCTGTGCCTGAGAGTCCCGGTTGTAAGCAGCTCTCCTAAGGAAACAGGAAGTTTAAGAGATATGAGTGGGCTTTTGTGGGAAAGAGGAGCACAGCAGGGGCTGCTGGGTCTTGGGAGTGTCCAGGGGAGACGCGACTAAGGAGGCAGCACTGGCTTCAGATGCAACCCACGCACCTGGCAACAGGTGATGGGGCAAACAGACTGTGGTCTGCACTGAGCGTGGAGTATTGTTCAGCCCTATAAAGGAAGGGCTCCAACAGGAGGAACCTGGAGGACATCATGCTAAGTGAGATGAGTCGGTCACCACAGCACAGATACTGAAGGATTCCACGGACATGAGGAATGTGCTGTAGAGCGACGGGGTGTGTGTGCCAGGGACTGGGAGGGGGAGGGGTGTTGCCATGGGATGCAGGTGTCCCAAGTGGCATCTGAACTGCCAGGCAAATGACCCTTCCCTGCAGTTCTTAGCGCCACTGAACTTTACACTGACCCTCGGTAAATGGTAAGTTGTATGTTATATCTCGTGAGAATATAACAACGTACAACCACTTTGGAAGACAGTGAGTGGTATGTTTAAAAGTTAAACATACAGGGGCTGGCGCTGTGGTGCAGTGGGTAAACACCCTGGCTTGAAGTGCCAGCATCCCATATGGGCACCCGTTCGAGACCTGGCTGCTCCACTTCCAATCCAGCTCTCTGCTATGGCCTGGGAAGGCAATAGAAGATGGCCCAAGTGCTTAGGCCTCTGCACCCGTGTGGGAGATCCGGAAGAAGCTCCTGGCTCCTGGCTTCGGATCAGCGCAGCTCCAGCCGTTGTGGCCAACTGGAGAGTGAACCATCGGATGGAAGACCCCCCCCCTCTCTCTGTGAAACTCTGCCTTTCAAATAAATAAATAAATAAATCTTAAAAAAAATTAAACATATACTAACACAGGGTCCAGACATTCCGTGCCTAGATATTTCCCATTGGAGAAATGGGCAAGGAGAGCAATATTCTTAAAAAAAAAAAAAAAAAAAGCAGCCATACAAATGTGTATCCAGGTAGGTGGATAGAGAAACGGTGGTCTAGGTACACAGTGCAATATTCCTCAATGAAAAACCAGGAACCACTGCTACTTCATGGGTGGACTGCAAAATGAGTAGGAAGAGCCAGACAAAAAGGAGCACCCTTGTCTCCTGGCATCCATGATTCAGGACCCCTCGGGACACCAAAATCTGTGGGTGCTCAAGTCCCTTACCCATGTGGTATAGCATTTGCATATAAACTCTGGGTAAGCACCCATATACTTTAGATCATCTCTCTAGAGATGATGTGTTACCTAGCACAGTGTCAATGCTATGTAGATTGTTTTATTGTGTCATTTAAGAAATAATGACAAGAATGTCTATATGTATTACATGGACAGTTTTTCTTCAATTTAAAAAATATTTATTTATTTGAAAGGCAGAGTTAGGGAGAGAGAGGGAAAGGGAAAAGGAGAGGAAGAGGGAGAGAGAGGGAGTGAGAGAGAGAGAGAGAGGGAGAGAGAGAGATTTTCCATCTGCTTGTTTACTCCCAGCAATGACTGGGGTTGGGCCAGGCCAAAGTCAGAAGTCCAGAACCCCACCCATGACATGGGTGCAGGGGCCAAACACTTGGATGATCTTCTGCTGTTTTCCCAGGCTTGCCAGCAGGGAGCTGGATCAGGAGAGCTGGCACTGGGACTAGTGCCCATATGGGATGCTGGCATCACAGGCAGCTTAACCTGCTCTACCACAATGCTGGCCTCTCAAATATTTTTCATCTGTGGGTTGGTGGAATACACAGATATGAAACTCACAGATACAAAGGGCCAACTGTATATGATGTGTGATGATATTTAGTACGAACTGATACTGTATGTGGCGACAGAGAACCAACCAGCGGCCCCCTGTAAATGAGAGGGTGATAGGGGAAGGAAGGAGGGAGAGATTTCCGAGGAACCAAAGCAGTCTCGGAGTGTGGGGTGGCAGATATGTTCATTATCTTGATTGTGGTGATTCTTTCAGGGGTGTGTGGCCGTGTCAAAATTTCTCAAGCCATACATTTGTGAGACGCTTACTGAATATCAATTACACATGAATAAAGCTGTTAAAACATTTTTTAAAATATCTTATTTATTTATTTGAGAGGTAGAGTTACAGACAGTGAGAGAGAGAGACAGAGAGAAAGGTCTTCCAACTGATGGTTCACTCCCTAATTGGCCACAACGGCTGGAGCTGCGCCCATCCAAAGCCAGGAGCCAGGTGCTTCTTCCCGGCTTCCCATGTGGGTGTAGGGGCCCAAGCACTTGAGCCATCTTCTACTGCTTTCCCAGGCCATAGCAGAGAGCTGGATTGGAAGAGGAGCAGCCAGGACTAGAACCAGTGGACATATGGGATGCCGGCGCTGTAGGCAAAGGATTAACCTACTGCACCATGGTGCCAGCCCCTAAAACATTTTTTTTTTTTTAAATTTAAATTCACCTAAAGAAATGCAATTCAATAAAAGGCCAGGAAAATGAAAACCACTGGGTTCTGTGGGACACGGGTAGGACTATTTGTGTAGGTGCTGGAGGTTAGGGGAGCGTCAGAGAAGCAGTGGCCGGAGGACAAAAGTGCTGTCCAGCAAAGAGCAGTGGGGAGGAGGAGGGTGTGCTACGGAGGGAGAGATGTGCACAGACCCATAGGCAAGGAGCCTGGGGTGGCGGCTGGAACTCAGGGCAGTCAGGGGAAGGCTTCCTGGAGGAAGAGGCATTTCAGCTGAGCCCTGTAGGGTCAAAGGGAAGTTTCTCTTTTGCCCTCAGTAGGTTCACTGTAGGGAGCTGACAGCAGACAGGTAGCATCAGGTGAACACGTGCAGAAGGGAAAACCACAGCATGGGGGAAGTCACAGGCCTGTGATTACCCCGTAGC